TGAGCCTGGATTTAAATAGTGTCAAAGTAGAGGCCTGTCTCACATGTTCAGGAAGACTGTTCCAGGTTTTAGCTGCATGAATCTGAAATGCTGACTCCCCGTGTTTAGTCCTGACTCTGGGCACCAGCAGGAGGCCGGTCCCTGAAGTCCTCAGAGTGTAAGGTGGTTCATATGACACTAACATGTCACAGATGTACTTTGGTGCTCGGCCATGGAGAGACTTGTACACAAGCAGACCTGCTTTAAAGTCTATTCTCTGAGCCACAGGGGGTAGTGCAGAGACCTGAGCACAGGACTTATGTGCTTGTACTTCCTAGTTTTAGTCAGGACCTGAGCTGCAGTGTTCTGGATGTTCTGCAGCGTCTCACAGCTCGTATGGAGAGGCCAGTGAGCAGGCTGTTACAGTAGTCTCACCTACTGGAGACAAATGCATGGATAAGTCTCTCCAAGTCTGATTTGCTGTGTTTTTTAGATGGTAAAATGCTGAAGATGTTTTTGATTTGATGTTGCTGTTAAAGTTCAAGTCTGAGTCCATTATTACCCCTACATTTCTTGCCTGATTTGAAGGTTTTAGAGAGAGAGACGGGAGGTGACTGCTGACACTGTCCCTTTGTTTTTGTGGACCAAACACTATGACTTCAGTCTTGTCAGAGTTTAGCTGGAGAAAGTTGTTTTGCATTCACACACTGATCTGTTGGATGCAGTGGCAAAGTGCTTCCAACAGTAATGCACAGCTATAATGTTCAAAGGAGAGGCTTTAAAATCAGCCCTTTTGTTTGTTTTTTTGCCTCCTCTGGCTTTTTTTTTATCTCGTGTGCTTTTTAAAAAAAATTGTTATATGTTATACACGTGCAAAAGAAATAAATAAATAAAAAGTTGTAACCAGTGTAATGTTGAGTTATCTTGAATATGGCCCCAACACAATTAACTACAATTAACTATCAGCTACTACTAGTACTACTAATACTACTACTACTATTAATAATAATAATGCATTTTATTTAAAGGCACCTTTCTGGGCACTCAAGGACACTGTACAAACAACAGTTATAAGAGTATATTAGCAAAACGAAATCACTCTAGCTAAACATACTTCTGAAGAGTTGTATTTAATAGATATTGGATTTGATAATTTGAAGTAGAGTAGTTATTATTATTATTATTAGTAATAGTAGTAGTAGTAGGAGTAGGAGGAGTAGTAGTAGGAAGTGAAGTAGGAGTAGTAGTAGTAGGAGGAGAAGGAGGAGGCCACACATACGGCCCTTTGGTTCACTCTGACCGGCCCGTTTAAGATAATTGTCTAACTGTACCCCATCTACCGTATTTTCCGGACTGTAAGTCGCTCCAGAGTATAAGTCTCACCTGCCAAAAAATGCACAATAAAGAAGAAAAAAAATATAAGTCGCACCGGACTATAAGTCGCACTTTTTGGGGAAATGTATTTTGTAAAATCAGAGACCAGGAACTGACATTTCATCTTGAAAGGCAAGTTATAGTAAAAACAGAACACAGAACAACAGGCTGAATAGGCATTAATATGTTAACGTAACACATGAACAGTTATTCTGATAATTATAGCATAAACAACAGAACATAAGTTTACCTAACTCACGATCTCACTCCAAATCACTAAATCCATTGAATTCTTCATCCTCGGTGTCACTTCTGCATGACCTCTGGAGATAAACCACAGATCCATGAGGTAAACAGAGCACGGCTTCCTCTTCTGTGTAGCTGTTGTCAAACTCAGCATCAGTTCCAGTTAGAATTATTCCGGCCTTTTTGAATCCCGATAGGATGGTTTCGGTGTCATAGAAGTTCAGGCTTTGTCAAGCCATCCAGTGACTTCCAGGAAAGTTGTATGGCGCACCTGTCCACTTACCGTGAAACTGTGTTCTCCATCCCTGCTTTCCGGCAGTCGATTACCGTTTTCGACTGAATATTTCAGTATTTGCAGCAAGACAGTGGCTATTTCTAGAGGAGACATGTACAGTAGAGTGTGAAGTGACAGTGGTACAGAGTAACAGTAGTACTAATCAAGCTAAAACCAGTTAAAGGAAGGCCAGCTGATAAAAATGAGTTCCATCCATCCATTTTCTTCCACTTATCTGGGGCCGGGTCACGGGGGCAGCAGTCTAAGCAGGGACTCCCAGACTTCCTTCACCCCAGACATGTCCTTCAGCTCCTCTGGGGGGACCCCGAGGTGTTCTCAGGCCAGCTGAGAGACATAGTCCCTCCAGCGTGTCCTGGGTCTTCCCTGGGGTCTCCTCCCGGTGGGACATGCTCGGAACACCTCCCAAGTGAGGCGCCCAGGAGGCATCCGGAACAGATGCCCGAACCACCTCAACTGGTTCCTCTCGACGTGGAGGAGCAGCGGCTCTACTCCGAGCTCCTCCCGTGTGACTGAGTTCCTCATCCTATCTCTAAGGGAGCGCCCAGCCACCCTGCGGAGGAAACTAATTTCCAGTGTTTATATCCGCGATCTTGTCCTTTTGCTCATTACCCAGAGCTCATAGGTGAGAGTAGAAACGAAGATTGACCGGTAAATTGAGAGCTTCGCCTTTCGACTCAGCTCCCTCTTCACCACAATGCTCCAATACAGCGACTGCAGACGCTGCACCGATCTGCCTTTCAATCTCACGCTCCGTCCTCCCCTCACTCATGAACAAGACCCCAAGATACTTGAACTCCTCCACTTGAGGCAGGGAAAATGAGTTCTAAGAAGTGATTCAAAAGATGATACTGATGGTGCGAGCCTTATCTCCTCGGGCAGGTCGTTCCAAAGCCGTGGTGCCTGGACCGAAAAGGCTCGATGACCCTTCATCTGGAGCCTGGACTTTGGAACAGCCACACGGACCTGCCTGAGGATCTAAGGCTGCGGGAGGCTCGTATGGGGTTAAAAGTTCTGAAATGTCACTTATTTGGTGCAAGCTTTAAAAGTGAACAGTAAAATCTTAAAATCAGTTCTAAAACACACAGGCAGCCAGTGTGTAGATAGATAGATAGATCTATTTATCTATCTATTTATCTATCTGAGCGTTTGTATTGTTCTATTGTGTTTTTGTATGTATTAGATTGCACTTCATATTTTGTACAGCACTTTGGACAGCTGGGGTTGTTTTTGTATGTGCTTTATAAATAACTTGACTTGTTTTCCTTATGGTCTCTCTACATAGCTGAGATATTTTATTACTTATTTCTATTTTACTTTATTTTTACTTGTACATATACATTTCTATAATTATGCTTTATTTGACACCAGTCTCCTGCTATTTTTGCAACTTATTTAGAATTTATATATTACAATTTATATTTTTTCTCTTATTATCATATATTGTGATGTGTGAGCTACTGTGTCCAAGTTTTTTCCCTTGTGGATCAATAAAGTTTGTCTTGTCTTGACGATCTAGTATTGCGACAACACAGTCTTGTACTATTTCCTGAAATCTCTGGAAGCTCCAAACGTCCTTTTACTTGCCCTGCTCTTGTCTCCGTGGTGACACATCAGCGTTAACCGTTTCCTATCTGGTCCGGTATACGAGAGTACGAGAACAGGCAGCGTCCACATGAGAGTGCGAAGGCGAGCGTCCCTCCCACAGACCCCGGGCCCAAACTTTGAACCCCGTCGTAAAAAGTGCAGCAGAGGCAGAGCTGGACCTGTGAGTGTCCTATCTCCAGTTTCCCACACTCTGCTCCATTCAGCCAGCCCTCTGCACAGGACAAAAGAAGTGTGTCCTGTTACACATCACATTAGCCCAGTGTTTGATCTCCTCTACACAGACAGGGCAGGGACAAGGGGACAGGGGAGGCAGGGGGACAGGGGACGCAGGGGACAGGAGCAGGAGACAGAGGAGGGAGGGGACAGCGGAAGGAGCAGAGAGGTACAGGGGAGGGAGGGGACAGAGGACAGGGGAGGGAGGGGACAGGGGATCGAGGGGACAGAGGAGGGAGGGGACAGAGGAGGGGACAGTGACAGAGGAGACAGGGGAGGTAGGGGCCAAGGGAGAGACAGGGGAGAGACAATAGAGGGAGGAGACAGGGGACAGGCAGGCAAGGGACAAGGAGGTAGGGAGCAGGGGTGAGACAGGGGACAGGGAACAGGGGAGGAACAAGAACAGGGGAGAGAGGGGGCATGGGAGGGACAGGGGACAGAGGGGGCAGGGGACAGGGGAGGAAAAGGGACAGGGGAGAGAGGGGGCAGGCAAGGGACAGCTGCTCAGGACGGACAGAGCCTGAGAAAGTCCTCACACAGCCAAACTCTGCACCACTAAAGAAAAGTTTGAATGAGTTTTGGGTGGCACATTTTGGGGCGTGCTTCAGCGGGACATGGGAACGTGCGGCGGGGGTGTGTCCGGTGTGGGACAGCTGTCAGAGAGGGAGCTGATGGGAAAAAACTCTGGACAACAGAAACAGGACAGATTCACACACATTTGTCAGTGTTCAGGAATGTGCTTAATCTTATTTCACACTCGAGTATGACACATGTTTGATTTATCTGGTAACACGGTTGTTCTGTGTGATTTACATTTAGGCCACTGTCCTGTGTGAAAGACACTGACCTCAGGCCTAATGTAATCAGACCAGTATATTTTATATTAGCCTACAAGGATTTTTGTTTTCATTCTTTTCATTCTCATCACTCTCTGCAGAAAACACAGGATCAGTGCAGAGTGAGATCAACTCTTGAGGTGTGACTGGTGACACCTGCCACTCTATGTGAGTACAAGTAATAACTGTATAATAACTATATAAAGGTCATTATTAAAGTTATAATATAAAAGAACACAGAGGCAATGATTTTACCTTTATCAGACTTCATGTGAAGTTATTTTTATTTTCAGCTGCTTCTCAGAAGCATCATAAATAGGACCTTTATCAAAGGCATTTCACAAGATGAACATCATCTCACATGTGGAGGACACATTATAATATATAATATATATATATAATATATAATTAAACATTATCAGACTTAGGACAAATAAAGTCACAGTTTAAATCAAATGGAATCATTTGAGATTTACACAAGCAGATCCACAGGATCAAAGGTTCAACAGATACTCAGTATCACACTTTAGTTTCTCTCATAATCAACAATAACCCAGTGTGGGTGTAACATGTAATAGACCCCAATGTGGGTTTAATGTTATAACATAATGAACCAAAAGTGGCTTTAACATAATGACCCTAAACTGGGTTTAACCAAAACAACCCAAACGTGGGTTTAACTCAACGACCCAAAACTGGGTTTAACACTGAACACAGATGTTTATAAACAAACACATGAGGTCTGTCCCAGAGGAACAAGAGAAGATCTTCTACAGAAGTACAAAGTCCATAACAGCTCTGAGGAACCAGAGCCTCTCATCTTCATCCACAGGTCCCATCAGCAGTGCAGGGACAGGAGCAGGTCCCATCAGGGACTGAGGGTCATCATCTGTAGACTGCAGACTGTAAGTCCTACAGAGGTCCATGACATCACAGACAGGGTTTAGTCCAGACCTGGGTTTAGACTTAGTCCTACCAGGGCCTCCAGAGCCCGTTGCTCTGGATCTGGACCTTGCAGTGGTCCTTCTGCATGGGGCATGTGGGGGTGACAGGGGGTTTCCCGGGGGCTTGTCCCTGGAAGTGCCCCAGCAGCCTTCTATGAGCCTGGGTCTGCAGCTCACAGTGGGACAGGAAGCTGACGGCCTCCTGGACACACCGTGTGTATCCTTCTCCAGAGGTCCTCACAGGGACTGGGGATGGTTTAGGGGCCACTTTAGGGTCCCCTGTAGGAGCCAGTTTAGGGGCGGCCTGTTGCTGCCAAGCCTGGAGGTAGGCCACAGTCATCTCCAGAACGTCTGCCTTCTCCTGTTTGGAGTCAGGCTGCTGTCGGAGGAACTCTGGGCCCAGCAGCGACTTGAGTTGCTCGATGCTGGAGTTAATCCGATCACGACGCAGCTTTTCAACCATGGGCTTTCTCAGCTACAGAGAGAGACAAGGACAGTTAGACACTGGGCCAAAACATCAACATGTGTCATAAATAAATATAATATTAGTGAATCAAATACACTGGAGCTTAATTTACCTTATGAGCTGAAGCCATGTCTTTAGAGCAGTGCGCAGAGCCAGTGGGAGCCATCACAGTGGTTTCAGAGAAGAGCCAGGAGCTTCTGATCTGCCTGTCTCAGCCTGTGCCTGTATTTATACTCCTCCCTCTGCCTGGGAGCGTGTGGGTCCTGGGTCCGCCGCGCTTTCTCACAGTCCCTCGGCCAATCAGAGCGCTGGGAAGGAGCTGCCACACGATCAATGGGCTGTTTAGGGTCCCGGGACAAAGCCTGAGGGCCTCATGGGAGCAGGTGGAGTCGTCTGGGGAGGGGGAGGCTGGGGGAAGGGGTCACTCTGCATGGGAAAGTCCTGACCCCACAGACAGGCCGGACGCCGGGGGTGATGAAGGCACACGCAGAGACACACTTCTACACAGGGCAGGGAGAAGGCTATGGGAGACTTAGAAAAAATGTAAATGGTAATAATAAATTCAAAATAAGTAGCAAAAATATAAAGAGACTGCTGTCAAATAAGGCATTATTCTGTAAGTGTATATGTACAAGTAAAAAAAAAGAAATACAATCATAAATAATATAAAAATGTATGTAATTATATCGTTACCTATCATATAAGTAGACTGCATATTTATAAAGGTAATTTTGAATAATTAGGATGCTTTGCTATAAGTTTTTCTATAGATTTGTAGGATTCCTAATGTATTGTAGATCATTTTAAATACACTGATAACTGAAGGAAGAGCAAGAAGTACGGTTCACAGAAAATTGCTAATATTTTTTGTCTATTAAAGTTTATCTCAATCACAACCTAATAAAAAACTCTGGTTAAACTGAAAACCACCAAAACATATTATACATATTTTTTCTGTTAATTCATCTGATTTTATTTGACAGGACATCGCAGCAAAAGAATGGGTAGAGAGCGAGGAGAGACATTCAGTATTCACTAGGATCGGAATATGAAGACGCAATACAATCTGGTAAGTTTTCCTTCATATGGGCTGCAGTTTAAAGGTCCTATATTACACAAAATTGTCTCTTGTGAGCTTTAAATCATGTTATAATGTTGTTTCCTCATCAAAAACTTACTTGGGGTTGCGTTTTGGTTCATTCACACATGTTGGGGTGAAGGTGAAGGTGTATGGAGTTCAGAAACACAGTGGATCACTTGACATCACAAGGTGGAACAGAGTATTTTTAATTTGAGAGAAGAACTCTGAATGTGTTTGTGTGTTAAACATGTGTGAATGAAACAAAACACAACTCCAGGTCTGTTTGTGATGAGAAAACAACATTACAACAGATCAGAAAATTGCATAATATGGCTGGGCCCTTTAAGATAATTTGCATATTGACAGGTAAAGTAAGTAGAATTTAATGCAAATAGGCTACCGACACACTTACTGCTGTGGGAAAACTCTATATATCTCTTTTGAAGTGTGCTTTACAGTGTTTTGTTTGTGGCAGTAGTGTTTGGGAGGGGAGTTATTGAGTGTTAGATGCGACACTTCTCATGTAGGGCACACTTTCGGAGGCACACTTCGTTCACACCTCTCGCTCCTTCACTTCCTATCAGCTGCTCAAGGAGACCACAGGAAGGAGACCCTAAATATAGAAAGAGATAAGATAAGTTGAGCTTTAGTACAGAGTCTTGTATTTCATATTGTGGTGATGTACTGTAGGTAAGGAAGGTTTGTGTGCTAATAATTTTCCATTACTGCATTCTTGGTGGATTTTTTTTGTGATTGTAGATACTCTAAACCTCCTAAGACCCGAACTCTTGCATGGCATCCTTTTTGATTTGATTTGACTGGCTGATTGGGACCTGATAGGACCTATTTTTTATATATATTTTTAAGTTTATATGTCCACATGTGATATATAAAACATTAATTTTATGTTTTAATCATTTTGATGAAATGCAAAAGTCACAACTGAATAATGATTTACTTAGACTTAGACAGATATTTTGATCCACAAGGGAAACACAGTAGCTCACAAATCACATTATATTACGATAATAAAGAGTAAAAATGGTTATAATAAGTAGCAATAAAAAAATAGCAAGCGACTGGTGTCAACTGTGGAACATCCTTCCTCTTCCTGCCAGATCCTCTCAGTCTGTAACGCAGTTTAAGACGAGACTGAAAACTCTCCTCTTCTCTGTGGCATTTAGTACGAGCTAGTCAGGTTATCTTGATGTTTTTATTGTAGTTTTCACATGTTATTTGTATGTATGTATGTGTAACTGTTTCTTCTATTTTGTTTACTTGTATGTGAAGCACTTTGGTCAGCTGAAGTTGTTTTAAATGTGCTATATAAATAAACTTGAATTGAATATATTATACAGATGTATGTACAGTAAGTAAAAAACAAATGCCATAATATAATATATCACAGACGAGAGGTCGTAAGGAAAGAGTGCTCCAGCCTGCTCCCACAGGCCTGGCAAATTTACCCAGGGTTAGTTAGCCTTGGCTGGGGTTGGGAGACTTGGGTCCTGTTGGTCACTAGAGCTCTAAGCTTTTCTCCAGCCTAACCCCACAGACCGGGGAAACCGTGCTGAAATGTTGTTACCTCATCAAAAACATACATGGAGTTGTGTTTTTTTCATTCTCACATATTAGTCTGTCTACATTTCTAAAGCTCAGAATGCTCTGTTCCACCTTGCCGTCTCATGAAGCTGTAGTTTTTAATTTACCTGCTGCCTTTAACCTTTAGCTCTGTCGATTTTGGCAAAGCAAGGGTTGAAATTATGCAAGTAAGAGTTTGGAGTTTAAAAAGAAGGTGGAGTACTTCGTGTATTACCACATTACAAGGTGGAGTGTTTTCAGTTTGAGAGAAGAGCAGAATTTGGAAACATAAAACATACCGTATTTTCTGCACCATAGGGCGCTCTGGATTATAAGGCGCGATTATAAGTCATTGAATGGTCTATTTTCGAACTTTTTTCACATATAAACCGCACCGGGCTATAAGGCGCATTAAACGAAACACAACAGTTAGATAAGTCAGTCAAACTTTATTTAACGCGTTCACAATAACTCTCAACTTTGCTCAATTGTAACGCGTAAAAAAAATACTGTCTGAGACGCTAAATTGTTGGCGTATTCACAATAACTCATAATTGTTCAAACAGTTGGGCGATTACGGCGTCCAGCGCGCCCGCATCCCTCTCGTCATTATCCGAGTCAGTGTCGTTACTGTTACCTGGCAGTTCAGTGGTGATTCCGGTCTTTGTAAAATCTCGGACCACAGTTGATACTGATCCTTCGCCCAGGCATCCACGATCCATTGGCAAATCGTGGCGTAAGTCGCTCTGTCTCCCTGTCTTGGTGAATATGTGTTCTCCTTCTCTCATCCACTGCTCCCATGCACCTCGCAGTTTAACTTTATAATAACCTTGAGTTTAAAGTCAGCGTTGTCAGCGTTTCTCTTGACAGGTGCATTTTGATATTAAAAGGAATCACAGTATGTATTACTCTGCGATGCTCCTGACTACAGGAGCCGTAATGCTGCAAGTGGTGCGGCTTTGTAGTTTACAAAAGTCATACTAAGACACTCGAATAAATTCATATATAAGGCACGCAGTTGTTTTTTGATGAAATTAAAGGCTTTTAAGTGCGTCCTATAAAATCGCTCATGTAAACAGATTTGGTGCTGTGAAAGTAGTAGAAACTTTAGCTTGTTATACCATTCATTAAAACAGTGGTACACATGATAAATACAAGCGAGGACAACTGATGCAATTGTCGTTTTGTAAATTTCTTTTTTTAGTTTTTTATATTTATTTGGTTCAGAATATTTATAACAAACTATCTCTATAAATCACTCAAGTTAGAAAGTCTTCAAAACCACGAGTACAATAGCCAACCTTAATCCCCCATCTCTGCGTTCCCAACCCCAAACCAGCTTAGATGAATGGAGCCACTGAATCTCAAGGAATGCATGACGTAGCCCGGTTGTCATTTCTTAGCCCCATTATGAGGCACGCTTCACCCCCCCTGTACCCCATTGGACTCACACACACCCACACACACACACACACACTCCTGTCTCTGGCCTGAGCGACGTGAGAGCCCCTATGTCCTTCTCATTCCCACACTCTGCTCTCCTCCAGGACACTGCTCCGGGGCAAAGGGGGACAAAAGAAGTGTGCTCCCTCCTCCTCTCCTCCCCTCCTCGCTCTTTCCCTCTCTCCCTCTCTCCCTCCCCTCTTCTCTGTTTCGTATAAGGGACACTCAATAAAGTCCAGGCTCACCATCTGGACCCGGGGCCATTACTGAAGGACGATTGCCGTGAGAAACGGAGGTGAGGAGCCAGGGCCAGTGGGAGGAAAAAGTTGGTCAGTGGTCGGGTCAAGTTTGGGAATGTTAGCAATGGAAGATGCTGTATAAAGGAATACTATGGTAGGGAAGAATTTAAATGTGAAAAATGAACTGCTAAACCAAACTATGTTAAACCAAATAAGAGGATTAATCTGATCTGATGCTGCTTTTCACATTTTTATTCATTTATTTTTTACATATATGCCAAAAACTTACATTTTTTGTTTGCATATAAACACAAATAAGTAAATAAAAAAACCCACAAAATAATAATATATGACAAAAATTAACAATAAAAACATACATTTTCATATGACATAAAAATATGAAACTATAACATAAAAATGTATGACTTTTTTACCAGTTTTCTCAAACCATGCAAGAAAAAATAATTAATTAATAAAAACATGAATGAATTAAAATGTACTGAGTAAGGATATTTGAAAATCACATGGGTTGTCTGACTCTCATCTATGGGAACTTAAAGCTGGGGTCAGTAACTTTCCCAATCTCGGCCATTTTGAATGTGTTATCCCTGAAGCAGATGTTTTTGGTGCAGGTTCCCACCGCATTTCACCACACGCTCTCACCCCACAGACCAGGACCGGACCAGGATTTGAACCAGGATCTGAACCAGGACTTTCTCAGGATCAGCCCCTCCCTCCTGTTTGTTTACACCCTGTCATTGTTGTCTGTGAATTATACTCTCATTCACAAAGATGATTGTTAGAATGCCACGCTGTGATTGGTGGATTGGAATATTGAGTCCTGATTGGTCAAACAGTGTGAGAAATGTTTTTTTTTTTTTTTTTTTCCAAGCAGTGGTAAAAAATGTTCAAAGAAATTTGACAAGAGCAAGAGCTGGCTATGGACCACACTACCATATATACACTTTTAGTAATTATATAATAGTCAACAATATACAGCAGGGGTGTAAAACATACGGCCCGGGGGCTGGATCCGGCCCTCCCAGACCTTTAATCTGTCCCAATCGACTGATTTTCTACTAAAATATTTTAATTATATTTTCTATTAAAATATTGGTAATTTTCTGTGCCGCTTAGCATAGCAGCGTCTCCAGTGCCTCTGTACGTGGCCCCTCCCACCAGAGCAGCACAAATGAAGACTTGTCTCTTTCCAAACGCTCTTAAAGGACGATCGTTTTGACTGTTGACAGTGAAGCAAAATGTCAAAAATGAGAAAAGTGGGCGCCAAGTGCAGGATTTTGTTAAAACATTGTGCTGAAATTGCATTTTTCGTAAAGTTTCAGATTGTTCATAATATTATAATATTTTGTAAAAGAAAGAGTTCATCAATTGAAAAAGATTTCTGTAATAGATTTGTGTTTCTCTGCACAAATATTTGAAATTGCTATTTTTGGGGTATATATGCTCTCCCCCCTTTTCCTGCACTAGTAGGGCGTAACGTCTCGACCTTGAACAAGTTTATTGTCTAAATTGTGTTTCTATTTTCAGATTGTTCTGAAAAGCATAAGTCCAGTTTGGGAGCAAATGGGCAGAACTGTTTCCGACATATCGACTCAAATAAAAGAAGTGAAATGAAGTGAAATGGCTTTTTGTTTGTTCTTGCAACTGTTTCCGCAAATGTTCCTGTAAAACTGAATTTAGCACTGTTAAAAGCATAAAAAAGTTGTGTGTTGCATAAATATAGTTTAGTAGTAGTAGTAGTAGTAGTAGTAGTAGTAGTAGTAGTAGTAGTAGTAGCAGTAGTTTATTCGGTCATTTTGCAGCACTACAAAACAACAAAACAAAACATAGACTACAATCCCATAGATCATGACCGAAAGGGTTTAGGCTGAAGTAAAAAGTACTTATAATGCCTAACACTGTTAAACAATGACAGAATTCCAAGAAAAAACAGCTTATAACATATACAATAATAAAATATACAAATTAACATATACATTTTCAGTTATGACTTACTGTAAATATAAGAGACAAAATATAAATTAAAACAAACAAAATTTAATGCGTAATTCATTCATTCCAGAGCTCTATATCTTTCAAAACATAATGCTTTATACCCTTTTTAAAGGCTTTTGCAGTATTAGACTTTTTAAAATCATCACTCAGGTTATTTCATATATTAACCCCTCTAACAGAAATACAATCACTTTTTTTCTTAGTTCTTGTCTTCATTTTTTTTAAAAGACACCTGTTCCTCTAAGGTTATACTGACTCTCTCTGCTCAAATAACTCCTGTAAACAAGGAGGAAGCTGGTGATTCTGGGCTTTATACATCGCTACAGCTGAACTCAGGTCGACAAGATCAAAAAACTTAAATACTTTTAGCTTAACAAAAAGAGGATTTGTTGGTGCATAGTAATTCACATGATTAACAATCCTAATAACCTTTTGGAGAAGAAAGATTTTATTAATATTTGATTTGTAAGTACTCCCCCATATTTCCACACAATAGTTTAGGTATGAATGGAATAAACTGTTATACTGTAGATAAAGGGAATTTTGATTAAGAAGTCTTTTCATTTTACTCATTATAGCAACAATTTCAGCCAGTTTTGTCTGAATTATACTTATTTGCATTTTCCAGTTAAGTTTTTCATCTATATGAATACCCAGGAATTTATTTATTTTTAATATTTATTTGATTATTGAGTTTTCTGTTTCCTAAGATAATATATTAGTTTTTTTCCAAATTCATTGAAAGTTTATTAATAACAAACCACTCCTTTAATTTAGTAAGGTCATTTTCGACTGTGCAGAAGATGCTGTAGGTCTTTTCCTGAACAACAGAGACTGGTGTCATCCACAAATAAAATGCAACTTGATTTGTCCACTGCCTCAGACATCATTAATGTACATAATAAATCATTTTAGCCCCAAAATAGAGCCTTATTTAAAACATATCCTGTTAATGGAGTCCAGAAATAGTTTTGATTTGGGAAAGGATTTGGGGAAGATTGTCTCTTTAGATGGGAAAATGCAGCAGGAAATAGAAAAATGGAATTGAGGCAAAATTACTTTTTTCAATTTTTGTTTGCGTAGGCCTGTGCTTTTACTTGTCCAAATCTATACACCAGTCAAATGCATTTCCAGTGAATCTGAAGGTTAATTGAGTTCACCTTTGTCCTTGGTCCAACACAGTAGGAGGAAAAGGGTACTACAATCAGTCCACTTTATTAAACATTTAAAGCAACAGTTTAATTATAGTAATGATCACGGTCTATGACTATTATTTAACACTGGAGTTCAGATGACATGACAGATTACATTTTATAGATCAATAATGTCTTTAATATTGTTTAAATGCAGATTTTTTATTTATTTTTTGCCATGCAGCAAGTTTTAGGATCTAGTCACAATGTGATCAGGGTCAGCATTTGTGCATTTGCCTTTTGTATAAAGGGATTGTTTTGCAGCTGCGCTTGTTCTCTGTGGCTGCACGGATTATGATTTTCACCACAAGGGTGCGCTGTTCTGCACTGTGGTTTATTTGGGTGACAGCGGATTATAAAAAGCCATAGGCCCTGTCATTATTGGTTGAGACCCAGATTTCCTCTCCTACAGTTGGAGATCTTCAGGACAATAAAAGTGAACAGTTCCAGCACAAGCAATAATAGGCCACATGTTTATGCTATATGCTACATGGATGTGACTGAAATCAAATGAGGAGACAATATTTCAGGTTCAGATAGAATAATTAGGGCTTTATTAATTCTCGGCTAAAGTTTCCAAAAGCAGACATTCAGCGACAGTTGGACAAAAACAGTTTTAGCAGCGGGAAAGAAATTGAGAAGAAATCTGCATCAACTCCACACTCCATGCATTCGGATTCACATTTCCAGATGTTGTTTGGGGTAAAACAAACCAAAAAATCCAAGAAAGTATAGTCACAAACACATAAGTCAAGGCAGAAATGTGTTCAAGATATAACATGACAATTTATTCTGAATTTAATAACTTATTTCAAAAAAATTAGGGGTTTATTTGGGCATTTAAATTCACTGCTTTTCCCTCTGTTGCTGTGGTAAAGTTAATAAAAACAGAAGAAAAAATGTAATTCCAGTTACATGAAAAACAACAAAAGTTTTAAAGAAAACAGACATAACTATTGAAACCTGCTCCTAACTGTTTTAAAAGCATCAACCCAAACAAAAAGATAAAACCAAATGCCACTCAGGATTTAAATATTGCACCCAAATATCATAAGGATTCTCCAAACATTTTACCAGCTTTGTATTTTGTTATGTTTTCTTATTTTCTGTTCTGGATGTTTTGTGGAAGGAGAGGGAAGTGAGTAGAAGCTTGGTGTTATGGAGATCTAGCAGTGCGAAAATAAAAAAAGTATTTGTTAATGGTTTGAGTGAGTCCTGGTTTTAATTCAGTAATTTTGGGCCACTTGTTTTTGGAGAGAGGCGGAGAGAGAGAGAGGAGTGGCGTTAGGGCACAGAGCTCAACACATCCTGTAGGAACGAGTCCGGGTCTGGGATTTCAGACAGCAGACCTGAAAAACATACACATGATTTACATTATTTATTGCGTAAAGAAACGTGAACATAAAGAGCTTAAAATTCAAAGTACACAAAGCAAAAATGCTGTTAAAAAAAAAAAAAAAAGAAAGTAACTCTACAAAGCAAAAAGAGAAATTGTGCACTGTTACAATAAACCATATCACACTGTCTCATACTCACTACAATACAGTTATTTAGAAAATTATTGGGGGGAAAAAAATGCTAAAATAAATTACAAAACATGTGTACAGTCGTCCAATTTTTACCTGGTCCCCGAAGGGTTGACCAGGTTTTGTATTCACCGTGTGTCTCTGTGTGTCTGTCCACCCGCAATAATTCCACCATTTATGGACCGATTGTCACAAAAAAAGCCGCAAAAAAAGTTTGGAGACGATCAGAGGTCATTTGAGGTCACATGGGTCAGTTGAAAGGTCATGCCATTATAAAGGATAGGCAATTTTGGTAAATTGTGAACCATCTGTGGGCTAAAATATTCACCCAATCATCACACAAATTGGCACACACATAACCGGGGTACACTGGATGTTACAGGTTGAATCTGGTCAAAGTCACTTGAAGGTCAAGGTAACCAAGGTCAAATCTGTGTTTATGGTCATAACTCCGTGAAGGATGAAGCTAGAGCGACGGGAGTGGTCTCAAAATTTCAGAAAAATTATTATCTATTTATAATTCTATGCATTTGTATATAGAAAAATATTAATAGTTTTCGATGATAATCACCAATTATAACAGTTTCTTTCTCTTTCAGTGTAGCCGTTAAAATTGTAATTGGAATGAAAATAATTTCCATTTCTTCTTTTTCTGGTGATACACAAGACACTGATCTACAGTCACACAACTAACATATACACAAGTCATGAAAAATTAAATTTTCGTTACACACTAGTAAACACAGACATTCTCATGTGTGACCAATTTCACACAAATGTTCATGGGCCTGTACAGATACACACATTGCATTGTGGATATAACGATCATGTAATATGGGCTGGACTCCTCATAAGCTGCTTCTGTGGTGATGAACTGACCCCACCAATGCCTCATGGGGGACCAAGTTACTGTCTCTGATTGCACAAGTTTTTCCATGTATTTAAGCAAAATTGTATTATATAAGGAGCTCTTGAGGTCAAAACAAGTCTGTGTAGGTCTTGCAAAGGTTTAAAATAAACTACGTTCAGACTGCAGGGCTTAATGCTCAATTCAGATTTTTTTTGTGAAATCCCATTTTTTTGCGAGGTTGTTCACATTTCCATTTAAATGCGGCTTGTATGTGATCTCCAGTGTGAACTTTAAACGCCCAAAAGTGTCCCGCATGTGCATTGGAGGACACAACGACGTCACATGCAGCCTAAACATGGACGCAGCATCGAGCACCTGGAGACTTTAAAGTTGCTGTCGTACCGGAGCCTGAACATCTATAGGTTATTTGTTTTAAGGAGGAGATTGAGAAGGAGAAGGACGAGGTTTTTGGCCATTGTATTTTGTGGGGCAGTGGCAGCAACGTCCGTAGAAAGAAACGTGGGTACAGAGTCGCAACCAGTCGTATATTCACGTTTTGAATCTATATTCCTGTACTAACCTACGACATCGAAGAACTCTGCCAGGCTCTCTGCGGGCATGAGCTCATCCTGGAAAGCTCGGAGCACCCTCTCAGACGCCTCGTAGATGGGCATGTCGTTGTGGCGCACGTACTCTGCCAGCGAGAAGGACCAGCCGCCCTCCGTGGTACTGGTGGGCACCTTCTGTAAAGCAAACAGAACAGAGAACAGGGGATGAGTTTAGAGGAGGAGGAGAAGAACGGAGGAGGAAAGAGGCTGGAGATTCTGGTGCTCACCCTGAACATGTCATAGACCAGGTCCACCAGCCCCCAGAAGAGAAGCGGGGAGCGGTAAACGGCGTATTCCTTTGGCGCTTTATCTGTGAGTCTGGAAGAAAAACACAAAAACGCCAATTTAAAGGAAATATTTACTGTATTTTCCGAACTATAGGGCACACTTAAAAGCACCTCATATATGAATTTATTCGGGCGTCTTAGTACGACTTTAGTAAACTACAAAGCTGCTCTACTTGCAGTATTAAGGCTACTGTAGTCAGGAGCATCGTGGAGTAATACAAACTGCTACTACTTTTAATATCAAAATGCACCTGTCAAGAGACACGCTCACAACACCGACTTTAAATTCAAGGTTGTTATAAAGTTAAACTGTGAGGTGCATGGGAGCAGTGGATAAGAGAAGGAGAACATACATTCACCAAAACAGACAGATAGAGCGACTTACGCCACGATCTGCCAATGGATCGTGGACGCCCGGGCTAAGGATCAGTATCAACTGTGGTCCGAGATTTCATCAAGACCCGAATCATCACTGAAATGCCAGGGAACAGTAACGACACTGACTCGGATAATGACGAGAGGGATGCGGGCGTGCTGGATGCCGTAATCGCCCAACTGTTTGAACAATTGTGAGTTATTGTGAATATGCTAACAATTTAGCGGTCTCCTAAACATTCCACCATTAGAGATACATGTAGAACACCCCCAGCGTGCAAAAATCCCTGTGCCTCACTTGTTGGTGGTGGCGGTGGAGACCCTGCGTGCATGTGCGGTGAGCAGAAGGCGTCGGAGGAAGTAGAGGCGGGTGGTCCTCCAGCGCTCGGGGGGCTGGATGTGCATGCCCAGGATGGTGTAATAGTGAGGGCCTTCCACCTCATACGAACTCTCCACCCACTTCTCACACGGCTGCTCCTGGAAACTCTGCAGGTTCTTCTCCTCCCGGGAGGTGGCTCTTGTGCTGGAGAGACAGGGCATTGAGTTAAGAGTCAAAATTTAAGATTTTATTGTCATTGTCACAGAAAACAACAAAATTAGGTGTAGAGCATCAAACACTGCATAATTTTGATGTAAAGTGCAATACCAAAATGCAAGAACCTTTTTTTTTTTAAATGTAAGAACTACAGGCCACTTCATCTGTGCAAGGCACCATCTTGAGTTAGCAAAGATAAATATTCTAAATAAATAAAAAAGATAAATCTTTAGGCTTCCATTTTAGAGTTAAATACTCTTGGCCATATAATCGATGCAGCAGCCCATGATTTTCAATATTTCTGCACAGGCCTACTGCCGATGACCTGGGCCTGAGGTCCAATGTTTCATTTCTGTGTATTTTTTCTACTGAAATGAGAAATAAACTGTGATTCTGATAACTGGATGTAAGTACATCTGAGTGTCAGTGTCTCCTTACGTGTTGAGCACGTAGAGCACTGTGTGGATGATGTAGGGGATGAGGTGGATGTTGCTTTCTCTCCCTCCTCCTCCCGTGTCCACGCTGAACGACTGCTCGGTGGCAAAGCGCAGGAACAGCAGCTTCGTGTCGTGGATGTTGAGTTGGTACGTGGGCTCCCTCTGCCCCGTGCACTCCTGCAGATATGTGTTGTGTCTGGAACCAACGTGGAAAGAGATTAGACAAGAGGGAAAAGAATCTGAGTGTTTGAGTGTACACAGTGGCAGTTTCATTTTTATTACACTGTGTAACTTTTCTGTTGGAGGGTCTGCAAACGCTTTTCTCCATGGAGATGTTATTGCTTTGTCTGGAATGCTTTACAATATGGTATTAAAAAACCTTTCTACCCTTATGTATTCCAAACCAGATCAAGTTACAGGTCAGATCTGTGGAGAGGTGACCCCACTCACAGTCAGAATGTTTGTTTTTAGGTATTTTTGAGATATAAAACCACCTGTAATTGAGTAAATGTGAGGAAGAGCTGTTTAATGTCATACTGTGGAACATTTCAGGCAGAGCAATGACATATCCATAGAAACAAGCAGATGACGCACTCCCAACCAAAAAGTTAATGCACCTTTAAAAAAAACAATAGTTACATAAAAGATGATATAACCTCCAGATTATGTTTAGTTTTGATTACCAAGACATCCAGTCCCTCTATCCACTTTAGCCAGTAAAATTTTAGGCAAAGTCCTGATTTATTCTACCAGGATTCAAGCCACAAAGTGTCTGCAGCTTTACTGTTAAAATCTAAGACACTTGTGAATCATAATGGGAAAATTTGCACATTTTAAATAAATAAATAATAATAAATGACTTAATAAACGAAGCAAGCCCGATCACTTCCATGTTAGAGAAATGTAGTGCCCATTGGGAGCTGACATCAAAGCAAACATCACAACAACAAAGAGTCACCACCTTCTATCGAGAGCTTCAGGTCACTACAGCGAGCAGAGGATATTTTTTCATTTGTACTAAAATGACATCACAACTCTGCAGAATCCTATGTGTACTACTGATTAAGAAAATAAAATAGGAAAACAAAGTACTGTATTTTTCGGACTATAAGGCACACCTAAAATCCTTAAATTTTCTCAATTTTCTTCTTGTGCTTACTGACCTCAAACTGATTTACATGGTGGTACACGGTGCTCAGAATGTTTTAATATGACTTTAGTTGAGTCCTCCTCGCAGGAAATAATAAAACAAACTTAAATTACCCACCCAAATTCACATTCATCATACACATTCACCAAGACAGGGAGGCAACATCCGGCAAATTACGCCGCGATCTGCCAATGGATCGTGGATGCCTGGACTAAGGGATCAGCCTCAAGTGTCGTCCGTTTGTTTCACTTAATGTGCCTTATAATTCGGTGCACCTTATAATTTGAAAAAAACAGCAGTGTGCGCGTACTGGTAATGTGGTGTTTTGAAAATACCCAATTAAAGATTAGTCAAATACAACTTCAGGTGAGTAAATGTTTGGAGGAAACAACTATAACATGGAAAAAACTCAAAAAAGTTAATTTTGCATAATAATAATAATATGGTCTGCTTTAAAATTTTAAGTCCTGAACTTTTTATGATCAGACAACACTAGCAAATCTACAAATTGACTAAAAAATAACATCTGGTTTCCATTACCTTGCTAAACACGTAGCGAAGGCTGATTCTGGCACATGCGGCCCCCAAACCGGAAGTAGCCCATTGCACTTGGTACTGGCGTTCTGTAAAGCAGCGCTCTCCCACTCTTCCCGACCTCGCGCCAGTCTGAACCAAAACAAATATCACACATGTAGTTCAATAATTATAAAAACAATGAAACAAATAAAAATGAAATAAAGACATACCTGACAGCAGCTAAATGACAGTCGTAGTGGACAATGTTAAAGTGCGAGACAGTGCTGTAGCCCTGCTGTTTACGAGGCTTGTTCTCAAACTCCTCCAGGTTCACTCTCTTTGTGAAGGTGTAAATACCCAGCACTTTGGTAGGCTGCAAAACAAAGGCACATTTTAACTTCAAATTTCAATCTAAAAGTGCACTGCGCAACGTTTCTGCCGTGTTTTTTTTGGCTTTCTGGGTGTTTCTATTACTCAAATAGGGTTGCATCTCCACAGATCTGACTTGTAATGTAGCATATAGTTGTTTTCCTTGAGACAGAAAGTTTAATTTCTACTGTGGAAGATTCTAGACAAAGCAGTAACATCTCCATCGAGACAAGTAGGTGAGAAAAGGTACGCAATGCACCTTTAATAAAATGTTTTGTTTTGTTCTATAACTTTGAGATCTTTTTACCTGGAACTTGTATCCCTCTCTACAGATGCAGCAGGTCAGGCCCGGCTCCTCTATCAGGTCCTCCATTTGCTTCAACAGCGAAGTTTTGGTAACCACCTGCCCCTTTTCGTTGGTCTGAAAACAAGAGACAAAACAAGAACACAAACTATTTACAAACTGTTAACACGAGAATGCTGGCGGGTAAAAACAACAAAAATATTTTATTGGAAGTGCCTTTCGTTTAGATGGTGACGGTTTTTTTGGGGCTTAAAAATGCAAAAAATCTGAAACCACCCTCCAGAGTGGAAAAGTTGAATACGCTCCGCCATAGTGCAAGACACAAAACTCTGGTCAGATCTGCAGGTCACGTACGCCTTTACGTCACGTACATACAGTACACCGAAACCTGGCATGCATACCCAACTGAATTCCACACACTTTTGCGTCACCGTATGCATGCAGATTTCCTCCTGAAAACACTTGTCTAAACGAGGAATAAAAAGTGAAGACACAATGCCACGTTTGCGTCTTCTCTTCAGACCGTCATCATATAAACGCAGCCCTAAAGGTTAAAATTTAAAATGTACAAACAATGAAACTTTAATGATTTAATGGCTGCTACTTTGTATTGTAAGATAACGACACATAAAGAAACAAAGGCCTGGTTAAAATCAAGTACCACCCTAGAGAATATTTGTCTTTCTGAGCGCTCCAAAACTATGATTAAAAAAAAAAAATACTACACTGGAATAGTTCAAAACAAGTGCACATATATGGCAAAAATACACTGAAAAATAAATAAGTTGAATGAATAAATTAGATTTTTGTGTGTGTATGTGTGTGTTAAATATGTGTTTTTAAGATGCCTTACCTATGTTAAAGGACTTTAATTGCTTGTTTACTTTTTAGTTTTTAATAATAAAAGACAAAGTAGGACAAAAATACAAAAAAAAAAAAACAATAATAAGAAAAAAAAAGTTCTTCTCCCTTCTCTTGTTTGTATAATATAATTAATAACAGTGGAAGAGCGTGTACCGTCATGCCCAGCGTGCCCAGTGCCTTCTGCCTCATTGCCATGGCCATGCGCTTCTTCTCAGCTCTGGTCTCTCTCCGCGCGGCGTCGATCTTCAGGTTCACATCGCTGTGTTCCCTCAGAGCCTCCAGGAGGTTCTCCGCCAGCGTCCCGATGCCCTCGTCACTGGAAACCTGCTCCAGTTTGTGCAGGTTTGTGATGGAGTCTGTCCCTATCAAAACCTGGACAGGAGGCCAGACACAAGCATGGATCAATATTTCTTATTTCTGAAAACATTTAAAAACACATGCAAACATTTCAAATGATTGAATATCGAGTAAATTGTGATTGTAGTAAAAAATAGAGATGGACCAACATATTAGGACGATATTTGTACTTTTCAGTGTATAGGCTATCGGCCTTAATCTCCAGCACAGGCCAATATTTAGCTTTGGTTGACTTACTTCCTAAAGAATATGCATAATACTTCATTTGAACACTTTAGTGCAGGGGTCTCCAACCTGTATCTCTCCACCCCATTTCAAGTAGTTTGCCCGTGAATTTCTGTATCATATATATTGCGCTGAATAACTCAAATTTGATTGCTTAAATGCCTATTGTCTTTCTAAACGTATCATTTTGATGCCTAATTTTGTGCACTGATAACTGGATAATGAGTTATGTTTTATCTAACTATACCTCATCTTCGGCTTACCATGGCTCTTATATTTACAAAGTTTCTGGCAACTGCTAAAACTAGTAGCTCTCTGGCATTTTTGTTTTACAAAAAGTAGCTCACAGAAGGAAAAAGGTTGGAGACGCCGACATTAGTGTGAAGAGATAAATGCACAAGACATGGCTAAACTGGTGTCTTATAGTTATGAATAAAAAAGTGCTGTGAGTCATTTAAATTACATAATTTGGAGAAAATAATACAAATCAGCCCAAACATATCAACCCAAAAATCTGTTTCTCTGGATTCTAAACAATCGGTATCGGCCATGAAAAAACAAACACATCAGTCTCTATTAGAAACAAAGGTGGATGGTAAAATAATATTTTCTTGAATTTTTTTAACATTAGCAGTATCAAAGCACATTTTTAACTTCACTAATCTAACACTAACATAAGTTGTAAGTTTATCCTCTGATCTCCAACAGAACAGACTCGAGGTGCCTAGTATTACATGTGCTGCATCAGAGCGAAATTAAAGACAAACTGTACCTGTGTTGGAGGATGTTGCGTTGCTAAACCACGAAGAAGTCTAAGAATGAAAGGCAGCGCTGGTCGAGAGAGGAACTTTTTCCACACATCTGCATCCAGACTAAAAACACACAAAAATAAAACAGGTTTATTGAGGAGTTAACTACTAAAAAAGCATGTACAAGTATAAAACAGTAAACCTACTTTTTTGCATTGGGGATATGTTTCTTCATGTAGTCCAGAGCGCTCTGAGTGATTCCCTTCTGGAGGATCAGGTCTTTCAGCTGGTGCCCGTTGCTGTTGTTTTTGATTCCTGCAGCGATTTTACAGAAACAGTCTAAAAACACCTTTTCATCCGCACTGTGCTCCTCGTCATACCTGGAAATAAACACAAAATGTAATTAGTTTAGCCAAAATCATGGATAATTTATGTCTTTGTCTGGAGGAGAGAACAAACCCTTTAAAAAATATAAATGGAGGCAGCTGGAGGCGAAAGTGAAGTGGAACATAATGGGATTTCAATGGGAAAACCTGGTTTTATCACAGAATATCACAAAATATTGAAAACACAGGATACAAGGAAATTTGGCAAATGAAAATTTCTTGAATACATGTAAGTGACATCAGAGCCCAGTTTAAACACATTTACAAATGGAAATGATAAAACTTTGACAGGAAAATCCAGATTTTTAGCTCTTATTGGACAAATCCTTACAGAAATGTTATGCCTGCTACAGTCTGTCACTTCATCTACAGGTATACTTCAGATTTCATCATAAATTATACTTTTTGTGATGCTCAAATACAATTTTAAGGTTCTTCTTAACAGGGAAGCAAATTAAAAACTAATAGGAAATTCATAAGTGTTAATTCTTTTTTGTTATAATGTTATGTTCAGTTTATTTGTCATTTGTAGTATAAAAAAAACACATTGGAAAAAGGGTGCGAGATCTGTTAATGAGTTAATTACTGAGAATATTAGGGATGTAATGATATCCAAATCTCACGGTACAATATTTTCATGATATACATCTCACGGTAGGGTATTTACTGAGATAATTTGTGGAGGATAACAAAATTGTGAATATGCTATGCCTTGACAGAACTAATTCAAAGAGCTAAGATTTAAAAATGCTTATAACTGCTATTTCTTCACATCATTTGCATTAAAACGAAGCAAAGGATCATGGTCGATGTAGTTCCCTCTGTTATTTTAGCTATTGCTGTACCATAACAATGAATTTAAAAGAAACTTGTGATTCGATATATTGTGATGGTCCATATTATTGAGAGACTTTTAACAATATCACGATATTTTTGTTACTGTTATACCCCTAGAAAATATATTATGTTTGCTTCACTTTGCCTTAAGTTGCCTCCTTTCCATAATTTTGAACATTCTGACGACACAGCATTTTAAAGGATCTATAAAAGTCTCTACGAATGCGTACTTGTCAAAACTGCAGCATGGTTTGAAGCGCTCCACCAGGATCCTCATCTTCTCCAGCTCTCCGAAGGACAGGTAGGGGATGATTCTCAGGAGGCCTTGTAAAACACTGGGGTTGGAGCGGACGAAGGGCGTGTTGATCTGATCTAACAACATCACCAGCTGATCTTTGTCCCCAGCCAGCAGCAGGTTTCCCTAAAACAAGGACAAAAAGGAGCGTAAATTCAACCGGGGAAGTCTAACTCCGCTCTCGTTTACCTCACCACCTCTCCAGCACCTCCTCATTGACCCCTTCACTCCCCTCATCCTTCTTTTCACTCCCCCCATTGTTTCATTGCCCACTTCACTCTCCTCACGCTCTCATCATCCCCTCCTCATCGTCGAATTCACTCTCCTCACCCTCTCATCATCCTCTCATCGTCCCCTTTTCTCTCCTACCCTCTCACCGTCCTTCTTTCTCCTCATCCTCTCATCATCCCGTTCTCTCTCCTCATCCTCTAATCCCTCTCCTTCAGTCTCCTCATTGTCTCATCGTCCTTCTTTCTCCTCATCCTCTTATTGTCCCGTTCTCTCTTTTCATCCTCTAATACCTCTCGTCGTATTTCCTCATCCTCTTATCCCTCTCCTTCAGTCTCCTCATTCTCTCATCGTCCTTCTTTCTCATCGTCTCATCGTCCCCTTCGCTCAACTCATCTCATCATCCCCTACTCTCTTCTCATCCTCTCACTGTCCCCTTCTCTTTCCTCATCCTCTCATCGTCTCCTTCGCTAGTCATCCTCTCATCGTCCTCTTTTCTCTCCTCATCCTTATTGTCTCCTTCACTACAGTCATCCTCTCATTGTCTCCTTCACTACAGTCCTCCTCTCATCGTCTCCTTCACTACAGTCATCCTCTCGTCGTCTCCTTTGCTACAGTCATCCTCTCTTTGTGTCTGAGTCTCTCCAGGTTTAAACATACAATAACAAAGATGTGTTGACAGTTGTGTAAATAATTTTATAGCCGTTTCAAAATGATCTTCACAGTTGTCCGTACCTTATCTTCTGAAATCTCTGCATTGGCTTCGTCCAGAATGATCTCCATGATGCTCAGGACCTGTTCAGCTATGGATGCTCCTCCGCTGTCTTTACTCTCCTGCTCAGCCACCAACGCCTGGAATAAACAAGATCAACAAATTCTAGCATATACTTTTATTATAAACACATTTTCTTATATTGAGAAAGTTTCACGCACCAGGTTGAGAGTCCCTAACATGACGTTGAGTGTGTTCATTTCTGGTTTGACAAGCTGCTGCCGGTTGATCTTCACCTTTACACAGTAACTAAACAACTTCAACAGGACCTGCAAATACAAAAAACAGTAACAGCTTTTATTAGTTATTTATTTATTGCTCATTGGCATCAATTTAAAAGAGAACAACAACAAAAAATCTGACAATTAACAAAAATACATGTTCCAACCATGTGCCTTGTCATTGCATGAAAAACAAGGAACAGGAAGAAGTTAAATCTTATAAACCCTGCTCCTTTCACAGATTAAAAAAATAAATAAAATAGTGCTGTCAAAAATATCATGTTATTAACAAGTTAACACAAAACTATTTTAACAGTGGAATTTTTTTAAATTGCGAACTAGTTTTTTCATAAGTCATGGATACTGCTGTAACATTAGAACAACTACAGGATCTGGCTGTAAACAGGAAGCAAAACAATTTGTATGAAACTGAGAAGCCCTGTGAGGTGCGCTGATGTTATTCATACGATGAAAACACAAAATAAAGTCCGCTCCAAAACATACGGCAAATCCATGCTGACCTTCGATAATGACTGTGACAGAGGCATAAGTTTTGCAGGCTCTCCTGTTCTTGGTGCTCCGAGCTGTTGTTATATCCATAAACTCACAGAGGAGCGCGTATCACCACAGGACTCATATCAATCTCACTGTTTAATAGATATTTCTGCCACTTATTTTCTCAGCCAATGCATTAGCTCTACAGCGCCACATATGATAACATCATCGCCCTTAGTACAGCAGTGGTGGGGTGACAAACACTGTCGCAAACACAGGTGCAATTAAAAAAAAATAAAATAAAATGCACAAAGCCTATCCACTTTTCTATGTTGATAAGAGTATTAAAATATTTATTCAAGGAGAAAAAATGTGCGATTAATCGTGAGTTAACTATGACATTCATGAGATTAATCACGATTAAATATTTTAATCGACTGACAGCACTACAAAAAAAACCATTTCTTTAATAATTGTTCTCCACACCAACCCAACCAAGACACCAATGAGCCATATGCATGTTACAGTATTGTCTTGTGGTTTTCCTTAGACACATAATGTAGTCCTTGTACATTTTTTTAAATTTAAAAACCCTAGTACAACTTTTAAAATCATGATTTAGCAAGTTCCACAGCTTGATAACCCATTCCATATAGATGAAAAGAAAAAAAGAAAATAAAAGTGAACCATTGTGCTGTAATATAAACCTGTGTGTAGACTTACAGTGAGCAGATGTCTCCCTTGTTTGAAGTCCTTGATTCCTGACAGTCTGTTGAGCATACACTCGAGTCCTCCACACTGAGCCATCACTCCAGCCATTTTGTACACCTCCTCATCGTCCTCTTCCTCATCTAGAAAGAAAACAGTCTCATTTAATTTAAATATTGTTAATAACGTGAAATAAAGTGGTAAAAACCCTTGGTGTGTGAATCACAAATGTGCATTTCCCAAACAAACCTGTGGTGGAGTCCAATGATTCAATGAACTCCTCTGTAGCATCTCCCAGTAAACCTCTCATCCTGTAGATTATTCTCATGGGCTCACCCTAAAGAAAGAAAATATGACAACCATTGAACATTTAAATTTAGGATTTAATTAAAATCACAAAGTTTGAGAAGCACGTACCTCATTTGTAGGGCACCACACTTTCTTGTAAACTTCAGCCACTGACAGATCCAAACTGATGATTTTGTTGTTCACCAAAAGCTGAAAAAACATTTAACAATTTGAGTTTCACACAGCGTTCGGCTCCAGGCAAATGAAGCTCATGATGAATTATAGGAGCGAATTTGGAGCCATTTTGAGATTAGAAATGGGAGTCAACTGGAACAGTATCAATGGAGCCGGAAGAGCCCCCATGCTCATTTCCTTTTTGGTTAGCTGTGTCCATTTATACATACAAATAGCACAATTCAGAATGGTTGCCACACCTCCATGCCGCTGTCGTCCTCCAGCAGAGCCACCAGGTCACAGTCCTGACAGATCTTATTCTTGATGTCCCTCATGAGAGGGCCGATCCCGGGCTCGTTGCTGCTGTAGGGATTCCCAGGCATCCGGCCCTGAAGGAAATCCTCCTGCTGCGGGTCTTTCTCCAGAGTCACAAAGAACTCCGTCACCTCGTTCTCCTCCTGGAAATGAGAGAGGGCATGAGGTGAGAGGTTTATATTGTAATACATACAAATAAAAGAAAGTCAAATGAAAGAAAGAAATTGAAAAAAAAATAAAAATTATGTACAGTATGTATGCATCCATCTATAGCAAAATAAAGCTCTCCAATATGAGGCAAATGTAGTCCATAAAATACAATATTACAATAACCAATATTCCCATTAATACAGAAGACTATAGTGCCGACCATGGTCTAAAATTGGCCCCCAATTTTTTTTAATAATCTGGACTATACATTGGCAGAGCAAAATTAAACACTGTTGCTCGTTACATTGTCATAAAGTTATAAAAGTAAAAAAAGACTGCTTAAAAATTAAATATAAACAGTAAGTGACACTTATACTCCAAAAAAACCCTGAAATTATTCAAATAAAATAACTTCTGCCACCATAGACTTAACAAAATCTATGGGAAACACTAGTATACAATGAAATATATTTTTTTAAAGTGTTATTTTTAGAGAAACTTACAGGGTAGATAATGCTGCAGAGCCTTTCAAATATAAACACCGGGGTCCTGTAGTCGTCCAGATTGTACCTCTTGGCTGTTTCAATGCACACCGCCATGAACGCTTTGGTCTCCGACTCTGTACCTGGAAATATGACGGGAAAAAAGCACTTTAGCTCCATATCTACCATTGATTTAGGCCATTTTAAAAACCTAATAAAGTCTAACATATACAAAGTCCAAAATATGTGCTGTAAACAAACCTGTGGTCATGTCTTCGAGCATCTCCAGCAGCATGTCCTGAGTCTCGTCGATCAGTTTGGTCCTTTGCACCACCAGTTTCCTCAGACACAGGTATCCGTTGAGCACCGTGCCCACCAGCCGGCTTTTAAAGTGACGCTTTATGGACTCCACCTCCACAAAAGAGGAGAGCAAGCCTGCAATACAACAGAGCAAGACAGGAGAGTCAATATGGTGGGGTTTTAAGATTTCAATTTGAGAAAAGTGATAAACAGAAATGTACCAGTGAGGCTTTTGAGTGCATAGCCTTGCTGCAGGTCTGTGCTCAAAGTGGCCTCTTCCAGGGCCAGAAGATTTGCAATTTCCTAAAAAGTAAGAAAGGCATATTTTCAGTACAGGAAGGACACGTTAGACATTTGAATGTTAACGGTCCTATATTACGCAAAACGGACTCTTGTGAGATTTTAGCCACGATAGAATGCCGTTACCTCATCAAAACCATACCTGGTTGAGTAACTTTATTATTACCATATTTTTTGGACTATAAGTCGCACCTTTTTTCATGGCTTGGGTAGTCCTGTGACTTATACTCCGGTATGACTTATATATTAAAATTTTCACACTGACAGCCGCAAGAGGGCACTCTAGGCTTGTGTGTCAGTATCTGCTACTATTATTACTGCTGTACCACTGTCACTTCACCCTACTGCACATGTCTCCTGCAGAAAGACAACTGAGAAGACTGAACACAAACGCCCCCAAAAAGAAAATCATATTTTGCAGATTACAAGCTGCAGGTAGCGAAAAAAAAGTTTGGAGTGAGCGAGAAACTTGTGACAACTGGGAGGGTGCATCAATGCAAGTTTCCTGGAAGTCACTGGATGGATCGACAAAGCCTGGACTTCAGTGACACCGAAATCATCCTGTCGGGATTCAGTAAAGCCGGAATAATTCTAACTGGAACTGATGCAAAGTCTGACGTCAGCTACGGAGAAGAGGAAGTGGCGTTCTGTTTACCTCTGGAGGTCGCGGAGGATGAAGAATTCAATGGATTTAGTGATTTGGAGTGAGATGGAGAGTTTGTTAAACTTGTTCAGTTCTGTTGCTTATACTATAGTTATCTGAAAAACTGTTCATATGTGACGTTAACAGTCTGTTGTTCTCTGTTCTATTGTTTTTACTATAACTTGCCTTTCAAGATGAAATGTCGGTTCCTGGTCTCTGATTTTATAAAATAAATTTCCCTCCAAAAGTGTGACTTGTATGTTTTTTTCTTCTACACATTTTCTAGCTGGTACTTCAGAGTGACTTCTAGTCTAGAAAATATTGTAGTCTGTTTACAGCTCAAAATGCTCTGTTCCACCTTGTGATGTCATGCAACAGTAATTTTCAAGTTAAGTTCTACCTTTCACCTTTAGTTATGCAGAGATTGGCAATTCAAAACCTGAAAGTACAAGGTGGAACAGAGTGTTTTTTTTTTAGAGGAACTAACTAACCTAAATATTCAGTTTGTGTGTATGTTTGTGATGAGGAAACATCGATCAGAAAACACAATATGGGCACTTTAAGCTAGAGGTCCAGTTGCAGTTACCTTGGTGATGAGGTTGCCGATGTAGGGCAGGACTCCCCGAGCGGCCAGGTAAACTTTCCAGTGAGTGGGTTTGATGAGCTTCTGATACAGGCCTAGATACTCCACTGCACATTCTCCAGCTACACTCAGCTCATCCAGATAACTACAGGGACACACAAGCATTCAAACATTATACACCGCAGTACACTTGGACTTACACAAACTTTAACGAGCTAAGGGAAATTATTTGGACACAGTAGCTCACACAACACAACATATTATAAAATACACGGAGTATGAAGTTCAATAGTGCCCGCTCGCTCAGGTTCTGGACGTAAATATTCCATTCATTTTGAAATATAGGAACCAGGGGGTGGAAAGTCACTGTCGAGTTCTTTACTAAACTCATGTACAATACTACAATATTAATCCTCTTTGTGTGTACCTGGTGAGAAGGTCTAGGACTTGTTGTTTGCGACTGGGGATGGTGGTCAGGGCTTCTACGATGGTGCAGGCGGCTTGTCTCGCTGCTTGAGTGGCCGGAGTAAACAGAACCTAAAACAACATTGGTGAAGATGATTTAATATTGTTCCTAGACTTTTTTACGGGCTACACAGACATTACATTATTTACAATAAATTAACAAATGTCTAGATCATATCGTGATGTAGTCCGTAGTGCTACATGTCCGTACACTGTTGTGCTTTGTGTGTAAATACAGCACGGATGTTCAGAGCACAATTGTTCCTATTATATCTGACATATTAATTACAAATTCTGCTCTAAAGGTGACGTATTGATGCGCTCTACAGCTGTTGGCACATTTTCTGAGTTAACCTCATCGATTACACTACTACTGTTAAAAAAAAAAGGAATAGTAATAATAGTCCTCTGTATTCACCTGTCGAAGCCAGTTGTTGTGGCTGAGTTTGAGCAGTCGTGGGAACAGACCATCTCCTTTTCTGGATCTCATGAACTGCTTCCATTTCCAGGCGTATTTCTCCAGCAGGTACTGCCTCCTCAACTCTGCTTTATTCTGTGGTTTGGGCGTGTTCTCTTGACCTGTAGACAATAAATTATAAAGTTAAAAAGGTGATGCAACCAATTTTTACGGTCTTAAAAACATAAAACCATTTTATTTTAAAACCATTTGCAGCTGTTCAAATGTATTCCTCACTTTCCTAACACATTTCTAGTATCCTGATTATTCACAGTGATGAATTTAAGAACTTTTCACAACTTTGCAAAGAATGTTCTGCACGGTGGCAACAACAACGCACCAGTATTACTTCTTGGTTCTGGAATGATAAAAACGCTTGATAATTAGATGTAGACCCTAACAACCATTTTACAGTAAATCTGTACTTGGGCAAAACAAATTTTACTTTATTACATGAAAAAAGGGGAACAGTCACTTTAAAGGCCCATATTGCTATTGCTATTTTCTGATCTATGTTATAATGTGATTTCCTCATCACAAGGGCTGATGGTGCTCACATCTTGCTGGGAGACATTTCTTCCAGGCCTCGTACGAAGCTTTGGGGTCCTTCTTGAGCCAGAGTTGAGCCTGGGCATGGATCTCATTACTGTACGGTCTGATGGTGGTGAGGGACTCTACAGCAGCATCCTAAGAAGAAAAAAGTGATCATTTTAATGCTATTGTTGAGAAGATTGTGACGATTGTGATATGCAAGTTATTGGAGTTTCTTTGTACCTTGTTCTTCTTGCTGGTTGGTGCGGGAGGCTTGATGAGTTTCTGGAGAATCCTCAAACACATTAAAGTGATGTTCTCCACCACAACAGGAGTCTTTATGTTCACTGACATCAGGAACAGGCTCAGAGCTGGAACAGAAAAAGAGGATGAAGTTAATACTGGTTGCACAAACTTTTTATGTAAACTGTATTCAATAAAGGGACTTTGTTGGACTTACCACAGCGCAGACGCAGCTCCCAACATCCTCCCTCTTTGGAGATTGAATCTGTCAGCAGTAGCATCTCGTACTGAAGATTACTAACCTGTAACAAAAAAAGGCAAAATGTCAATAAGGAGTATCCAAATTATGATTGCGCAAATTTGACTGCAATTGGTACCATATTAGAGCTTCATAACAGGTTGTTTTTTGTTTTGTTTGTGTACTTTTTTGTGTTTATTTTTATTTATTTTAATGGGGGGATCATGAAAACCAAAATAAATGCATTACTGAAGAACTTACCAGATCAGGATTGGCCCAGTGACCTTTGAGGGCTGCGGACACTTTGGCGATGATCAGGTCGTTCATCTGTTGAGTGGCTTCTGGGTGATCTCTGAAAACACAAATATCAGGAAGTGAAGCTACTGGGAAAAAACAGAGGTCCAAATAGGGATCAATAAAACACCGGAATTCCTGAAAAGATGATAAAGACAGGGATGCCAGTTGTATATTTTGTTCTGAATGTTAGGAGAATTTTGAAGAAGAGAGATGTCTTCTGCATTTGAGAGACACAAATTAGTGGCTGTGGTTGATACAAATTAGCATCTCTGATTGGATCTTCTCAAGTTAGAACAGAGGATTGTCACCCTTTATTGTCTGGCTCCAGTTCCTTCTGAATTCGAACAGAATGTAGAAGTGTCTGGCAAGTGATTTGATGCATCCAACCTACTATAATAGACCTTTTTCATGGCCATAAGTGTCCCGCTTTAGGTTTATGGAACTTCTAGTTAATAGCCTTCTATGGCAAAACGTTTGTGGAAATGTTTGGCATATTCTCCACCAGCTTCATGAATCTGTCCTTCAACCAACAAGGTTCACAAGGGATAAACATTCTACCATGAAGAATTTATCCACAACTATCAAGGTAAGAAAGACGAAAACTTAAAACAGACCACTAGCATTACTAACGTTATGGTATGCTAGAGATGTCTAACATTCGAACTGCAAAAATCTATCTATACTAATATCAACATCATGAAATTTTTTTTAAATTTTAATTGTAGAATCAGTCTGAGTGGACAAGTTACTTATGTTTTATTCATGGCCATAATGTTAGTTTTGCTCAGTAGTTCACTAATGCTAGTCGTCGTTTGCCTTTAAGCTCTTGTCTTTCTAGTTGTAGATAAATTCTTCATGGTTGAATGTTTATCCTTTGAGGACTTTGTTGTTGAAGATTTGGTGATGGGGTAGATTTATGAAGTTGGTGGAGAATACACAAGACATTTACGCAAACATTTTGCCATAGAAAACCATGAACATGAAGTTCTGCAGACCTAAAGTGGGGCACTTCTGGCCGTTGTGAAAAAGGTATATACCAACTGACCTTTTCAATACCTTCAGTAAATTCAATTTTTTTTATTCTGTCTGATTGGAAAGTGTAGCATTCAGGTATAAGGCCCTATATTCAACACAGCTACAACCATTTAATTTATAAAACAAAACAATAATAAAACAAAAAACATAACACTTTGAAGGATACGATTCCATTTTTCACAAAGATATGCACAAAACTAACAGTACCTTGTGAGTAGACAGATGAGTTGGCGGACCTCCTCCCTCATGGCTGCAGTCCCTCTCCTCAGATTGTACTCAAACAGTTCTCTGATCAGCCCCTGCAGTACCAGTATCTGCCTGAGGGCGGGGTTAGTGGCCAGGGCCCTGAGCAGAGTGATGCAGTGCCCAGTGACTGCAGAAGCACATCCGTAGCATTTGGTGGAGGAGGTGTGGCCACAGCCGAGCACAGAGAGGGCACGGTACTGAGACGCAGTGAACGTGGGCTGGTGACTGCTGCTGTTACGGGAGGATTTGGTGGCTGCTTCTCGCTGCTGAAGATCGTACTCCAATAATTCTTTACGAGACGCAAGGACTTTCTGTAAATGCAACAAAATGTAAAATACATTTGTTTTGGTAAAGACAACTGAAACAAGGCTTTTGCTATTTTTGCCACTTCATTTATTAGTAGAGTTTAATTTATTTGAATTTAGTTGATTTATTTTCTGCTCTTTGTGATTATATCGTAATGTGTGAGCTACAATGTCCAAGTAATTTCCCTTGTGGCTCAATAAAGTTTGTCTAAGTACACAATATGACATTCATCAAAGAAAATTTATTAAAATTCGATAATAATAAAAAGTAATAGTCATAATAATTTTGAATTGAAATGAAATAGTTAAGTAGGGTTGCTTGATTATGAATATCACAATTACGGATCATTACATAATTTGCAACGATTATGTACTGCCAAAATCCTGTCCTTATCATTCAGAACTGAGAAATTGTTTGTTTATTTTACCTTTTTTTTTTTTTAAACCGTTTGGCCCTTGGGTTGAATCTTACCTGTATAATCTTCGAGAGTTCATCGAATGAGGTTTTGCAGTCTCCGCTGTACTCCTGGGCGAGCTGTTGGATGTAGCGGTTGACGTTTGCCGAAGACGTACCCAGACCTGCAGCAGCTCCTGTGTCATCCTGGGAAATACAAGGAGAATATAGTGCTTAGAAATAAGAGATTTTATACATATACATATATAAATGTTGTTTTTGGTGTTTCAACACACCTGTGGTTTCTCTGGTGCAGCCTCATTGACCTTGGATAGCAGGCTCTCCAGCTGAGGTCTGTGGCCCATGAGCTGGTGGTAAACTCTGTCTGCTTTGTCCAAAAGAGTGTTGATGTTTGTCACGGCCTGGAGAGGAAATAAACAGAAAAGATTATTTAAACTGAAAAGGTACATCAAAAGGTACACGGAAGACACTTTTGTATGTATAGTGCCAAGTATTTACTCAAAATTTTAACTGCCCCAATAAATATTCTTTATGTTTTCCATGTTTGAACCCAATAACCATGATTTACCTTCTTCCTGTCCTCTTCGTTCTCAATGGGGTCCACAGCGCAGCAGGGTTTGGCATAGAGCATGAAGTCAAACCGAGCATATTTACAGAAACCACAAGCGTTGCACAGGAACGGGTCTTTCTCATCGTAGTTGATTGATCTAAAAACAACAACAACAGTTATTAGATTACTGCAATACTTCCTCATTATAACCACACAGTATTAAAGGGCCTATATTACGCTATTTTCTAATGTTGTTTCCTGGAGTTGTGTTTTGTTTCATTCACACATGTTTAACACACAAACCACTTGTGATGTCATGTGGTGATACAGAAAGTGCTCTGGGGTTGGGCGGTATCCAAATGTTGATACCGTTAAATCTTCTCAGCATTTTACTGGGGTATACAGTATTACCTTGACTAATTAATAATTTTACTTGCACCTATACCATTCAGAAACAGAATAGCAAGCATTGTATTTGCCTAAAAATATTGAAAAGTATCAACAAAATGTGTACATCATTAACAACTTTTATTAACATTTTTAAAGTGCAAATGTAACAGCTGTAAAATGCTGCCAAATTGCAGAAGTACTAGTATATATTTATTTTTTGAGACCATCTCGCTTGCAGCCGGACTTGCCCTCTTGTCTTGGTCTCCCTTATGAGCATCATGTGACAATGAAATGAAGCTAATCGAACATCATCTCCCCACACACACTATTAGTTTTAAATCGTGATAGTATTAAATTGAAAATACAACCACACATTCATTTGTGCTGAGCAAACAAATTTAGGTATCAATAAATTATTATATTAGGTCCTTATGTGCAGCAGATTTTTTTTAACGACTAATGAAACTGATACCGTTGCTACTTTTTGATACCTCAGGATACTGCAATACTGTATTACTGCCCAACCCTAAAGTGCGCCACTGTGTTTTCAAACTCCACACACCTTCACCTAAAATTATTTGGATAATTTTTGCCAGGGAATTGCCATTTGCTAAAGAACTAAAGGTAGCCGCTTCATGATATCACAAGGTGGAATGGCACATTTTCAGCTTTGGAGATGTAGACAGACTAATAATAAACATTTACAAACGTGTGCATGAAACAAAACACAACTTGTGGTATGTTTTTGAAGAGGTAACATTATAACATGGTCTAAAATTCACAAGAGTCTGTTTTGTGTAATAGAGAACAGTTCCTAACCTGCATTTGTGGCACTGGTAGACATTTTCCCCACAGTTGCCACAGACCCCGGGGTTGGCAGGGACAGAGGCACTACAGCGCGGGCACTGGAGGGTCTCAGTGGACGCCTGGTAGTTCTCGTAGAAATCTGAGAACTCGATCATGAGGTTGGAGGCCACGATGGGCAGGGGCAGGTCGATCTTCACCTCCGTCTGGCCTGGAGTCAGCTGTACTTTCTTAGCTTTGTGCCAACGTGCTGGTCTGAAGATGCAACAAAATAAGTTAAACGATCCATCATAATGAATAGTGTTGCATCTGTATTACAAACTTATTTAGTATCTGTTCTAATCTGAGTATTTTTTACCCATATACTTATATTTTATTGACAAGTCTGCCAATCTAGTGCATGATTTGGCAGATTTCAATACAGATTAACGCATCACAGATATGGCTTACACTTATTCCTGTCAATCCCCTCCCATTATTAATTTTTGTTATATTTCCAAAACCCATAATGCAAAAAAAATCCTCTTCAAATTATGTATTATGGTCCTTGTGAATGAGGTAAAATAAACTCACTTGTTCTTGAGCTCCACGATGGCCTGCACAGTCCTGTTGTTGTAGTACAGGTTGATGGTTCGAACCATTTTGGTGCGTTTGAGGTCCCCGATTTTCACCGTAACTTTGCTGATGGTGTGGCTGCCGATGAGCTTCACCACCTGCTGTGTGGTGGTGTAGCGAGTGTCCACTTTGATGGAGGACAATTTGATATTCTGAAAAGAAAGAAATCATCATTAAACGTGCACTGTAGGGATGTAACGGTATCCAAATCTCACGGTACGACATTTTTACGATATACACCTCACAGTACGGTATTTATTGCAGGACTTTTTCCTCTTAAAATGCCTTGACAAGACCTAAATCAAATAACTAAGATTTAAAAGTGCTTAGAACTGCTGTTTCTTCATGTAGTTTGCAGCAAAACAGAGCAAAGGATCATGGTCGATGTAGTTCCCTCTGTTTTTTTCAGCTATTGCTGTACCATAACAATTAATTTAAGCAAAGAAACGTGTGATTCGATGTATTGTGATGGTCCACAATGGTCCACAATATTAACTGAAAGACTTTTGACGAAACAATATCAAAATATTTTGGTTATTGTTACACCCCTAGTGCACTGTGTAACTTTTTTGGTGGAAGGTCTGCCATAGAGATCAGATTTCTTTGTGTGTAATGTTCCAGCGTATGGCATTAAACTTATTTGGACAAGAGGGTAATGTTACTAGGCCAAGTTGTAGGTCAGATCTTTAGAAAGGAGACAAAGCGCTCAGTCAAAATCCATGTTTTTAATGGAGTTTTTAGATATTAAAACAACTGTAATCAAAAAAATGCAAAACTGATCATTTTAATGCCATACTGTGGGGCACTCCAGGGAAGAAAATAACATATCCATAGAAAATCTTAAGCAGAAAAATGACCCAGTGCACCTTTAAGTACTATTTTAGCAAAAAAGTAAGCTGGCTGCTGTGTTAGTACAAACTGTTTTCCATTTGAGTAACTTACTGAGAAGGGCACTTCAGGATTGTTGCAGACCAGACAAGGGTCACTCTCCAAGTAAAAGCCATCAAACTCCACCAGACCTGACAGTGTGCTAAAGAAAGAAAAAATAACAATGAGTAGACTCTTTCAAAAGAACTGAAAAGTCACATAGTGCATCTTTAACGTAATAGAAACATACTTGTAGATGTTAGAGTTGGGGTGGTTTGTCAGGATGTGGTTCTGCGCCCGTAGAATTTCCACAGCCTTTTGAGAATATTCCTTTAACTAAAAACACAAATACAGGATACAAATATTTACAGGAAGTACAATTAAAAGCAAATGTGAAAAGCTGGAGACAGAACCAACCTTCTTCTCAGTCTGAGGAGTCTTGAGAGAGAAATATCCGAGCAGATCGACAAATTGAGCTGCTTTACGGCCGTAGGCAGGAAGCTCAGGCCAAATCGCCCACGTCAGCTCAAGCAGTAACTCTTGTTGGGATTTACTTGAGTTCCTAAAGAAAAACAATTGTTTTTATTTCTGAAGTTTTTAAAGGGGTCTATATTAGGCTATTTTCTAATCTATGTTATAATGTTGTTTCCTCATTACAAACAGACCTGGAGTTGTGTTTTGTTTCATTCATACTTAGCCTGAATATGCAGGATTTGTGAGTTAAGTTGTTCTCTTAAACAAAAAGCACTGTTCCACCTTGTGATGTGCTCCACTGTGTTTTTATACTCCCTACACCTTCACTAGAATGATCTGGATGATTTCAGCCCTGAAATTGCCAATCTCTACTGAACTAAAGGTAAAAGGTAATGGTAAACTCAAAAACTACCACTACATGACATCACAACGTGGAGGAGAGCATACCGAGCTTTGGAGATGTAGCTAGACTAATAATAAAGTGTAACTCAAACATGTGTGAATGAGACAAAAAACACCAGGTATGTTTCTAATGAAGTAACAACATTATAACATGGCTTAAACCTCACAAGAGTCAATTTAGTGTAATATAGGACCTTTAAAGTAGACAGTGAGTAACAGTAACAGTGGTTGGCCAGGTTTTCTTAGAATCTTATTAGTTGTTTACCTGTAGATGTGCAGCGCCAGACAGTGGGCCTGCCAGCGAACAGCCGATGAGTTGGACTCCAGGAGGAAGCAGCGCAAGAACTGGATCAGAGTCTCTTTATCTGCAAACTTGTTGAGCTGACTGACGAGAGCCATGCACAGCTGGTCCTCCTGGCTTCCCCCTCCCTCACCTGGAAAAGAAATCAACAATAACAATGAAATATGGAAGGGGCCATATCACGCTATTTTCTGATATGTTATAATATTGTTTCCTCATCACAAACATGCCTGGAGTTGTGTTTTGTTTCATTCACATGTTTAACACACAAATCCTGCATATTTAGACTGAGTTCTTCTCTCAAATAGAAACACTCTGTTGCATCTTGTGAGGTCATGTGGTAATACAAGAAGTTCTCTACTGTGTTTTTAAAATCTATACACCTTCACTAGAACAATTTGGATGCTTTTGGCCCTGGAACTGCCAATCTTTTCTAACCAAATGGTAAAAAGATAGCCGTTATCTTGAAAACTACCAGTACATGACATCTCAAGGTGGAAAAGAGCATTTGGGGCTTTAGAGACGTAGATAGATGAATAATAAAGGGTTAGTCAAACATGTGAATGAAACAAAACACAACTCCAGGTCTGTTTTTGATGAGGTAACAGTATTATAACAAGGGTTAAAGCTGACAATATTGTGTAATGTAGGACCTTTATTCGCAAGGACTAAAGTAATTATTTTACCTTCTTTTTCCTTCTCCTTGTCTTCCTTCTTGCTCTTTTTGCTGGAGGATTTGCTCTGGGACGATTGGGAAGCGCCGGTCTGGCCTGCGTTGGCGGAGCCGCCCGTTGAGAAAGAGGAGGAGTTGGAGGAAGAGGTGGCGAGGACTTTACTGCCACACAGAGCACAAGAGAGCAACTGCAACAGGACTGGAGAGACGCCCTCATCCACCAGGAAGCTCACTTGGAGCAAGAAGTACAACACCGCTGGGAATACAGGAGAAAAAATATAAATATAAACATATATGCTTTAGACAAACAACTTAAACTTTACTGATCCACAAGGGAAATTATTTGGACACAGTAGCTCACACATCACAATAAATAGAACAAAGAGCAAAACTATAAATGGCAATAGTAAAATAAGTAGCAAAAATAGCAAGAGAATATAAAACACAGAAGCATGGTACAAAATATATCTGAGTTACACTATAGACAGGAGGAGAAACAGTGCAAAAATAGACAAATCTATTACATAAGGGTGAGTTGTTGTACAATTGTATGAAGTATGGTATGAATGTAGTCCTGTATCTCTCACTGTCACCCAAAACATGCTACATAAGACTCCAAGAGCAGTTGATAGTCAAGGTCAGTTAAATACAATCAGTTCAATCATTGTGTGTCTTGAGGCAAGACACTTCACCCACATTGCCTAGTATGAAAGTGGTGTGTGTGTGAGTGATGGTGGTGGTCGGAGCGACCGATGGCACTGAGTGGCATGGCAGCCGCGCTTCTGTCAGTGTGCCCCAGGGCAGCTGTGGCTACAATAGTAGCTTACCATCACCAGGGTATAGAGTGAATGAATAATGCTGAATGAATAATGCTGAATATTGCTCTGTAAAGCGTCTTTAGGGACAGAAAATGTCTGTGAAAAGCGCTATATAAATAAAAAAGAATATGACTGCTTGGTGCAGCAGATGTTTTAAAGTTTTACCAGACCTTTAGTTCTAAACTGAAGACAAAATACAAAAAAAGGTACTAAAATTAAATCAGGACTCAAACAAGGCTACAAGTTTGAACCAATTCTACGTCTGAACTAAACTATCAAACCAAGTGTGAACACTGCTTTATTTGAGGGTTGTTTTTTTTTTAAGTATAATAAATATTTAATTCTGAGTTAATGACTAATATTAATACACTGAAGACTTACAATCATCCTTCATGCAGAATTTTTGCCAGTTGATGGTCCTCTGAGTTGCAATTTCAGCACAAGCTTTCAGGTGCTCCATCTGAGTAACAAGAAGAAATGGTCAGATAAATAATGATTTTGTGATTTAAAGGTGCATTGTGTAGCTGTTCTTGTGGAAGGTCCGTCAAATGTTTCTCTTCATGGAGATGTTATTGCTTTGTCTGGAATGTTTCACAGTATGGCATTAACTCTTTCGATCTTCATGGAGAATGCCTGTTTTTGTAGGATTTTTTGAGCTTTAAAACCACCTGTATCTGAACAGATGTAAGGTAGAGCTGATTAATGTCATACTGTGGAACATTCCAGCATTGACATGTCCATAGAAACAAGCAGGTGACAGACCCCAACCAAAAAGTTACACAATGCACCTTTAAATAATTATAAAAATGCAGAAATCTTACCAGGCTGATAAGCGTGTCGTACTGGAGGGCGGACCCAGAGGTGGCGGTCACAACTCCTGCTCTGAGGAAGATGCCCTGTTCCTCCAGAAGCTTCTTGATGCTCCTCACGTGTGAGTCTAGCGTGTGGAGATCTCTGAGCTGACGGTACTTCTCCTTTGAGCCACAGATGAAGAGCAGCAGCTTTCTGACCTGCCTCCGGACGAACGGGGTCTGCTGGATCATCAGGTACTGGAGAGAAACAGGTCATTACACACTGTACATCGTTTTGTTTTCACTTCAAATATTGATCATTCTACACATGCATATAAATGTGCATTATCTCACATAACTATAACCAAAGCCTTGATGATAAAACTAGGGATGGGGGATATATCGGTACCAGTATCAGCCATTATTGACACAAATGAGCTGATGTCGGTATCAGCCAATTTTCGATACTGATACGTTTTTCACGCTGCCATATTCTGAGGGCGCTTTCTGAATAGACTAATGAATCAAAATGGAAATAGAAAAACATTATACGGCTGTATTTTTACACAAACGATTTTATATCCCACTAAAATAGATTTTGTTATTATTTTTTTTACCAAAGTAAAAAGCTTATTTGTTATCGTTACTTTAACTTAAGAAAAATTTGTGGACCTAGATACTGCATTACATCGGATATTGTTCCTTCATGGCATACCTCAGACAAAAAGTAGAACCAGGAGTGGTCAAAGACTGGTGGAGGGATACGTGGATTGGTATCTGCAATTTTCTTAATTTGATAGGGCAGTCGGAGCACCATTTCTGTCAGGAGCTGTGAGTAAGCTTCAAATACATCAGCAGCATGGCCCTGTAGTGGAACAAACGAAAAAGTGGTCACAAAACATGCTGGTTTACAATATTTTTTAATAATAATTATACATGGGTTTTTAGGTTTTAGCGCTTTTCACCCTAACTCAAAAACACTTCACAGTAAAGTAACAACAAAACAAGGACAGGACAGACAAAAGAAGTAGTGAGGAGCAGTCACATGTGGAGGTTAATGGCAATAAGGAAAAGGTGAGTTTTAAGCTGTTTTTGGTTGTGAGGTCTAAGGTCTAAGGTTTGATTTTAGATACTTCTACAAAAACCTTCACATACTTCTACCATACCTTCACATACTGACGCAGGAAGAAGGGGCTCATGTCTGGGGGAGAGGAGGCCGTGTGGGGTCGGAGCAGCTGGCTGGTGGTCACTGCTTCCTCTTCTCCCTGTTGGCTCTTCCAAAACTCCAGCAAAGACTTGAGCACATGCAGGCAGTAGTCAATGGCACCCAGACTGAGCAGGGCAGTGGCTGTGGCGTTGGAGATGAGAGACGAAGACTGGAAACAAGAGAAACAATTATAAGATTAGGAATTTCCAAATGCATTAACTAATAAAAATGAGTATTAAAGGTCCTATATTACACTGAATTGAATCTTGTGAGCTTTAAGCATTGTTATGATGTTGTTATCTCACCAAAAACAAACCTGGAATTGTGTTTTGTTTCATTCACACGTTTGAGTAACTCTGCATTATTAGTCTGTCTACATCTCCAAAACTATAAATGCAGCTACCCTTTACCTTTTGTTCTGTAGAGATGGGCAATTCCAGGTCTGAAAGTATCCAAATGATTCTAGTCAACGTGTATTTAATTTAAAAACAGTTGCACTTTCTGTATTACCACATGACATCGCAAGGTGGAACAAAGTGTTTTCTATTTGAGAAAAGAACTCAGCCTATATATGCAGGATTTGTGTGTTAAACGTGTGAATGAAACAAAACAAAACTCCAAATATGTTTTTGATGAGGAAACAATAATATAACATAGATTTTTAAAATTTCATAATATAGACCCTTTAATAAAAGTACCTCAGAGGAGGATTTGGAACCAGATTTTGTTCGGGACATGAAGACGCTGAGGAGTCTCATGATGACCAGGTGGACTTCATTGATGGCGCTACGTTCATTCTTCTTTGAGACATCCTAAAATAAGAAAGAAGAGAAAGATTTAACCAATTTTTTCATGAAAAACTGCAAGTATCATCACGTATGCCCAAACGTTATAGGTTTTTGTAGACATAAAAATACAATGAAACTCTAACTTAAAGGCACATTGTGTAACTTTCTAAGTGATCTGCTACCATAGAGATGTTGTTGCTTTGCCTGGAGTTTTTCCAGTGTGATATCAAATTAATCTATTTCTATGGAAACAAGCACCAAGCCAATTTACAGGTCAGATTTGTGGAGAGATGAACCTGATTACATTACATTAATACATTTTTAAAGGTAAAAAAACATCTATAATTAAATAGGAAGCAATAATAAGCTTTAATGATATACTGTGGTACATTCTAAGTAAAGCAATCTCACTAGTATATCTCAATGGATGCAACCAGGTGCTGGACTTGAACCAAAAAAGTTATATAGAGCACCTTTAAATTGGGGCTTGTAAAAAAAAAAAAAAAAAAAAAAAAAAGATACAACAACTGAACTAACAGCATTGATTAGTCCAACATTACCTTCTTGTTCATGCCCAGTTCTGCGATGAGTTGAGCAAGCAGGTCGTCCAGCGCGCCTTTGTCTTTCTCGTCCTCTCCGTCGAGGTCAGAGGTCAGCATAAGGATGACCTGCATGTACGGGATGGCCTGGACTCCACCCACATTGTGTAACTGAGAAAGGTGCTGGAGAAGGCGCTCCAACAGCATGAGGCGCACCATGTGGAGTCTGAAAAGGAAATGATTATTAATGGATGGAAACAAATTTTATTTTGTTTTAAAGTAAGAAATCCATCAAAGTAAGAAATTTCATGTCATTTTTCATTAGATACAAAACCCCTTCTAGGCCTACAAGTAAAACCCCTCTACACTTGTGTTTATTTTTGTTTATTTAAGGATCCCTTTTAGTCCCACAAGTGCACAACTACTCTACGTGGGGTCCACTCTCGTAGTAAAACCATAAAACACTGACCTTACATTAACAGAAAATCACATGAACAGTCAATATATAACAACAAATTTTAATACCTATATGTACATGTCTATACATTTTTTTTTTTGTGTGTGTCAAGTGTCTTCGTGGTCCATCTGGGGTACTCCTTGATAGTCCTACTCATCCTTCTCATATGAAATCTTTGCATAGTTTTTTCAATGTACTCTTTTATTGTATGTAATTAAATAATAAGCATCTTTATTGCCATACTTGTACCAGAAAAGATGCAATGTCCCTTCTAGGCCTACAAGTAAAACTTTCTATACCTATATGTTCACCATGTCCCTCCTCTGTACATCTATAAATTATCTTAAAAAACATTATTTGCTGTCTATATGGCGTATTCCTTCACCCATCCTCCTTGTATGAAATCTTTGTGTAGTGTTTTTGATCAAACTCAAAATTTTGCTTTACTGACCTGTTGCTGGTGTGGATGTCCCCCTCGTTCTCGGCCTCTCCCTCTGACCCCTCTCCTTCCTGCTGGGCTGTGGTGGTGCTGATGGCCCCGGTGCTGGAGCTCACGCTGCCTGGACCACCAGGGTGCCCCTCCACTGTAGCGTCCCCATAGGCACTGCTGCGGCCAGAGACTAGAAAAACAACATTGGAACAGAGTCAGTAAAGTGCAAAATAAAAGTTGTATAAATCCGTGTGTAAATAATCCACAATTTCATGTTAACATTTGTTGTTTTTGGTAGGTTAAATGAAATACAAACTAAAAATTCAAGCAGTTCACAATGTTCTACATAACTTGGTATCAAACAAAGAGGCTGTTTCAGCTGTTGTGCCAAATGATACAGCGGTTTTATTCTGGGTTTAAAAATACAGTAACTTTTCTGGGGGAGGGCCTGTCAAATTCTTTTCTTCATGGAAATGTTAATGTTTGTCATATCATGGAATGTTTCTCAGTATAGTATTAAACCTTCTTTATCTTAATAGAGAAAAAAACAAGACCAAGTTACAGGTCAGACTGGTGGAGAGGTAACACTGCTCACAGTCAGAATGTCTGTTTTTATAACTATTTTTGAGCTATAAAACCATCTGTAATTGAATAAACGTAAGACAGAGCTTTAATGTCATACTGTGGAACATTCCAGGCAGAGCAATGACATATCCATGGAAACAAGCAGTTGATGGACCACCAACCAAAAAGTTACACCTCTGCACGTTTATGAACTACATTAGTTAAAATGTGTGTGTTTTTTTAGTTCAGTGAGTGAAGTGACCCACCACTGTGCTCCCCGGCCACTGAGTCTATGGCGGAGCCCCCGCTCTCAGACCCCACACTGCCCCCGTGTTCGGCTGGAGACGTCCTGAGAGTAGAGCCGTCTGTGGCCGCGGTGCTGCCCTCGTCGTCTGAGGCCGGGGCTGAAATCAAAGCAAGAGCTGGAACAGTAAATACACCGCCGTCATCCAGACATGATTCAGCACTGAACTGACATGTTCTCCATGCAACACTCATGCAAAAGATTTATTACATTATTCTTGTGCTTATTACATGGAAAAGTCTCTCTCTAAACTATTCTATGTACTATCTGTTACCTGAGGCAGTGGTATCTGACAGAGTGCCAGCGTCCAGTGAAGAGGAGCTTGGGGCCTGGCCAGAGAGACCCAGGCTCTGTAGGCCAAGAGCACTGCTGCTGCTGCCTACAAATGCCAAACATGGATATTCAATATAAATAGAACTGAATGTTTCTAATACTAATCTGTCTACTTCATAAGCACTCAAATAAATTTTCTTAAACTTGGAAACAAACTACTGTTCCATACCTTGCTGATCTTGCTGCAGGCTGAGAGCGATGGCCAGTTCAACCATCGTTTCATCGTCTGCGTCTGGAGGGATGTCGAGCATCGGGGGGAAGCCCTCGGCTCCAGCCAGCAGAGCCTCCAGAGGAGACGGGTTTCCATTGTTCACATTATCTGACGTGTCCAGAACCATGGACTCAGACTGATGAGGAGAAGGAATCAAAGTATAACATTTAGTCCAAAGCTAAAGAAGTGTGTGATTTACTTGTGTTTCTACTTACAACCATCTCAAAGCCCTCGTGGTCGACCTCACTCTGCTCCTGACTCTCCTGCCGCCCCTCCTCTACTCCGGTCAGAACTGAAGACTGCATTTTGTCATCAGCATCATCGTCGTCGTCATCGTCCTTGTCTCCTGAGGAAAATCCAAACTATTTTTACTGTTTCAAACATAAAGATGCTATAACAGATACCCAAGTCTAGTCTAGGTTCAATGCTAGTATGGATTATGGACAAAAAAAAACAAGCCTTTAGTGTCAAGATCCAAGTCCTCTAAAATTGAAATCTTGACCGTTTACAAACTGCCATAATTTAAACAAAAATAGCACAAAGCACAATTTAGAAGTATATAATATGAAGACATCTGTCACCTATGGGCGTGTTAGATCGTGGAGGAGAGGGGAGGGTGACATGGCGGCGCTTGTTTCTCGGTCTGAGCACTCGGATCAGAGCCTGTTTACAAGCAAAGCTCACCGATGTGTCCTGGAAGATGATTAGAAAGAAACTGTTAATGATTGGTCCAACCTTTAAAACAGTTAAAATGCGTATGACAGGTTTTTATGATTTTCTCATTTTGACTTTACCTGGTCGGATAATACCTGATGTAAATGTAAATTATAGTTTTGCACCAATGAAGAAGCAAATTGTGAAGAAAAGTACAGGAAGTCCCATATTGATATCACATCACACTACAGGGAGAAGTCTATCCAAAAAAGTTTGTCACAGTTTTCACATGATAAACACATTTTTTCCTGATACTTTGAAAATTATTTCAACAAAATAAAGATGCTGTATTTTTATTTGTCGAATAGAAATCATGATTCCTAAGTAACGGTAATGGAATTCCCTAGCGTGAAGTGACAATTTCCAACCAGGACGTCAAATCTGAAACCTACAAGTTGGCCAAACTGGGAAAAAAATGAGTAGTCCGACTTGTCATAGGCACTTTAATTGTTGACAAAGTAGCTTAACTCCTCATCATTCGTACTTACTGGACATAGTAACATTTGCATATAGATCTTGGAGGCTACATTGATGTAATCTAGTTCACAAGTGCAATAGGCATGAATGATGTCCACCAAAGCGTTTACAGTAGCTTCAATGTGGGTTAAGCCTGGAAAAAGAAGAAATTATCAGAATAAAAGTATTCAATGTAATGTATTTTTTTGATCTCAACTTGAAACTCACCTGGCAGACAAGCGGGTGCAAGAAAAGCATTCTTTGGTTTAAGGGCGTGTAGTTTCCAGAAGTTGTTCATGAGCTGAGTGATGAAATTACAGCTTTCTCCATCCACCAGTTTGTGTCCATCATCTGCTCAACAAAATTAAAACAAATAAAGGTGGTTTATCATGTACCTGGAGTTGTGCTTTGTCTCTACTGAGCAAAAGGTAAAAGATAGCCGTTAACTTGAAAACTACCGCTACACATCACAAGGTGGAACAGAGTATTTTGAGCTTTAGAAATGTAGACAGACTAATAATAAAGGGCTATTTTATTATTACATGTGTGAATGAAACAAAACACAACTCCAGGTAAGTTTTGGATGAGGTAAAACATGGCTTAAAGCTCACAACAGTGAATTTTGTATAATACCAAACCTTTGAATGAACACTAACTAAACTGTCTATAAAGATGCAATCAAAAAATAAGTTATGATCTTTTTCTCAACTGTTAATTGTTAGTTTAAGGTTCATACCATCTTGATGCAGTGCTTTGTTCTCTGTAAAATGAACCAGGTTGTTTGGTCTCATTATGGCAATGGAGCGCGCTGTGATCACGAGTCTCTGAAACACGTCCGGGTCCAACTCCCTCCCTTCTCGAGTGCTACTGTTCAGACACTGCACTGCATTACTCAGCAATGACTGGTCCTGCGAATACAGAAAATACAGAGGTGTTATTATAGCTGTAAAAAAATAAGTTGAAGAAAATGGAAGCTTTTGATGCCTACAGACTGAGAAATGCATACCTGATCCTGCTTCACATTTAAGAATCTATAGTTTTGGCAAAAGTAGGCCTATCATGATAACAAAATTTGAAGAGTGATATTTTGCTGGTTTATATAAGATAAACGATATTACTGAAACCAAAGCATAAAGAAGAATTATCGACAAAACATGAGGAGCAACAACTAAATAGCAAAATGCAACACATCATTAAATTGTATAGTTTTACTTCAAACCTCTAAAACTCAAATCTTATCATATTGCTGAAAAATAATAAAAAATTCCTACTAGTACAAGGAAAAAAGTATTCACGATAAATATTGACCCTCAAAAATTATCGTTCCATCCTTTAATGATAAGTGGACATAGTAATTATCATGACAGGCCTATTCATTGTTCTGATTTCATCCTAAAAGAAAGAGGTTTTTTATGCTCTATGAACAAAGAAACAACCTTAAATGTGTGAAGAGTACCTTGTGATTGTGATACGCTGTGCGGCTGGTGTGCAGACTGGCCAACAGCCCCTTGGTCTGCTGCTGGACTCCTGTGGGTGTGGGCATGGACAGGAGCAGAGTGGCGAGCTCCAGTGCGGCAGTTTTGTTCTTTTCCTGTGAGAGAAATGTACAATTAAAATTTTACTACAACAAAGACTGTCAAGGAGTATTTAAAATGCTCATATTATGGCATTTTCTGATGTATGTTTTGAAGTTATTTCCTCATTACAAACATACCTGGAGTTAGGTTTTACTTCATTCACACATAGATGCATATTTAGGCTGTGTTATTCTATTATAAACAGAAAACACTCTGTTCCACCTTGTGATGTCATGTAGTAATACGTTAAGTGCTCCACTGTGTTTTTAAACTCCATACAGCTTCACTAGAATCATTTGGATCATTTCAGCTCTGGAACTCTGTCACTAAACTACACTACACTAAAACACTAAAAGGTAAAAGACAGCTACAACTGCTTCATGACATCATAAGGTGGAACAGAACATTTTGAGATGTAGACAGACTAATAAACAATTACTCAAACATGTGTAAATGAAACAAAACACAACTCCAGGTATGTTTTTGAGAAGGTAACATTATAACATGGCAAAATGATCAAAAGAGAATATAACAGACACATAAAAACACATTAGATATTTTTTGTAGAACGATAGAAAATGAAAAATATTTTGTAAAAAAACACAGCTGGGCTTTCTCATAATTTCAACACATCAAAATGGTCTCTCTTTATTAAATTATGTGCATTAGTTCTACGTGTAACAATTACATTTAGATTTGCCATTACCTTTTCACCAGAGGAGCCCACGGCAAAGCAGCTTTCCAACGCCTCAAGGGAGTTGACTACCAATCTGTAACAGGAAAAGAAAGATTAACATCTCTTACTCACGAAAAAGGAGGGCGAAAAAACAAGCAAGAAATTAAGGTAAAATCTTAGTGTTCTACAAATGCGCTAAACTAAATGCAAAAAAACAACACTCAATGCAGAGAAAATGCCACTGGGGGTATTTTAAAAGTCGAGATGGTGCATGGTATGTTCACAGTCCACAGGCAGGGGGCACCACACAAGCAGCAAACATGCACAAAACCCATTCAAACAAGCAAAGAAAGGGCTGTTACTAACCGGTCCAATGTTGACAAGGACTCAGTTTCAGAACTTTTTATTGTATTTGTGGGAGCAAAAGAAAAAGAACAAAAAAGTGTGAGGTCCACAGAAATAAACCAGTGAATTTGAATGACTCTGTTGAACAAAAGGAGGACATGCAAAGAGAGATGAAGTCACAATAGCCATGCAATATTTACTCCTGTAATACTGAGTGTGACATTTTTAAAGTACAATTTCAAGACTTAATGTCGTTTTCTAGCTAAACATTTTATGAAGAACAGTTAAAGCTGAATTATACAATGATTATGCATGTTACACATCATATTTAATCATTTGCCCAAGCCCAAAACAGCAAAATTACTAAAAATCTAATCTTTCTAGTAACAATCCTAACATTTTGCAGTATTTAGTTTTTCAAATCTTGACTTTGAAATGGCAACCAAAAACTAAAGAGCTAATTTAATGAATATTTAAAGGTACATTATGTAACTTTTTTATTGGGGGTCTGTCACCTGTTTATTTCTATGGATACGTCATTGCTCTGCCTGGAATGTTCCACAGTGTGACATTAAACATCTCTACCTTACATTTATTAACCTACAGGTGGTTTTATAGCTCAAAAATACCTAGAAAAACAGGTATTCTGACTGTGAATGGGGTTACTTCTCCACAGATCTGACCTGTAACTTGGACCGGTTTGGTCTCCATAAAGATAGAAAGGTTTAATGCTATATTGTGAAACATTCCAGACAAAGCAGAGAAAAGCATTTGATGAACTCTCCACCAGAAAAGTTACACAATGCACCTTTAAAAGTACATAAACACATCTATCAAGTTAATATTTTCCTGCTCTAATTGTCCATAACACCAATAAAACTCCCAAATCACATACCTTTCGAGCACAGTGCCGCTGGCTGTGGTGGGGGTGGAAATGTCCCCGTCACTGGAGCCGTTGCCCTGGTTGAGGTTGGGGCTGCACACGTTATTAACTGAAGCTGAGGAGAAGTCTTCAGGAGGGTCCTCGGGCCAGCCAAACTGCTCCTTTGTTTTACCATAGATCTTAATGGAGTCCAGCATAGTGACTCCCGCTGGGTCCACAGACGCTCCAACTGGAAAGGGAAGAAGTTTTAAGATTAGCAGAATTACGTAGGATCCATAGCAAAAGAAATTTCAAAAAGTGTTTTTGCTATGCTCCTCTACAATCTGTAACTCTATATCTGTCTTTGTAAGTGTGCCAATTCATAAATGAACAAATTATAGGGAACCAGATTAGCAATTATGAGTTGTAGATAAAATATATACAACTTTTGTATTAGTTAGTCCCAAAAAGAATATGCATTTTGTCTTTCTCCAAAAATAGACTATAAACCAACTTCAATTATATAAAGTAAATATTGCTTGAAGATTATAGTTTTTTCATCCATTTGTAAATTGAAGACTAAGAAGTTTTAGCATTTGTTATTGTCATTTCAGGAGTTTTAGTTTAGAGCGCCCATATTATGCCATGTTATAATGATTTCCTCACCAAATACAAACCTGGACTTTTGTTTTGTTTCATTCACACATGTTTAAACCACAAACTCTGCATATTTAGGCTGAGTTCTTCTCTCAAAACAGAAAACACTCTGTTCCAACTTGTGGATGTCATGTGGTGAAACAGGAAGTGCTCCACTGTGTTTCTAAACTCCATACACCTTCACTAGAATAATCTGGATTATTTCAGATCTGGAATGGCCCATCACTATTGAACTACAGGTAAAAATAAATGACATCAGGTGGAACAGAGCATTTTGAGGTTTGGCGATGTACACAGAATAAAAATAAAGGATTACTCGAACATGTCTGAATGAAAAACAACTCCAAGTTATGTTTTCAAGAGAGCAACAACATTCTAACATGGCTTAAAGCTCACAAGTAGGGGTGTGCAAAAATATTGAAATATCGATATCTCATATCGCTTAATGTGATGATACAGTATGGATATCATGGCCTGCTGTATCGATATATCACCATTATATTTTGGTACATTTTATTCAATTATTTTGTTACAGCGCTACAGTTTTGTTACTTGTTTAGTGGAAGGAAACTCATTTATGTGACACATTTTACATTTTCTCCGTTTTTATGATGAAAATGGCTGTATTTCATATTAACTTTGCACAAGAAGTGGTTTAACAAAGACTTTTAGTATCATAGTGATGATTTAGTATTTATTTTTTATTGAACCGTATCGGATTGATCTGAAATATCTCGATACAGTGCACTTTCGATTCGATACGATATATGTATCGTATTGTGGCCTATGTACTGAGGTACGTATCGTAACGGCAACTTAATGATACCCAGCCCTAGTCACAAGAGTCAATTTTCTGTAATATAAGAGCTTTAATTATGACAATGGTACCTTATTGCCTTTACAAATTAAAGTTATTGATCCAATTTGGACAATGTAGTAACACATATTTGCAGTTGCTCTTACTGAATATTGACAGCTTCTTGTCCGCCTGCAACGCCTCCTCTCTGGTGAAGGGGAAGTCAAACCATCTTGCTCTGGTCAGGTTGATCTGCATGGTTCGTCCAAACACTTCCACGTACGAAGGAGCTCTCTCTATGGCCTGGGTCCCCACCTGAACCCTCATCCCAGTCATCACCATGGAGCTGTTGTTATTGACCGCCTCCACTGTGAACCCTCCAGGCTGAAGATGAAGAGTTAGCATTAACAATCAGATGAAGATATGTATAAAAGGTGTGTAAATTACAGTTTGGGGTTACGTACCTTGGTGTTGGCCACGTACATCCCAGTGGAGTTGAGTCTGTGTTTTATCTGTTGTCCGTTATAAACCTGGAGTAAGTCATTGCCTCCAAACTCCACCTCTGTCAGCTGCTGGTTGTGCTCAAAGAAGTCTACAGGGAAGGTCACCTGACTGGATGTGCGTGTAGCTAAAAGTAAAAATTAGTAAGATTAGAAAGAGTTTTTTTTAATTGTGCTAAATTATGTAAACAGCACAGTAAAGCAAATAAAAGTATTTTTTCTTAAAGATGTGTAATCACAGAATGGCCCATCTCTATTAACCTATTAACAGGGACACAAGAGACATTGTTCTGCCTTTCAGGCGTTATCTAGTTCATTTTAATACATATACTTTTGTTTTAAAATCTGTGGTTTTATTTTGGTACTCCACACCAGTGAGTGGAACTGGAAGTGTGAAAAATGAGCAACAGAGATGAGAATACAAGTTGGTGAAGAGGCAATAAAGACGGACTCATACAGTCTGTATGTATACGTTTGTACAATTTGGGTAATTTCATGTGTGTATAAATTACTTTAAACCAAAACTGTATAGTTAAAAAAGATGTTATTATTATAGTAATCAGCCACATTATTTATGTTTACATAGTTTATGCTACAGGTAATTTTGTTTGTATCACACAGCCTCATTTAACATGCCAATGATAAAAATGGATGTGTGACAAATTCATTTATTTTGTTGTTAAAATAAGCCACCTTTTATGGGCAACATGTTGTAACCGCTTTACTACAAGTTACTGAGCTCTCAATATACATGTACTGGAATGTGAAATTATCGCTGATTGTATTTTTCTCTTGCAGTTTCACTCTGCATTCATAAGATGAGCATTAAATCTGAAAACTACAAAAACTGCCTCGTCATTGAATCAGAGTTTAGCTCTCTGACAAGTTGGAACTGCTAACATCTCAATGAGGACTTTACATACAAAATGACAGTATTCATGTAGTTCAGTACTTACTGGTGGCAGCAGCCTTGCGTTTGCGGACAGGCTTCATGATGCTGATGCCACAACTGGGCTGCAGTGCCGGCTGTAGCCAGTAGGAGGTGTTGTCCACGTTGGCCATGTAAATCCTCAAACTGCCGTCTTCACAGAGCAGAATCATAGTTGTGCGTTGTTGCTCGTTGCTGGCAGTGTGCCGGATCGCAACCATGTCCTGAATCTGAGCAAGAAGATAATACAGTGTTATGGACAGAGGAAAAAAAAAACTATGTGTAGTATTGAGTAGGCATGGGACGATATTGAAATTTGGTGTCACGAAGATCATGGCATAAATAACCGCGGTTAACGATAAAATCACCATTATTATCAAAGTTGCTGACAGTTCAAAATGTTTATGGATATGAATAATTATAATTTTAATATTATGAAGAGGCCCCATATTTAAAGGTGCATTGTGTAACTTTTTTGGCACATGCTCGTCTCCATGGAGGTATTATTGTTTTGTCTGGAATGTTCTCTGATATGACATTAAACATTTCTATCTAGCATTTATTCATTACAGGTGTTTCTGTTGCTAAAAAATACAATAATTCCTTCTGTGAATAGGGGCGCCTCTCCACAGATCTGAACTGTAATGTAGCATAGTGTCTCACTTGTGATAGATTTAATATAGGTTTAATCTATACTGTGGAACATTCCAGACAAAGCAGTAACAGGCCAAAAGCGATGTACCTTTAAACATCTGTTATAGCAATGTACTTTGTTATAACTGAAAACAACAATGATCTAGCAGAGAAATTCATGGTTAAGATTTTTTCTGCTCATTCTGGTGAAACAATGGCGATTATGTTTGTTGGCGATTTTCACAATTATATAAAATATCCCATGAACAATTTCTGCGTACCCTTTTTTACCATGACACACGAAATTATTGTTTATTGTCCCATCCCTAGTATTAAAGCTTTGGTGTGTTTTTTACTTTAGCTTTGGCTGGGAGAGTTTTGATTTCTTGGATGAGGAAAGTGTCAGGTTTGACCATTATAACCAGTGGTATTCCTGTAGTTTGTTGGACACAGCAGACCAGGCCAGGGTGGTTCATAACTTCAGACCACTGACACAAAGCTGGGGACATCTTACTGCTGCCTCCATTTGACCTGAGTAAACCAAACCAACAAATAAAATGACATCTATGCAGACTAATAAAAAACAAACAAACATTCAAACATGTGTGAATGAAACAAAACACAACTCTGGGAATGTTTTTGAGAAAGAAACAACATTACAACATGCCTCAAACCTCACAAGAGTAAATTTTGAGTAATGTAGGACCTTTAATACATGGTTTTATTTTTAGCAATGATAGCTTTATTTACCCTTTGATGTTGATGGTGAACAGACGCTGCACTTCGGTGGTGCTGCGGCTCACTGTGGCGGCGAAGGATTTTCCCTGACTGTAACTGAAGAAGAGCATCTGCAGCACATGGGAGTAATACACAGAGACGCCTCCACCCGCCACCTGACCGTTACTGTCCTGAAAATAAAGAGAAAATAGTTAAAAGTCCATCACCAACCACAAAGTCAGATAAATTCTCTTCTTTAAAACAAAGATAGGCAATGAAAAGAACAGAAGTTTGGTGATAAGGTGATACTTCAGTATTTTAGCGTTATATTTTACAGTACTTTGTTTATTTGTTTGCTTGTATCCTAAACCAAGGCATTTATAAAGACATTTATGATGATTTGTGAATTATGAATTGATTATACTTAAAAGGAGAATTACAAAAATGCAGGTACACATTTTTCAGCCATCAAAAATCCCACCCACATTTAGATTTAATTAAAGTCTATATTATTTTCAATACAGATGCTTTCAAATAAAATCTTTTCTCTCAAAGGTACAAATAATGTGAATCAGCATAATAAAACATTTACTTAAAAGGTACACTGTGTAACTTTTCTAGAGGAGAGTCCATCACCTGCTTGTCTCCATGGAAATATTAGCATTTTGCCTTGATTATTTCACAGTATGAAAATGAACTTGGTAATCACAATGGAGACAGGTTATAATCTATTGAAAAGCAAGCCTGCACATGGTAAGAATTCAAGTTTTTAAGGTATTTTTGAGTTCTAAAACACCTGTAATTGAATAAATGCAAGGGAGATTTGTTTAATGCCCATCTGTGGAACATTGCAGGCAAAGAAATAACATCTCTATGGAGAAGTTAAAAAGTGCTCCTTTCACATAGGATAACCAATGCCAAGTCAAGTTTGAGAACCTGTACAAGTTCAAAATCATTGAAATAATTTAAATAAATAACCCAATTCCAATTCCAGTTACCTTTAGGTCTTCATGGGTAATCTCCAGAACATTGGTGACATAAAAGGGCCCATGCTGAGCGCTGCTGGATTCATCCATGACCTGAGTGTACATGTAACCCGCCGAAGACATGATCACAATGATGTTTTTGCCTTCCTCATTGAAAAGGAAAGTAGCGTCTCGAATCTTTGAGCTGGGAAGAAGGAAGTAGTACATGGGGCTCAAGGCATCTACAGATAAGTCATAAACCTATGGAAGAAAGGGAGAAATAGAAATGTTAACTTTTGATATTCATAGCTCCAGAAACATACACTTGAACACCATAAAAAAGAAAAGAAGGAAAGATATAATAATGATGCATGATTAAAAGAATAAAGCAGGACGAGAATATATAGGTAAAATAAAATACTATGGACAGGTGAAATTAGCGACCCCGTATTTTATATTTTATTTTTACTACACACAAGTCTAAGTCTAGATAGAATTAAGAAAGCATGTACAATACTCATTATTAATTAAATTTTAGCCACTTTGAGAAACAATAAAAAGAAAATTACAAGAAAGAAAAAAAATGGACCTTGACAAAGTCTGCAGTGATGATGGCGAGTTCAGTCTGTGAGCCGGGGAGCCAGATCGCTTTGATGATGAAGTTGCCGGTGGCGAGTTGTGGATGAAGAACTAAATGATCAGACACGGAGCCTGTGCTGCTGAACGTGAGCACATGGCAATCCTGGAAGAAAAAACAAGTTCAGATATGCAAAAAAATAAAATTGAATTAGTATAGTATTATTTAATAACTATGTCTTGTAATATGTATCAGAATTAAGTCACCTTGGCTTTTACTAGTTTTTAAGGATTAAAAAAATTAGGAAAGAAATAAAGAGCAGTGAGAACAATAATTTTATATCTGGTGAATATTTCTGTTATGTTAGTGAAATTAACTGAGCTTTTTTAATTCAAGCATATTATTAAAAAAACCTAATCCTACAAGTACAAGGTAACCTAACCCTAAAGGAAACCTACAAACTAAACCAGACTGTTGGAATAAAATGTAAATAAATACAATGTCCAACAAAATTATAGCTAATATATTAAAAAGGCACCATTAAAGTATTTCACCTTGAGTCCACAAACAGCCAGGTAGTCTTCGTTACAGGGGTTTCCGGTGAGACTGAGCACAGTGAAAGGGACCGGAGCTGAGGCCAGGCGGGTCAGAGTCAGTTTCCTTTTACTGGAGTCGGCCTGTTTCAGGAGAGTGGACAACTGCAGCACTGTGATCTATGGAGAAAATACAGAACATAGATATTCAGCGTTTGTAAATTTCAACAGAGGTCAATAAAATAAAAATTCTTGTTCTTACCTTTCCCTTCTCGTGGCTGACGGCGAGGTGCTGTCTGCGTCCGTGTGGTGAGGACAGCACACACATGGCCACTCTCCTCAGGACGTGTGCACTGATGAGCTGTCGGATGGTCTGGCCCTGGTCTCCGCTGTAGTTCATTCTGACGTTTTCAAAAGCTCCTTCCTGAGACCCAAGAGTGGGAACCTGAAGAAAAAGATGCACTTAGATCATCAAACCAGGTAGGTTCAGATCAATACTTGTTACAGGACAAATACTTATTCATACAAATACTTATACAAATACTTATTCTCAATTATAATAATGAATTGTAAAGAAATCCTGATTCCTATATCAAATTAACACAGAAACATAATAGTGTTTAATACCATGAGCTGGTCGGTCATGTCCACAGTCTTGTCTTGAGTGTGCAGTTCATTGAGAGCCTGCTGGGCCCTGCTGCTGCTGCCCACCGCTGAGGCCTGCTGGAAGTTCGTCTGAATGGCCTCCATCAGAAACATGAGCATCTCCAGGATCGCTGCTGCAGTGGACGAGCCCATCTGAAGGAAACACAAGAATGAATAAGCAAACAGGATTTATTGACTGCAAGATCACAAACTGGATATAATGATTTAAAGATTATATTCAATGTAAATGACTTCAGATTTTTTTTATGTACTTTTTTTTATTAATGAATCAACATATTAATCATCCACCATCATAAACTAACCTGCAGAGAAAATGGAGTTTCCAAATTCACGAGTTGGATAGAAAAAATACATAATTACTATTAACTTTCCTACTGAATTATTATTTCTGAGCAACATTTTAGAAAAGATGCAAGAACAATAACCGTAATTACAAGAAAAATTCTGTTAATTTTTCGATAATGCACCAGTTCAATCAGTCCTAACAGCATAAAGTAATTAATGAAAATGAAGGTGCATTGTTGGCGACTTCACATTATCCAGCATATACAATTACAGTGGGCAATTCAGCCATAAATATTGCCACATATGAAACAGTGAGGTTGTTTTGTTACCACTTGTGAGAGCAGCTCTTCCTGGCAGCCCTCGATGCTTTTGCACACGCTGCTCTTCTTGGGCCGGTCTTCGTCTCCAGGTTTCCCGTCGCAGATGGTCACTTTTCCCTTATCAGACGGAGAGGAGCTCTGGTGGCGAATGGCGCTTTCAGGCATTCTCAGTTCACTCTGGAAGGCAGAAGACTCCTTCAGAGTGGAGCCAATCCCACTGCTGGGGCTGCGTTTGACCAGAGCCTGAGGAGAGAGAGGAAATTAGAAACAGCATTAAATAAAGTTGATAAAGTTTGGGTTTTTATAAATGTTGAAAAAATGCATTCAAATAAATATTGGATGGGAGGTGGAAGCCTAAACTATGACAAACAATAACCATACAGTACTCTATTATAAATGATGGGCATGCCAATATATGCTACATCGATCTATTTGTTTTGTCTGCTACATTTGAAGTTTATTTTAACCAGTAAACTGACATAGTATTTATTCTTAATTCTGTTAAAAGGGACATTATGCTGGGAGATCTGGGGAGGTTTCATTTATTCCCAACAGTAGATGTGGTGCATCTACTGCCGTTTGAGTTCTTCTCTCAAACAGCTGATAAATTAAATAAACGGTAACTAATTAACTGTACAAACTACTGCAGGGAATAAATATAACCAGCTAAAGGGTCAACACTCATAAACATATAAATATTCACACTGGTGCTAGCTATGTCCCTGTCTGGTGAAATGAGAGGATGGAGGTCGATGGGAGAATGACTCGAGCCAAAGTTACCGCTGTTGTTCTCTTCCCATGGTGACCTGAGGTGTGCGGTCTCACCTGGCAGCTGCCATCCTCTTTGGCCCCGCAGTCACAGAAGAAAGAGCCATATTTGGCATAGGAGATCTCATGGTCTTTGTGACAGACCTTGGCGCACACTGTGCACACACCTACCCCATCCACCATCTTACAGGTGTGACAGTGGTACCTGCAGGACAAAGAGGGTCCACGGAGATCAATACAATGTCAGACATGCTCATTTAAATTACTATATGCTTAACAGATAATAAGCCATGTATATGTAAGTAATTCAGAGGCGAAGGTATGGGTTAGAATGGCACCAGTAAAAGCATCAAAATCTACGGAGTAATATCTATAACTATCTTTCTACGAAGAACTGTTCTGCTTTCTACTCATTTTCCCTCATACAAAGCGCTTTATGAGGCAAGCTGAACCCAATATCAGCATTGTTTGACCCACTGCTGTCACATACAGTCTAAAACTTTTACCAGTGCTGGTTCATGAACTCCTTCTGTGTGATGGTGAAGGTGCAAAGTTTGTTGCAAAGAGAGTCTTCATCCTGTGAACATTATATGGAGATCATATTTAAACTGAAACATTTCAAACAAAACCACTTCCAAGAATAAGAAGTAAAACAGTCTTACTGAATCTTCAGCCTGGGAGTCGTCCTCCTCCACCGCCAGCTCTTCCACCCAGTCTGAGTCCACCTCCATGGCCTTCTCCTCTCCATCCACCAACAGAGAGGAGTTCCCCTGCCCACTGCTCTGCCTCAGCGCGTTCATCACATCGGCCAGATACGAGATGATGTGGCACGAGCACTCCAGCATACTGGCATGCTGTGGATTCATGTTTTTTATTAACATTATAAAATTTCCACCTCCATTTTGGAACACACATTAAAGGGCTCATATTACACTTATTTTCTAGTCTCTGTTATAATGTTGTTTACTCATCAAAAAAATACTTAAAAAGAGTTGTGTTTAATTCATTCACACATAATTAACACACAAACCCTGCTTATTTAGGCCAAATTCTTCTCTCAAATAGAAAACGCTCTATTCTAACTTGTGATGTCATGTGGTTACACAGGCTAATTTCAGCCCTGGAATTGTCCATTTCTACTGAACTAAAGGTAAAAGGAGCTGTTAATTTAAAAGCTACCACTACATATCATAAAATGAAGCAGAGCATTTTGAGCTTTGAAGATGTAGACAGACTAAAAATAAAGGGTTACTCAAACATGTATGAAAGAAATAAAAACTTCAGGCATGTTTTTGAGGAGATAACAACATTATAACATGGCTTAAAGCTCACAAGAGTCAAATTTGTGTAATACAGGAAGGACTTTTAAGTAAAATCTATGCAGCTTACCTTTCCTTGTGTTAGATTCGTGCTCACTTTTTCAACTACATTCTTTTGAGTCAGATATTTTTTGCTAGAAATACAAAAGTGAAAAGACTAATCAGTAGCTGTCTCATTTAGTAATTAATCACAACTTTTAGCACAAACTCTCACCATCTCGTCAGCCAGTCTATAGCTGCCCTGTGTAGCTGCAGATGCCCTGCTCCTTGTCCAGCGCTGGCTAAAGTGGCCATGATCACCATCAGCTCTGGAAAGCCTGTCCCGTCCCCATTGGCTAACATATCCGTGGCCATGGGTATGAGCGTACTGAGGAGCACCGTGCACACGCCCTCTCCGACCTGGCTGTTGTCTCGAACTATGTGTGTGGTGAGCAGTTGCAGTAGTTGGCGGTTTTCTTGTACCACATCTAGGTGCTCTGAGTCCTTCGGCGGGGTAGCTGTCATTCTCGTCAGCCAGGACTGTAGACGAGATGGTTCCACACAAGCTAACTGAGCCAGAGAGCCACACAGACACAGCAGGCTCGGGTTGGGGCTCTTCTCGGCTGTAGAATGGAAATATATTATTAGTTTTTGCATGTTATGGTATAAATTACGAAAAAATATTAGAGCAGTTTAGACTTACTTAGTTGGAAAAGTTTAGTGAAGAACTTCAGAACCCTGTTGCAGAATTTTGCAGAGAGGTTTTCATTTGCTGTGGCCATCATGATTTGGACAAGTTCACCACTGTGGGAGACAAAGCATATAATTAGATAACATATAATTAGATGGTTATTATCAAGCACATACTGTTTAAAGTGTGCCTTGAGGAATGGCTAGTTATTTGTCCATGTTGTGTATATTCTTATGTTCCTATGTATCAAGTTTCAGACTTCATATTATGTTATTTTCTATGTTATGATGTTGTTTCCTCATCAAAAATATAGCTGGAGTTGTGTTTTGTTTCATTCACACATGTTTAATACTCAAACTCTGCATATTTAGGATGTGTTCTTCTTATCTCAAAGTGAAAACACTGTGCTCCACCTTGTGAAGTCATGTGGTAAAACAGGAAGTGCTCGACTGTGTTTTATTTTTATTTTAAATTCCATCCACCATCACTAGAATCATTTGGATAAATTCAAATCTGGAACTGTAAAATCACTTCTAAACAAAAGATGCCAGCAAGCTGTTAACTTGAAAATTACTGCTTCATCATATTGCAAGGTGAAACAGAGCATTTTGAACTTCAGAGACGATAGACTAAGCATGGCAGGATTCCTCGGACATATGTGAATGAAACAAAACACAAGTTGTATGTTTATGATGAGGTAACAACATTCTAACATGACTTGAAGCTCACAAGAGTCGATTTTGCGTAATATTGGCCCTTTAAATTGTGTGATACAATGTAGGTTAAAGTCAGGTTAGTGAGTATTCAAATGCTAACTGGCGTGAGTTTATTTTGCATAACTTATACAGGGTTCCCACTCTTTTTCACTGACAAAATTTCAAAACTTTTCCATAACTTTTCCATGACCTAAAGTGAATTTTCCATGACTTTATGGCACCTATGTGTAGAATTGAGCATACTTTCAGGTCTAAATATGAAATTTAAAATAATGTCAATGCATTTATTGTCGTCTCTTTAAAACAAAAGGTGCATACGTTCGGAAATAATCATAATAGCCTAATAATAACTTAACAGAATGCTGCAGTTGCATGAAAGAGATACTAAAATTCTGTGACTGCAAAACTTTAATTGAATTTACAAAATTCCATGACATTTCCAGGCATAGAAAATGACATTTTCCATTTCCATGATCATGGGAACCCTGCTTAAAGGTGGTGTGAGAACAGCTGTGGGTATGACCATAGCAACAGCAAACAACTGAGCTGCTGCTGTGAGTTCAGAATGTGAGCATTAGTTTCATGAAGTAATGAACAATGCCCTAGTAAACATGTAGTATTTGTGTCATCACCAATGAATATTACACAGCACATTATATTTACCCAAATGAGAAGAACTCCTCCATCGCCTTCCGGACTTGACTGCTTTCCAGTTGCTTCTCGAGGTATTGCAGGCACTCCTCCAGGACAGACTCATCTAAACCACTGAGGATACAGATAGAAGACAAAAATGTTACATACACATAGAAAAATAAAATTATTACAGCAGCTGTAGCAGAAAGGAGGTTTTGAGATAAGATACCTATTGGGGTCTGAGTGATTGGCAATGATGTTGTAACAGCCCGTCACTAAACGCTCATAAATCCTGGCGAGGAAGGCGTCTGACTCAGAAGGCCCCAGGATCCGCTCCAGTGAAGTGCTGCTGATTTCTGCCACACTTTCAGTGCTGCTCTCCAACAGCAGCGGCAACAGTGTGCGCACGACCTGGGACGGATTCAACTCCTCCGTTCTGAAGAAAATAAACAGCAAAGTCAACACATTTGTTTTTTGTTATTTAAAGGCCCATATTACGCTGTTTTCTGATCTATGTTATAATCTTGTTTCCTCATCACAAACATACCTGGAGTTGTGTTTTGTTTCATTCACGCATGTTCTAAATAATAACACAGGATTACTCAAACATGTGAATGTAACAAAACACAACTCCAGGTCTGTTTTTGTGGACTTAAAGCTCACAAGAGTAAATTTTGCGTAATATGAGACCTTTAAATGTTTCTTTTCCAGCTTTCACTTACACAATGAGATCTCCGATGAGGCGAACCAAAGACAGCAGGATGTGTTTTAATGAAGACGCAAGTGGTAAAGACTGGCAGCTCAGAGTGCCCAGGTGAGCGGCCTGGATGGCACTGATGTAGCTCTCAGATGGGATGGTGTCATTGGCAAACGCATTTCGCTAAAGGGATAATTAGCATGCAAGTATTACATTTCCACTAAGTAAGTAAAATTATAAAAACACTTATCAGTGAACTACTAACCCAGGAGCCAATGTTAGGAAACTCATTGGTGTGAATGCTGTTCCAGGTCTCGCACACGGTCTGCACAGCGGAGGGCAGGTTCTGCATTACACTGTGACCTGGGGAATAATAGAAATGTATTTAATTATACTGAGTAACAGAAGAATAAAGTGATATTCAATGAGCATTTCATTACCCAGCATATTGGCCTTGCAGCGCGTTGATCCGATGGACAGAACAGCAGCGTAGCCCTGGAGTTTAGCATCAGTCAGTTTATTCTCTCCTTCCTCTGGGATGTTCATCAGGAGGTACGACCTAAAAGCAGGTTTGTTTTTGTAAGGATTAGTAAATGGTTCCTAGTGAATATCTAATGTTCTTAATCCTAGAGGCATTAGTATATTCAGTAATACATTAAAGGTGTATTTGATTTATATTTCTTCTTGTTCAATCACATTATGCAGTGGTTATTTTAAAAAGGAAATTTGACTGTAAAAAGTATGTGGTTGATTTTTTTGTAAATGTAATGTGGTTGGATGAGAACAAAACCAGACAGCTTCTATGTCATCGTTCAGTATTACAGTGAGATAAAGAACTAATGGGGTGTGAATTACGAAAAGCATGTTCTTCACTTCTTCAAATCCCTCAGTCGTCCAGGTAGAATTCATAGCAAGAAAAAAAATGTTAACTGGACAAAAGTTTTTTGATCAAATACGTTTCACAGCTCATTCAAGAGGAGTAAACTACACTGAAATTACCCTGAAACAAACTGTAAACAAATAGGTGTGCTAGTTTCTGAGTAGTTTCAGTGTAGTTTGCACCTCCCTTCAGGCAGATATAAGGCGGTGTCCAACAACGTCTGACCAGAACTGAAGAAGCAGCTTGGAGGTGCTGTGAAATGTATTCGATCAAAAAACTGTTGTCCAGTTGACAGAATTGAATTTCTCCTTTGCTTTTCACTCATGGTTCAAAATTGGGTACAGCACATTTAATGTCAGGTTGCTATATATAAACATTTTAAATTTGGTTAACTCTTTATGGCAAAAACCCATGATAGAAAGAGGTCAAGGTGATAGAGACGTGGGATCCTAAAACCTTCTTCTCACCTGGTAAATGCTGTGTACACATCTGTGAGCTGCAGTGTGGCCGGGAGCAGGTTCTTGGTGATCTCTGAGGACTTCTGTGTGTCTGCTTCAATGGCCACTTTGGACAGATGTTCATCCAGAGAAACCTGCACTTTGGAGATTACAGCATCCAGAGTGTAGATGGCCTGAAGAGAGGGCAGCTGACGAAGAGGGAGGATGGCACGAGGGTCCACGCTGGAGAAGGTGGAAATCTGGAACAAAAATTAGAAAGATATTATGTAAATTTGCTAAGTATAGTGCATTTGTGTTTGTGTTTTTAGTATGTAATATTACCTGTCTGGCGATGTACTCCTCTGCCAAATCCACATCATATTTGACTGTACTGCACAGAGCTGCTGTTGACTCCACCAGTGCAGTTGCTTGGTCTGCTTTCATTCCCTGCTTCACCAAGTGCTCCTAAAAAGATTTTAGAAAGAAATTATACTTTTTTAAATGTTTAAGGAAACAACATTATAACATGAAAAATGGCACAAAATGGGCCCTTTAAATGGTGAAAACATCTTATTAATAAAAAAAATTTCAACTGCAATAAATCACTTTACATCTACACTTCTGTTCACTCAGTATTAAAAAAAAAATTTGACCTCAACATAAATGCACAAAAAGCAAAACTCCTTGAACAAACCTTGATCCAGTTGACGTAGGTAGACACTCGAAGGCGTGAGGACCATCTGAGAGTGTGGAGGATGTCGCTCTCAGTTGGGTCACTGCAGCCCGATTTCAACTGCTCGATGTAGGCCTTTGATGGGGGCAGAACTCCCAGAATCCTCCACAGCACCAGAAAGTAGTACTGCAGTGAACATGCCTCCTGTACAAAGACACAAAATTAAGGGTTCACATTACACTATTTTCTTTTTTTTAAATAATTTTTATTTTTTTTAATTTTTCAATTGTACAAAACAAAACAAAATAGAAAAACAAACACAGAGGAGAAGAGTGCCGTTACAATTGTTCAATGAGATATCAATCAAGATACGCTATTAATTTTCAGATAAAGTCCGATCTGATGTGTTTCGCATACTCAGTCCATTTCGTCCATGTTTCATAAAATAAGTCCCTTTGGTCCTGGAGGGTGAAAGACAGCTTTTCCATCACATAAATCTCAAAAACTATTTCTATCCACTCCTCTATCGATGGAGGATCCGCCCTGAGCCATTTTCTTGTAATGGCTTTTTTGCTTGCTACAAGTAGCATTGCTAATAACTTTTTAATCATCATTTCCCCAATTCTGGACATTAACATCTCCCAAGTATAAACATTCAAAGTTAAACATCAATTTAGATCCAAAAACATGGTTTATATGACTCCAAATCTGTGTCTAATAAAATTTCAGAACATTGCAATCCCAAAAAATATAGTAGTAGATAGTGGTTCGCCCCCGATGAGCCACAGAGTCTCCAACATGAATCCCCGTTCCCCTGGTGTCTTTTTTGAATGGGTGTGATAAAAAAAAACTGAAAATATTCTTCCATCCAAACACTCGCCATGTATTAGATAATGTTATCTTCCATTGTAATTGACAAATTCTTTCCCAGCTTTCAGATTACCTTCAATTTCCCACCTTTTCTTAATGTATTCTGTATTACCTTCTTTACCTTGTTGAATTGCTTTATGCAATTTAGATATTATATTACTCTGAGACATTGATTTTGTTAATGTTAGAAGGGTCAATATGAATCCCATATTGCCGTTTTCCCATATACTTTTCATGTTTTGGTCAAAATGATGTCTAATCTGTAGATATCTGTAAAAGTCTTCCTGTTCTAATCCATTTTTCCCCTTTAATTTGTCAAAGCTCAAAAATACCCCCTTGTGGATGAAAGAGTAGTATGACGTCAGACCCTTTGATATCCATGTTTTGAACCTATTATCATGAGTATTTAGAGGGAAATCAGAGTCATAGGCTACCCATCTTAATATTTTAGATATTTTCTCCAATTCACAAATTCTAAGAACTCCATCCCAACTTTTCAAGAGGGATTCATACATAAAATCCTCTGTTATGTTAACATTGATTTGTAATTTTTTATCAGCCAATAGTGCCATAATTGGAATATTTTCCATCTCAATTCTTTCCACTTCTTTCCAGCTTGCAGAATAGGCTGGTGAACATAAACATACCAAAGGTCTGAGTTGAGCCACGTAGTAATAGTCCTGAAAGCATGGGAGCCCGAGCCCACCCCTCTCCTTCCTCAGTTGCAATGTCTTATATTTAATTCTAGCCCTCTTGTTTTGCCAAATATATCTACCCAACATTCTGTCCCAACTGTACATTACAGTATTTTCTGATGTTAGAATGCCGTTTCTTCTTCACAAAAAACTGGATTTGTTTTTAGTTTCATTCACACATGTTTAACACACAAACCCTGCATATTTAGGCTGAGTTCTTCTCTCAAAACTCCATATACCTTCACTAGAATACTTTGGATGCTTTGGACATGCAATTGTTAATCAATGTAGACAGACTAATGAACTAGGATTACTCAAACATGTGTGAATGAAAAACAACTCCAGGTATGCTTTTGATGAAGTAACATTATAACATGGCTTAAAGCTCACATGAGTCAATTCTGCATAATATTGGGCATTTATTTGCTCTTACCATTGCTGTAATTGGCTTTGTCTCTTGTCTCCTGGCTGTGTCAAACTGGGAGCCTGCTGCCAACAATGAGATGAGCCAAGAGTAGAGATCGTCATATTTCACTGCTCCACTGAAGAGTTTTGGAAAGACCTATCAGAAAAAACAAAAGATTAATAGGGTTTGTGAATGAAGACATGGACAAAAAAATATAAAAGAATGCAGCATTACCTTCCCATCTAATCTGCTTATATCATCTTCAGACGCCTCTGGGGACAGGACGCAGTAGAATTTGGGTTGAACATTTGAGTCTGGAAGAAATACGATCATTTTTAGACCCATTAGAAAGCACACTAGGATCTTAAATGTGGACAGTAATACTATTTCAGTTGAATGTCCTCACCTGCTGAACAGTGCTTGGCCCAGTTTTCTTCCACTTCTTTAAAGCCATAGTACAGAGGCAAACTGCTGCGCTTGCCTCCTTCCTGAGCAGAGCTGGGCCCAGACGAGGGGGGAGTCAGGAGATTGTACTGTACCTATTAAATAAATGAAAGAATTAGAAACGAAGAATTAGGTCAAAATCATGGTCTACTGTATGTTTATTTATATAGCATATTTAAAAATAAACAGCACTGCCCCAAAGATAAAAGCAGAATACAAGTAAACACAATAAAACAAGGTTAAGAACATAGATAAAACCAGAAAATCAACTTGAGTTAAAAAGCAGTGTAAAAAGTGCATTTTTAGCAGCAATTTAAAACTCTCCAGGGAAGCAGCAGCTCTAATGTGTAATCAGAGGGCTTTCCACAGTTGAGGGCCCGCTACAGCAAAGGCCCCATCTCCTCTAGTTTTGAGTCTAGCAATTAATCAATCCAGCTGAATACATAAGTACACAGTTTAACAAGATAGATGTGCCTAAATGAAGCTTAATTACCAAATTGTGGGGAGACTGCATGTTCAGAAAATTGCTAGGCTTTTCTAAATAATGTGAAAATATTACATTCAACTGTCAGCTTTCTCAGAATAAAGAAAAATAAACCAACACATTGCTTCCTCTACTGAGCAAGTGTTACTGAAAACTCAAATCAGTAGTCAAGCCTAGTCAATATCTTGTTGTCGTCAAGTTTTTTTTTTAAGATTTATTGAGCCATGACCCATCCACACAACGTTTTTTTTTGGTTAGAATCGTAGACTGTAAAAATGAACGATCCAAATAGGAAGTGAGCATGGGGGCACTTCCAGCTCCATCAACTCTGCCTCCAAATTCACTTTACAATGAAAATTCGCCACCCTCTCTCTGTAACTGCTGCTGTCATGCTCCTCATTTGGTCTTAAAATGTTCATATTAAGCTGCTCTACATGATCTTGGTTGTTTTATTTTGCAATTTTTTCTGTAAATGAATTTCTATTCCTAATCTGGAACTCTGCTCCAAATAATGCTCCTGTAACTGTTAGCATTGTGAGGTTAATTTGACTGGAGTTGAACACTATGGGTGACATCACAATCCCTTAGTCCACTTCTTTATACAGTTTATGGTTGGAACACTAGAAATTATCTGATAAATAAGAAAATAACCAGGTGTTTACAGTCCATTGCAGTAGCTTTACCTGTTCAAAGAGGTAGAGTGGAGCTTTGGAGTAGTGCCGTATCAGGTAGTCAAACACCAGCAGTAGTCGTGCCAGGTTGAGGGGCACAGCCTTGAGTTGTGAGTCTCTGCTCTGAGCCACTTCAGCGATGGCCTGTGTGACCAACGTGAGCACGGTGCGGCGGCCGCGCTCAGAGAGGTTGTGGAAAAGGAGCAACAGAAGCTGGAGGTGCTCCACGTTCAGGTCATCATCTCCGTGCACTGTGCCCTGGAGAGTGTGCTGCTTCAGGGTTCCCAAGAATCTACAAAGAAAAGTAGCACGTTCATCCTGTTTGCTATTTTTCTCTATATTTAATGAAAAAATATTATTATTAATTATAAAAATAATTACTGAAAAGTAAAGCAACTCTAAACGAGAATACATTAACAGCACTGAACTTAGTAAAATTCTCCCATTTGAGCAAACTTACCTTTCCCAGACCTTCATACACTCTGGGACATCTGGGTCTCCCTGGAGTGTGGCCTTGTGCTGCCAGATGAGCAGCAGCCTGGACAGGACTGACAGAGACTGAGGGTGGATGTACAGAGGCCAGGGGCCCTCTGAGAAAGGGGCCACCCCCAACTGCTGAAGTAGTGTGCTCTGAAAAAGATAAGAGGACATTATAACACCACTGTAATTATGCTTATGTAGTAATATTGGTAAATTTCTATCACTTTAGGTCAGTTTAAATGTGAGGTTTTATTAAATAGGCAATAATTGCTTGATTAATAATTAGGTTTCCATTAATATGCTTTTTGTAGATGCTGAATAAACAGATTTTCAAAATAAAGAACCATTTAACAGTAAATACAACATTTATTTAATATAGATCATCTTCTTAATGTTCAAGTAATGGATGGTTAATAATAAATTTGTTAAAGATTCATAATCTTTCATGATCTTACGCATTTCAGTACAAGTTATCTACCAACTCTATTACATTTGTTATCAGATTTGCAGGCTTATCCTCATTTTCTACATTAATTCCAGTAGTCCAGCTTTTTCAACTTAAGGTACTGATCTACCAAACAGCCCAATATTGAAAACATTTATTTTCTTTCATTTAATTGATTAGACCAAGTTTAGGTCTAGGTTAGTATTAATATTTTCTGTTTTGGTTATTGTTTAAATCTGCTTTAGACCTGGTTTGGACCTGGGTTAATTCAAGTTTAGTTCTAGTACGCTATGGTCTAGTGCAGGTTAAGTATAGGAGTGGAAATTTTGTATGACCACAGATTATGTTAGAAGAGGTGCTGTGTTGTGCGCCTATACAAACCAGAAGCTATGGTCCTCCGAAAATTCTGATCCTCAGGAAAATGTAGTTGAAATTAGTTCAATATTGAGGATTTTGGGGGAAAATTTTAAATGTTATTTGATTTTGTTGTCTGATAACAAATAAAACAAATTGAACGCAATAAAGAAAATGTAGTTGAATATACCTGGACTATTATCTAGTGATGGGAGTACATCGATACCATTTACAACCATTTTTATATAAATGTTGTTTGTACCTGTAGAGCTGGAGATGGAAGATCAGACGTGACCAAAGTGTGATTGAAGTGATACAGAGCTAAAGAAAACACTTCATCTGACGACCCTGAAAAAACAACAACACAAATTTAATCTTACAAAACCAGCTCATGGTGAAATTATTTTCCTGATCAAGTGGCGTTACCTTTCACATCTTTATCCACGTCTTTAATGATACTAGCCAAAGTCGCCATGTGCTGCTCCGTCAGTGACACGCTCAGGTAGTTGCGAATAAAGTTATTTCTTGATTTGAGCATAGATGTGGTGATGAAATTTAAAATACTGGAGGCCAAACTGAGAAACTGTAGAAAGAGATAACCAAAGTCAATCAACAGCCTATGCATAAGCAGTGATGTAGTAAAAGTATCACATGAATAAATTAGCTTAAATAAAAGTAATAAAGTACATGTTTCAAAAAGTACTTAAAAAGTAAAAAGTCAATTTACTTACACAGATGATTTTGAGCTCTAATAAAGCTTCAAATGTAGTGATTTTAATAAAGGTTTGTACTGAATTTTGTTCAACAGAAACAAATGAATCGATGTTTTGTTCCTAGATTTTATTTTTTGTATATTTTTGTTTGCTCAGAATATGAATTTGTTCAAAATAAATTCCTCAGCCTTTTCAGTAAGTCTCAGATAATAATAGTAATAATAATACTTTCACGAATACTGGCTCGAGCGTCCCCCTGGCTTGAAAGTCCCAGCTCGAGCGGCAGAATGTTCTCACAAGCCTTTATTATGTGATGTATTTAGTCAGAAAATCCCCATTCTATATCATAATAAAATGAACGTAGCAAGAACACATGTTGGGCCTTGTTTGTGTCGTATTTTAAATAATTTTTCTTGTTCCCCATGCCCTATAACATCTGTAACTCTTGATTTTGGAAGAAATACCAATTACTTCCTTACCTGACATGAATATAATTTGTAAGTAGCGCAACACAAGAAACTTATAAATCTACAGAATTTGTTCAAAAATCATTCCGAATAATTTTTAGGAAGGTCTTAAATACGTATTTTATTGAAATATGTAAGATAAAATCCTGAAATAGCTGTGGCACATTTATTGAGAACACAGGAGTTTCTGAGGCAGTAGTGGACTATTCTTATTTTATTTTAATGTATATAGATTAACTTTCATAAAGGTACAGTTCAGGAGGACTTTCCAGCTTGGGGACCTTCCAGCCAGAAGGACTTTCCAGCTGATTTCCACTTTTACTTTTAAGTCAGGTTCAAAAATGTAGTGGAGTTGAAAATGCAAATACCTGCTCTCAAATGTCGTGAAGTATAAGTAAAAGTATCATTGAGTAAACCTACCTAAAATGTATACTTCAATACTTTTATTTTATTACGTTCCATCACTGAATCAATGATACACAATAGCTGTTATGTAATTTGGGTCCTCACCAGCTCTGGGTCTTTGCGTCCAGCTAAAATATTCCCATTCTCACTTGGGTTCTGCTTGCTCGGGCTTTTTAACCTGGGAGATGTTTCCAAAGGCGGAGGGGGGAGGGGGAGGTGGAGGTGCTACTTTGTCCTTCGATGGGGATATTGTCTCTTCAAACCACAACCCCAGAATTGGCTCACTGTCGTCATCTGCAAATAACGGCAAACAAATTATAAAACAAAACTGAAAAGGGTTGAACAAGGCTGAAGACTGAAGCATGGCACCACATCTAAAGCCAAAATGTAGAAGCGTCAGAAAACTTGGAGACACCTACAACACTGTGAAGGAGGTGGACAAAAGCCAAGGACTACAAGTGCCAGTGTTGTGTTGGTGGAACAGCTTAAAAGAAGATAATCTCACACGAATTAACTCGCTACAATTTAAAATGAGAGCACCAAAACCACAATCTGTACACATGCAAAAAATCTAGTGCTATAGTAAGAGCAGAATCAAATGTTCTCCCAGTAATTAAAAGCGTTGCAAAGCTTTATCTGTGGTCACCAAGGTAGCAGCATTAAGCAGAACAAGATCAAAAGCATTTTTAGAAGATTTTGTAAAAAATTAAATAAATCTGACTATTTCAAACACTTCTTGAAGGTGAACTGTGTAACTTTTTGGTTGGGGGTCCATTCACCTGTTTGTTTCTATGAGTATGTCATTGCTCTGCCAGGAATATTTCATGGTATGACATTAAACATTTACCTTATATTTATTAGATGACAGGTGTTTTTTTGTTTTTTTTTAGCTCAAAAATACCTAGAAATACAGGCACTGTCAAACTGAGTGGGGTTGTCTCTTCACATATCTGACCAGTAACTTGGTTTGGTCTCTATGAAGCTAAAAACGTTTAATGACTATACTGTGAAACATTAAAGACAAAGCAATAACATGCCCATGGAGAAAAGCATTTGATAGAGCCTCCACCAGAAAAATTACACAATGCACCTTTAACTTAATCACATACTTTGCAGTCGATCACACCCATAGCTACCTATAGCTGTAAACAATAAACAAATCTAAAACCTTCATTAGTGATTACATATCTGCACATTTTCATTTGTTATGGCTTAGCTTCCAGAGAGCGTCACTCTTTCTTCAATGTGGAGAATATCACAAAGTTGATATTCACGTGTGCATGCGACATACACAATCAGAACTGTTCAGGTGACAGCTGGACATAGTGTGATTGAGCCCCACAAGCACAACATCTGTACAAGAACAATACCACTGTTTGACATGGGAGTCTTCCGTCCTCTCCGAATAATGTCTATCAAGCATCTTTGACATGTTTGAAGACTCGTGTTACAAGAGAAAAACAAAACATTTTGCAATTTGTTTCCATATTTCTCAAGACAGGTGATAATTAGTATCTACAGACAACAAATGGCCTGTCATAGATCTCTCAATGTTAAATTTGGAGTTTTGGATTTCAATGGTCAGTCGTGAGCAAAGGAAGACATGTTGATGATTTTAAGATGGAGCTGAAATGCTGTGGGGGAGTTCTCTCTTCTACATGTCAATAGCATTGGTATTATCCTTACATCTACACTGAGCCAGAGTGAAAGAGTCTGTCAAAACAGAATTTAGTGTGTGTTAAATCAAACCAGAGTGTTTTGCCAGAGCTGCTTCATCAGTGGCTCAGTCCGTCCTAAACTACAGGCCACAGCTCAGAGCTACTGTGAGACAAACAGGGACAGAATGGTTCGGGGACAGTGAGGTGGACACTGAGTCTGTTCTGACCTGAGACACAAGCTGCACTTGTCTTCTCCTGTCTTCTCTCTGCTGAGATAGAGACTGTCACTACACTGAGAGCAGTAGTGGACAGACAGTTCAAAGTCACAGTGTGGTGTGGCGTGTTTATGCTCCTGACTGCCCCCTGCCTGACGCCGCAGGCAGAGCACCTGTCCCACTGCCTCTCACACAGCGCAGCACTGACACACTCGTTCAATCCACAAAATATGTGCTGTAGATTTACACTGTTAGTGGTTTTAATTGAGCTCACAGTTCTTTGTAATTCAAGGAGTCAGGCTGCGATCTCTCTAAACATGAATTCCAGCAGAAAGACCCTATTTGCTCTGCCAGCGTTTGGGCTGGAGTACCTTGGCTGCTGTCCTCCTCTGTGCTGCTAAAGTCATCTTCATAGTAAGTGTTAGAATCTGTGGAGGCACTGGCATCGCTGCTGACTGAACCCTTCCTCTGTCGCTGGAGAACACAAGCCTAAAACACATTATTTGAACACATATAGTAAATAAAGTAAATGACATTAGTAAATATGGACAAATGTGACTGGATAAACCTGTACCTTTTTGTATGAGGTGCAGAGCAGAGTAAACAGGAGGTTGGTGAGTGGCACAGAGTCTATGAGTCTTTGAACTCTCTGAATAGAAGTGCTCTGGGCCATGATGTTGAGTTCAGCTGGAGGACCATCACTCGCCCACCCCTGCACAGAAAGTGAGGAAAATCAGGGAGGAAAAGTGATAAGGAAATTCATGTGACAAATGTGACGTAAAGGTTAGAATAGATAATGGTAGGATTTCAAATTTATAAATAGAAATTGCAGGAGATTCAATAGGTTGTGTTCACATTGTAGAATTTTATGTCTTAATTTCAGATGAAGGGCAGAGATTTATGTAACTCTATGGGAGATCCACTGTTTTTGAAAGAAATATTCAAATCAAAAAATATTTAAACGTATTTGTTTGGGATTGACTCAGCAAACTTCTCATTTGAATCATATGGCTTATAGTTCTTTCACTTTACTTTCTGAAGCTATTGTGAAAAAATAATGTCAGTTTTGCTCATTTATGCTGACCTTTGTGCCAGTTATTGCTTCATGGAGTTAGGTCCAGTATGACAGAAATAAACCAGGTCAACAGATATGTAATCTGACAGTTAAACAGCAAATTGCGCCACAGAATTATCACCCGTCCACCTGCTCAGTTTTAAACCAAAGGATTTTGAATTCTGAAATGGTTTGATCACTATAATGTTTGATAATTACATAATAAAATGAACTGGTTTTGTATTTTACCCGGTGCAGAGCTTCTACTTGCAGATCCTGGAAAAGTGAGGTCAGGAGTTTGATGGCATGGTTTGCCAGGATGACAGACAAAACTCCAAACCCTTGGTGGCTTTAAAAATAATATATATAATTAGACATATTTCATCAGGAAAAGAAAAAAAAACTACAATTATGTCTGTGTAATCCCTCAGTCATCCAGAAGGATTCATAGCAAAAGAAAATTTCTAATCTGCTGGACAAAGTTTTTTTTTTTTTTTTTTTTTTGAATGAAGACATTTCACAGCTCATTCAAGTGCTGTTTTTAGTTCTGGTCCATTGGAAATTTGACCAGAACTGAAGAAGAAATTTAAAGAATTGAAATTTTCTATTGCTATACAAAGAATTATGTTTTTTTTTACCCTTTTCCAGGCCCAAGTTTGGGTGAACCAGCTCCGTCTTTAGTGCGAGCAGCGATGTCGCGTACTCTGAGAGCAGCCAGAGGGTCCTTTTCTTTGCCTTTATCAGCCAGAGCAGTGGGGCTGAGGTTCAGGATTAAATACAGACTATTCAGCAGGCACCAAGCACCGAGCAGCTGGAAGTTCTGGTAATGCTGTGAAAGGGAAAACATCACATTTTAAGTAAATATTCTGCTGACAAACAAAGTTATTTAAAAACGCCAATATTATGCCATTTTCTGATATGTTACGATGTTGTTTCCTCATTACAAACATACCTTGAGTTTTTTTTTTCATTCACACATGTTTAACACACAAACCCTGCATATTTAGGCCGAATTCTTCTCTCAAACTGAAAACACCCTGTTGTTGTGATGTTATGTGGTAGTATAGGAAGTGCTTCATTGTATTTTTAAACTCCACACATCCTCACTATCATTTAGATAACTTCAGCACTAGAAATGTCCATCTCTACTGAACAAAAGTTAAAAGGTAGCACTTTAATTTTTTGAGATGTAGACAGACTAAAAATTCAGGATTGCTCAAACATGTGCAAATGAAACAACACAGCTCCAGGTATGTTTTAAGGAGTTAACAACATTATAACACGACTAAAAGCTTCACAAGAGTCAATTTTGTGTAATATTTAAAAGAACGTACCTCTCCTCCAGCTCTGCGAGAGTTGCTGATGGCTTGTCCAATCATTTCATAAATTTCAAGCTGGAAGAAAAGAAAGTTGCCATCAGTTACAAGGTCAGGTATTGGAGTATAGGATTAAAACAATAATTTACTTACACATTTTTGTACAATTGTGGCAGCATCATTTTCATAATCCTCCTCTTTCGTCCCAGTGGTGGCAGAGCGGAGCTGTAAACCACTCCCAACTTGCAAAATAGCCATGCAGGTAGCCACACTCACACCTACAGAGATAATAATTGAATTTAGTATTATAAATAATCATAGGTATGCAATAAATAAATAATGGAGTTTATCTAGGTAGTTGGTTATGAAGTAATACCAACCAGCATAGAGGCAGCTCAGAGCCAGCACAGTCATGTCCAGAAGTCTCCCTGGAGTCAGAGGTTCGAGAACAGGAAGAGAGAGTGTGTCCAACGCCATTGTTACATCGATCACTAAAGAATGAAATCTGCAAAAGGAAGAAAGATTATTACAAGCTTGTTTAAATGTGCACTGCGTAACTTTTTGATTGGGGGTCTGTCACGTTCTTGTTTCTATGGTATGTCATTGCACTGCTTGGAATTTTCCACAGTGACATTAAACAGCTCAACCTTACCATTTATTCAATTACAGGTGGTTTTATAGCTCAAAAATACCAAGAAAAGCATCAATTCTGACTGTGAGTGGGATCACATCTTCACAGATCTGACCATTTAACTTGATCTGGTTTGGTCTCCATGAAGATATAAAGGTTTAACACCATACTGTGAAACATTACAGACAAAGCAATAACATTTCCATGGAGAAAAGCATATGACAGACCCTCCAGCAGAAAAGTTACTCAATGCACTTTTAATACAAGAAAAAACCTAAATACATAGCTATATTATATAACAACATCAATGTCACACCAGCACATTAAATCACAGGCGTGTTCTTACTCAGTGTGAATGCAGAAGGAATTATAGACTGTATATATTCTAAGTTGGGCAATGCAGTGAATCAAATTTGAGTCAGGTTCAGTCATTTCTAGTCATCAATCATGAGCTCAGGTCTCTGTCAGTACAGGCATTGGGTTTGGAGCAGAGTGCAGATTTTGGATGAAGAAATTGCAATATTGCTGTATATTATTATTATATTTTGTGTTAAATGTTTATGAATAAATGTCATTCTACTCTTTTATGGTCAGGAAATTAATTCTGGATGCCATTTTTGTGTGTTTTCAATAGGGACTAATTCAGTTCTAACAAAACCTTGTGATCAATCAATATGAGAAACATAAATATATACATGTATTTTTTGTCAGGTTTTCCCAAGTTAAGTAAATAAGTTTAAGTAAATTGCAATGGAACCCAAGAGAAAAGTTTAAAACACTGATCTGAAACAATAGAGTAAAACTGAAAAGAATTGACTCAAACCACAAACTCTTGCATAAAATTAGAAAAAATGTTTAAGAGTCAAGTACACCTCTCCTAGATTATTATTATTATAGATATGCATATTAATATTTGTTCTCTCTTAGTTATTATACTATTTTGTGATGTGTGAGTTAGCATCCAAATAAGTTCCCTTGTGGATCAATAAAGTTTGTCTAATTAAGTACTTTTTCAAACATACCCATTGCGGACAGCTGTAGCATCCGCCACGGTGGCAGGCATGATAAAGAACGAGTTGGCCGACACAGCATCTTGGAAACGGTTGATGTAGCGCAGGAAGTAGGGCAGGTTGAGGCACACTCGCAGCAGTTTCTCAGACCCACCTAAAAAGACGACGTAAAGCATTTTCAGAAGTGCACCGTGAAATACGACCTGAAGTGCAGTTCTAACAGAGCCAGGTCTTAACTCACCAAGTTCCTGTAAGCTTGACACATTCTGAGATACAAAGGCATTTTTCATTTTGGCCTGAAGAGCCTGGTCTGAAGTTTGGTCGTCGCAGTCACTCTCCGTCTAAAAAAATAAGTTAAGATTAAGGATAGAAGGGAAAAAACAAGCATTATTGTATTGTGTGATTTAATACCATGCTCTCATTATTAAAAAATACAAGGTTGGTTACTAAAATAAAAGGTAGTTGTGAAATATTTTTGATGAGTGTTATTGAGTTGTTGACAGCCATATTGTCATTTTCATCTAAGGCTGTGCAACTAATTGAATTTTGATCACGATTTCGATTTGTGTGCCAAACTCATAATTTAGTTGAAACAATAAATCTTAATAAAGTTTATTTTGGGATATTTTTGATATGAATAAGTGTATTTATTTTATTTTTTTAATATAGAGATTGTAGAACAGCTGGATATAGTTTATTTCGGATACATTTATGTTTTTCTTTGTCTTATGTCTTATTTATGTTTAAAGTATATTTTATTCATTTTATGTTTTATCCTTTGCAAAACTGCTCTAAGGTGCATATTTATAGCCTATATTTATTTTCAGTTTGAAAGTTTTGCATGAATTATCAATAACAAAGGGTTTTTTAAGAGAGAAATGCTGAATAAATGCATCATGTAACTAAAAAATAATTGTGATTTCAATATTCACCAATCGAGCATAATCGAGCAGCCCTATTTTCATATTCTTTTATAGCTCATATACATTAAGCAACCTTTATGCTTTAAACAAACTTTAGTCAAAATTATTAGACTGGATCTGCTCCTCTGTTTTCCCTGTTGTGCCACTCCAAAGATTGTGGAAAAATTCACAAACAGAAAAGTGATTTTTTTCGTGATGATTTTCACAGAATTCAGTCATTTAAATATTGGTCCTACCACTATGAAAAAAATGGGGCGAGTCCTCAGTCTAAATATGTATGTGAATAGTATACAAGTCTCTATGCAGAAGAGTCTTTCAGCTACAGCTACTCAAAGCTATGCAAGTTTCTAGAGCAAGATGTAACCCTTTCAAGCCCTTGCCAAATGTAAAGACAGAGGAAAAAATCTTGCAAGATCGTTTTCATGTGCGCACAGTCTCATGGCATAAGATCTCGTCCCATCCCTATTGGCTCCTTTATATAATTGTGTTTTTGTTTATATGTAAATGAACATGAATGTACCTGCATGTGCGTTGTTGAAGGGGAGGCCAGGATGGTGGTAAGGTCCGGGTTAAAAACTGAAGTGAGTTGATTAAAGAAGTTCATCTGTACTTCTTTTTGTCGAAGCTCAGGGTTCACAGTAGTAGTGGGCAGTTCCTTCTGATCCTCCACTGTTGAAAAAATTGAACTACAGTAAGAAACCACCAGTAACATCTTTTTTTAGTAAAGACATTTATTTAGCCACAAAACAAGAATGAAAAGAATGTTGAAGTGTTCCCCATTAATACAGGAATTGTGGTCCTCTATTGTCTGAAATAAACTACAAACATATTGGAAAAACAAAATTAGATGTTGTTGCTCATTGTATTATCATGAACTTATAAAGGAGAGAACACTGGTCAAAAATGCTGCTTAAAATTAAATATAGGCTGGAAGTGGCATTTAGACTGCCAACTAGAATGAAATTATTCAAATAAAAAGTATTTGTGCCACCATAATCTTAACAAAATCTATTGGAAACACTGGTCAGAGTTGCTTGAGTAGCAATTAGAGAAGGATTTCACTAGCCCAAGTTATATTAATTGATCGGTCATGAAAAAACAAACTGACCCTCTAGAGTAAAAGGAACTACCCAAAAAGATACTCAGAATTCATGCCCTTGCTCAAAGGTTTTCAAATGTTTTCAAATGTTTTCATTCCTACAAAGCAGTGTCCACCTTCTTAGTGAATTTGAAAAATCTGCACTAGAACATGGGAGTTCAATAGTGGGGGCTTGCGGACTTAAGGGCTTTTTAGGGCTCTGCTTCCACTTACCATCTGAAAGGGTTTTGACGGTTTGAGGCAACTTGGCAGACTTCATCATAGCAGTGAAAGTAATGATTTCTGTGCGGTCCAGTCTGCTGCAGCCAGTGCAAAGTCCTTTTATGAGAAGAATCAGGTGTTTCTGAGGATAAACAAACATAGTCGATGCATAAGGCATTAAAAATGTGATTCAAAATAAGAACAGCAAGAAGTTAGAGAACTGAAAGAGATATGAATAAAAAAGAAAAACAGTACTGTGGTAGGCACTAAAATCAAGTTGTAACCATTTATGGTGTTTTTCTGAAATGAGGTGCATACAATTAATATTACAGTTGATTAGTCAGTCTCAGAGAGACTGAGAGAGAGATTGAGAGCCTGATACAGACAAAGTTCATAAATCTGAGGGGATTTTTTCAGTCTGTTTCCTACCTGTGAAACTGCACATGCTTCATCCGGGTTCTCCAGCCGCAGTAACGAGAACTCGATTAATACTTTGCACGCAGCTGCCACCGACAGCAACTGATTTCTTGGGACTAGAAACACAATTTGGAAGTTAATTTGTGAACGTAAAGATTAAGTATGACAAGAGAAAGACTTGCTTAATACTTACTCTGTCCACATACTGTGGTGATGTAATGGGCGGAGAGAGCCACAAATGATGAGTAGAAAGGCTCGTACTGTTTGTCATGGTGTAGAATATCTGTTTCACTGGAATAAATAAAAAGTAATAAACTACATTTAAAACAGGATCAAAATCAAATACATCTCTATTATGTATTTTAATTAGCAAGTTAAAACATGCATAATATCAAGTGTGTTACAACCTGAAGTAAATGTTAGCTGTAGGTATACACCATAAAAGGACCATTTGTCCAATACAAATGTTCTCCTGTGACGCTACAGCCACTAAATTACCAAAGTGTTAGTAATACGGAAAGTCATTTTACAGCAACTCAACATATAAAGTCTCTCTCTTTCAGGTTAAAAAAAAAAAAAAAAAAAAAAGCCTTAAGGGCTTGAACGTTCAGAGACAGAGACAAACAAACTTCTGCTACTCCGCCTTGCACCACACAAGCATATCTATCATCTGATAGTACTTGAGCCAAGAAAAAAAAAAGACTACAAAAATATATATATATTCAAAGACAAGTGGTCAAAGTCTAGAAATTATAAGTTGTGTATTCACAGTTTTTATCTATCTGTGAATAAATATAGTGGAGAGGTTCTAAATATTATATGTATGTACTGTTTCAACAACATCATATCCTCATATCCAATGTTATCTGTCAAAACATTTGCATAGATAACATCTAGTACTTCTGTGTTACTGCTACTTTACACGTACTTATGTTAAAACCAACAAAATATCTTTCTGAAATTCAGTGTAGAAGAACAGGCATTATTTGTACATATGCTTTATGATGGCGCAATGAAAATAGAATAATATGCATTATTAAAGCTTCTACATTTGTGCATTACTAGACTTTATTGTGGGAATCTGTGCCTATGGGGGCACCATGTACAAACATTACAACACAGGAAAAACAGATATTATGAAATGGGAAACACCAAATTGTAGGGGTCCAAATTCAAATGGTAAATTGACTGGCAGAGACTGACATACTCTGGTCTAGGCAATGCGGGAGTCAAGGCTGTGATGTCAGTGAACTCAAACTGCGTTTGTGTTTCGTTTTCAGTAAAACCTGCCGGGAGCGTGTTCCTTTCAAGCTGCCACGAACACAGCAAAAAAAAAAACAATAATTAAAACAATGCTGTGGGAAGCTCCTCACTTTAAGGCACACCGTGAGCCTTTAAAAGGGAGTGTCAGAGACTGACAGAAGCAATCTGTGCTTCACTGAAATAATAATAATATATGGAATAAAAGTCCTTTATGTGGGTCGACTGAAACAGATTTCTTTCATTGGATCATTGAGAAACAGCTGTTACGGCACAATATACATCAAAATCATATCATGTGAACAGTTCTCTGTTACTGAACAAAAAGTTAAAGATGATGTTGATCATTCGCTCGTATTTTGACGCATTTTAACGCCACATTCGCACGCATCAGTCCAAAGTGAGAGAAGGGTCTCCGCCTACTTCAGCTCAGACAGATGTTCACTTCAAACTGCATTATCAGCTTTTCAGCACATTGTCACGTAAAAATAGAAACGATTTCTTCAATACAGCCATGTAACTTAATATTTATTCTGTGTAGTAAGCAAATATATTCAAATATAAAACGTGACATTAAGAAGTCAAGGCAGAAGGCCCTTTGCCCATTTCAGCTGCTAATGTTTGTGTTAGCTAGCTAATGATGAAGCAAAATTTCAGCACGCTGTGTTCAGTCACCCAGCTCATTTTGTTCCACTTTACATTTATGGGTTAACACTGCAGCTCATTAGCCATGCAGCACTTAAAGCAATTTAGCACAGGTGCAAAAGCAGGAGAACCGAAAGCGTATAAAGTAAGTTGGCTAACATTAGCACGGGAGCTAACGCTCAAACTGCTGTGGTGCAACTTAAGGCTGTGTAACTTGATGCTAACTGAGAGCTACGTTAGCATGTTAGCCGAGCAGCTGACTCCAGAGTGGCCACAGCCCAAACTGAGCCACACACACTCCAAACAAGTTGACATTCAGCGCCTCACCTGTTTATTATAGACCCGACAAGCTGAGGTAGCTCCTTCGTTTCAAAGGCGGTGTACGAGGCTGATAAAAGCGGCCGCACCGCCGCTGTCCATTCGTGTTCATCTCCTCCGCTTGACGCCATCTTGAAAACCCACAGAAAAAAAGCCTGAGCCAAAAGAAAGCTCACAGGGGGCGCTCACAACAGCCTGTATCCCAGCACCAGGGTGGGTCCTGGGGTGGGTCCTCTCTGCCCCTGTGCCTGTGGACGAGGGGAGGGGAGGCACTACATTATAACTTGCATCTTTGCATCTTTATTCTACAAGTGCGAGTTGTAGCTGCAGAGTTGTGTTAGATCTCTGAGGATCTCACATCTACTCACATCTACAAAGTACCTACTTAGTTCATCTTCTTAACAAACTGGACTGCACTTAAAACACAGATGACAGAGCCAGAGCAGCTCTACCTGCTGAGGAGACTGGTGTTTTGGAGTGACAAGGGCCACTCCTGAAGCTTTTACGACTCTGTGGTGGCATCAGCCATCCTGTATGGTGTGGTTTACTGAAGCAGCAGCATCACAGAGAGGGAGAGGAAGAAATTGGATAGTGTTATCAAGATGTCCAGCTCTGTCCTGAACTGTCCTCTACTGGACAGCACAGGAGGAGGGGGACAGGAGGGTTCTGAGCAGCTTCAGTGACAGAGTCATTCAACCTGACAGTGTGGAGGAGAGGTTCTGCAGGTGTTCCCTTCTTGCTGCCGTCAGACGCTATTACACATGTCATTCACCTGTACTAACTTTGTGCAATACTGTAAAATAAAGTGAATCATCACTGGTACAATTGTTAATTAAAATTAAACTCTCTTATCTGGACAAAAGGTTTAGATAGAAGACGTTTCACCGCCTGTGGTCACCCAGGTGTTTTGGGTGGCAATTTGAATCATCTTCACTCTAAAATTTTGACCAGCTGAATTTAATTTTCTTTTGCTATGGAGCCTACCTGGACAAATGAGGAATTACACAGACAATGATACAAATGAGCGCATTACCTGATATTTATACTGACCATGCTGCTGCACTGTAATTAAACAGTTATTACCACTTATTGTACATAAGAATATAATACACTGAAGTTGCTTTACCTGCTACTTATTCTTGCATATGCACTGGACTGTAATAACCATAGCCAAAGCCACTTGGCCTATAGCTGTACTCTACTGGCACAGTGTTGCATGAGATCTTAGCTCTATTTTTAGGTGTGATTCTGATTGCATGTTTCCTATCCTGCTGTGTTTCTGAACTGTATGTTGCGACACTGTAATTTCCTCATCATAGGACAAATAAATCTTATTATCTTATATCTTAGGATAAACAAGGGGCTCTTCAAATGGGCCGCAGGCCTATGCAATATAGTGGAACACCAAAATGTCACATGTCTTTGGTTGAACCACTGACAGCTGCATTGTCTGCCAGGGCTATACTTGTGCTTTCATTAAACATCAAGCACAACTCCAGTGTGGGGTAAATATATACCATTACAATTGTTTATCAGGCAATTATAATGTGTCTTTTACACAAGTAGGTTGATATTTAGGATATGCATTTTGTTAGGTCTATAGCATTTGCCTATATCTTATGTGGCTTTAGGTTTTCAGACCCCTTCAGTTCCTTCAACTTCAGCTATCAAAAATCTGATCAAATTTCTTCTAAAGCACACCTGTACACTCATTAGCCTAGTTAGGAAGAGAAAAGTGAAAAAAATAGCCTAATATGTTATTATGAATTGCAAAATATGAAAAGAGAAAATGCAATTACATTTTCCATAAAAACTCAGCGTAAAACCACTGTAGACCTATCTGGCCTAATTATCAGTTTAAACAAAAGAAAACAACCAGAGCTGTTTTTTCTCCACGAACAATCACAATTATATGTCTATGGCAATTGTTGGAGAGATGATCAGGATCCAAACATCACTGCAGTGTAACAGTGTCACTTTTTGCTGTACTATTTCTGATAACAGTGACTTTAACCATTAGACTGTCTCGTTATTTATGCAATCACCTGTGTAAATGACCAGATTCAACATGACAAACGCCGCATCCATAAAAGGATCCGCGAGCATTTTTAATCAATGCTTATTTATTTCATAGACCCCCTGAACACGAGAGGGCGATATTCTTCAGCGTAATGACAACATTGACATTTGCCACTTCCGGCTTCCTCCTCCCCCGAAGAGCAAGTCTAGTCTGCTGCAATGGCTAAGCTCATTCTGCTTTTCCTGAAATTTCTTGTGCTTTTCTGCTCTGTCCGGGCTGTGTTTGAGGATCAAGTTGGGAAATTTGATTGGTAAGAGATACATGTCTAAACTGATTGTAATTTATTGTCATTTAAGTTTAGATTTCATTGTAAAAGTGTGCTCATGCTAACATCTGTCATACACCAAAGCGTCGACCCGGCTCAGTGTGGATGTATATAGAAAAAATGTAGAAAAAAATAAAGAATACGTAATATATTGACATAACATTCCTACTGTTTGTTTTTCACAAGCTTGATTACATAAGGAATGGAACTGACAATGAACTTTGATTATTTGTGCATCGGTTCCTGTATTGATCCATGATTTTTTTTTTTTTTTTTTTTCAATCTGATAAAAGGTTTGCATTTCTGTGATAAAAGTTACAAATTTCTACGGTGACAACACGTCCCTATTTACCCGGGACAGTCCCAGTTTTGAGCCCTGTGTTCCCTGTCAGCAGATCTGTCCAAAACAATTGATTTGTCCCAGTTTTATACAAGAAATGTCCCAGGTGTCCCTATTTTGGACGAATTTGATCCCTGCTAACAGTAAAGAGAGGCATACATTGTAATTTGTTTAGGTAAAATACAAAAAGCTGCTTAAAAACGACCCAAATGCAAAGAAAATTGGACTATACTGACTCCTATGTTAGTCATGAATGGTCTTTGTTCAACAATTTTCCTTAATTATGCATTCGTTTCACAATTTTATTATTATCAACCACCAAAAAAATAAAATAAAAATGGTGATGTTCCAGTTTTTTTATTTTGAAATTCTGGTCACCCTACAGACGTCAGCACGTTTACACTATTTTTAATTCAGAATAAGTTAAAGAAAGAGCTCTAGCTAATAAAAAAAATAGGTCCTGACATGCAATGCTGGTGACATTTTAAAAGATTGATTACTTTACTAGGCCTGTCACGATCACATGTTTTGAAGATTGATATATTGTTACCTCCGCCAAGGAGGTTATGTTTTTGCTGGCGTTTGTCTGTTTGTTTGTTTGTTTGTTTGTCTGTTAGCAACATAACTCAAAAAGTTATGGACTGATTTTGATGAAATTTTCAGGATTTGTTGGAAATGTGAAAAGGAAGAACTGATTTCATTTTGGGGGTGATCCGGAAGAAATCCTGGATTCTGGATCACTTTGAAATTTTAGTTAACATTGTGGTAAATGGGGCCAAAAATTTTGTTTCTCAATATCTCGGTTAATTATTGACCAAACCCCATGAAATTTGACTCTGGGATGGACAATGGGATCCTCTTTCATATTCCAAAGGCTGATCCGGATCTGATCCAGAAGACTGATTTTATCGCAATTTATATAAAAAATGGGGGTAGTCCTTGGCGGAGGTCTGCACTCTGAGTGCTTTTCTAGTTTACATAAAAATAGACGATAAACGATAATATTGGAACTAATTTATACCACTGACACGATAACCCTACAGCAGCATTATCCCCCAAAAAATTCTAAATGTACAATATTATTAAAATTATCTACAATAAATGAATAGCTGACACCTTTGTGATTAGTTTGTATCTATACTGAGTCCTAGAAGTCGTTAATTCAACCTTCTAAATCGCGTTGCCATGAAATGAAATAGATGGAAGATGGACAGTAGTTTGTAAATAAATCTGGCTCAGAGCATCTTTTCTCTCTGCGTTTAATGTTTTTTGTGCACTGTCCTTGTTATAAATAAATAATAAATAACAAAAGATTTCCCACTTATGCACTGGAAGGTACACAAAAAATACTGACCCCCAAAAATTATTGTTCCATCTATCATATATTGAAGAATAAGTTGATATAGTAATTATTGTGACAAGAATACCTGTACAAAGTTTTTTTCTCTCTTTTTCACCATAGGAGGCAGCAGTTTGTTGGCAATGTCCGCTTTGCTCATTTTGACAATCAGATCCAGTCCTCCAAAAAGGTTCTTGTAGCTACAGAGAAGAATGTTTTCGCCGCTATCAATACAAGAACTGGAGATCTATGTGAGTTTGAATTGCCTAAATACGCACTTATAGTTCATGTGTAACATATAAATAAACATTTTTCTGTATTCAAACTACTTCCAATTCTTGAATCATTGTTTTAGTCTGGCGTCATGTTGATAAGACTGGACCAGAGGGGAACATCGATGCTCTTCTGTTGCAAGGACAAGGTAATATTTTGCACTTAGATATAATTTATTCATAAGTAAGTTAAAGGTGCATTGTGCAACTTTTCTGGTGGAGGGTCCGTCACCTGCTTGTCTTCATGGAGATGTTATTGCTTTGTTTAGAATGTTTCACGGTATAGTTTAAAGTTATCTATCTAAAGAGAGGCAACTACAGGCTATATTACAGGACAGATCTGTGGAGAGGCAGGCAGATTCACAGAGATAATTATTGTATTCCTTAGCAATTAAAAACACTCGTTATGAATAACTGCTAGATAGATGTCTTTAATGTATCATCTACAAAGAGACAAAGAAGTGATGGACCCTTCACCAAAAAAGTTGCGCAATGCAGCTTTAAGTTTTCAAGTGTTTTACTATCTTTTTTTCTCCAGATGCAGTAATGGTGGTTGGTAATGGCCGGTTGCTGCGTTCTTGGGAGGTGAATGTTGGAGGATTGAACTGGGAGGTTGTGCTAGATTCTGGGAGGTACAAACTTTTTATTCACCTTTCACAGCAATATTGAAGCATTTGCGTTCATTGTTTGTTTAACTTTTTTACGTGTTTATTTTTTGTAGTTTCCAGTCTGCTTCGTTGGTGGGGCAGCTGGAGCATGTCAGATATGTGGCGGTTTTAAAAAAGACTGCCGTCTCCCTTCACTATCTTTCCAATGGACATCAGAAATGGATTGAGAATCTTCCAGAAAGGTATGAGTAGTAGTGCAGTTGATAGCTGTCTTTAATATTTATCATATGTTATAGTGATTAAAGGGCCCATATTGCGCTATTTTCTGATATGTTATAATGTTGTTTCCTCATCAAAAACATACCTAGAATTGTGTTTTGTTTCATTCAGACATGTTTAACACACAAACCCTGCATATTTAGGCTGAGTTCTTCTCTCAAATTGAAAACACACTGTTCCACCTTGTGAGGTTATGTGGTAATACAAGAAGTACCCCACTGTGTTTTCAAACTCCATACACTTTCACTAGAATCATTTGGATAATTTCAGTCCTGGCATTGGAAATCTCTACTGAACTGAAGGTAAAAGGTAGCGGTTAACTTGAAAACAGAGCATTCTGAGCAGACTAATAATAAAGGATTACTCAAATATGTAACAAAACACAACTCCAGGTATGTTTTTAATGAGGTAACAACATTCTAACATGTCTTAAAGCGTAATATAGGACTTTAAAATAATATAGGACTTTAAAATAATATAAAAAGAATCAAAAACTGCATATTTTTCACAATTTATTATCTTTTACAGTGACACAGTGGAGTACCAGGTGGTCTATTCTGATGGTACTGGAGAAGTTTTTGTTCTGGGTCTTGTCCCTAACTCTCAAATTACAGTGGTGGTTTACAGCTTGGACGATGGAGAAATACTAAAACAGGTATAATTTATATTTTGCCTTATTCTGATACTCTTCTGTAATTTTGGCATTTACTCTATTTGGGCATTTACTTAAAAGTAAACTCTCACAGATGGATTACTTTTGTATTTATCTTTGTGTCCAGTTCACAATTCAAGCTCCCTGGCTGTCTGACCTCGAGTCCAGCTGCTCTGTGATTGGGAAGGGAATGCTGACCTGTGTGGACCCACTGTCTCTGTCCTTGAATATTGTGGACCTGCACTCACACTCACAGATGAGTCAGATCTCACTGCAGGTATGCAAATATTTTATTGCGTTATTTGTCCCCAGTGTTTACTTCTGTGTTGCACGTAACTTTATAACTTAAATAAAATGATAAGGGGATATGGGGGCATATTTAGTCAGTAAATACAGTATATCTGATTAAATAAAGCAAAGTGGGGGTGTTCAAACTTTGACCCGGGGGGGAAGTGCAGCTCTTATTTGTAAATTTTGAAAAATGCTGATATCGTAACTTAAAGTTGCATTATGTGACTTTTCTTGAACTGTCACATGCTTGTTTCTCCGGAGATCTCATTGCTCTGTCTTGAATGTTCCACAGTGTGACATTAAACCGCTTTACATTGCATTTCTTACAATTACAGGTGTTTTTATAGCTCTAAAATGCCTAGAAAAATAGACATTCTGACTGTGAGCAGGGTCATCTCTCAACTGATCTGACCTATAACATGAAAGATTTAATATTATACTGTGAAACATTCCAGACAAAGTAATAAGATCTCCATAGAGTAAAGCATTTGACGAACTCTTCACCAGAAAAGTTCCCAGCTGTACTACATGTGTGAGGCTCAGTCAATCTAATGTCAAAATACAACATTTGCAACTTTTTTAATTATTCACTTCTCTGTCTTGTAATCTGTGACTGTTCACTCCGTATAAGTGTCAATATTGAATTTAAAGAGTGGGAGAATGCGTGATTTGATTGTAAATGGATGGATATATTTTAATTGTTTGTTAACCTGCCCAGGGACTGCAGATTGAAACCAGCTTTAGCTAAATCTGGTGCTTTTATGAGATTCATGGGTTTGTGCATGGTCCTTGTTAAAATACACCAATAAAATCAACTGAACTATATGCAACCCTGAAGTAAAGTGTCATTTCCTGGCTGGTAGTGAGTATGTGAATATACTTGAGCAAGGTACAAACCGCTGACCCTATTGCTGATGGGCAGAACAAGTGACCCACTGCACCACATTGTAATTAAATAGGTTTGGTGTAATTTAAACTCCTTCTGTATTCCCTTGTTATAAAATAATTGATAACAGATCAATCATGTGAAAAATCTTCATTATATTATCTTGTTTTTTAATGGCTAACTCAATGGACAAATCCTAACAAATTATTCTCAATTTGTTTTCCTCCAGTCAATTGGTGTGGAAGTTTCTCCTGATTTCCGCCCAGTGCTGGTCTCCTCTCAGCCCAACGCCGCACGACCTCCGCTCTCTGAGTTCTTCCTCCAGACCGGACCAGATCAACACCTGCTGCTGCAACTGAACAAAGGACAAATACTCACACTCAGAGATTTCAAACCAGTAAGCTCACTTAGGAATTAAAGGGCCCTTATTACACTGTTTCCTGATCTATGTTATAATGTTGTTTCCTCATCACAGACAGACCTGGAGCTGTGTTTTATTTCATTCACTCATGTTTAACTCAGAAACCCTGCATATTTAGGCTGAGTACTTTGTTCCACTTTGTGCTAATACAGGAAGTGCCCTGGAATTGCCAATGTCTACTAAGCAAAAGGTAAAAGGAGCTGTTCATTTGAAAACTACAGCTACACAACATCACAAGGGGGAACAGAGCATTTTGAACTTTGGAGATGCAGACAGACTAATAAAAAAGGCTCACTCAAACGTGTGTAAATGAAACAAAACACAACTCCAGGTCTGTTTTTGATTAGGTAACAAGATTTTAAGATGACTTAAAGCTCACAAGAGTCAATTTTCCATAATTCAGGTCATTTAATTTAATATTTTGTGTCTAGAATTTCAAAGGCTAATGTGTATTTATTTTATCTTGTTTTTAGGCAATGCTGGTTTCTTTTGCTACGAGTGGAGAGAAGACAGTTGTAGCCGTTATGTCACCCAAGAACAAAACAGTGAGTGGTACAGTGTGTGATAAATATGCTTATCTATTTCAGTGGTTCTCATACTGTGGTATGCGAGCTCCTTCATGTGGTACTTTGATTGATTAGTCTGCAGTTCAGATATTTGCTAAATTTATGATTAATTTAAAGATGCATTGTGCAAGTTTTCTGCTAGAGGGCCCGCCACCTGTTTGTCTCTATGTAGATTTTATTGCTTTGCCTGGAATGTTCCACAGTGTGACATTAAATGTATCTAACTCCCTGGAGACAGACAGGTGGCACGAACAAGCAGGTTCTAGATCATATCTGTGCAGAGGTAGGCTCGTTCACAACATGTTTTTTTTAAGGCATTTTTTTAGCAATAAAAACAACTGTAATTGAATAAATGCTGATTAGATGCTTAATGCCATACTGAGGAACATCCAAGGCAAAAGTAATTTCTATGGAGACAAGGAGGCATCAGACCCTACTATGGAGTAAGAAAGTTTTAAGAAATATTTGTGTGCATAGGATAGAAATTCATGCATATTTGGCTGTAGTTGAGCATAAAATAAATATTCGTAAACTCTCAAATGAGTCCAGTCGTACATAAAATGTGTTGTTTGTATTTTAGTTTAGTTTCATATTTTAGAATATGAATTGAAAAGTTATGACATCAAGAATTACAATCACAAAATAAAAATTTACGAGTGCGCTTTCTTCAGTTCGAATAAGAATTCACAGACACGACTTTATTGTCAAAAAATACGTCATCACTTCACAGGATTATTTATTGAGCAGAAGAAACATCGATCGAGCTTTCTTATGCTTTTCTTACACTTTCTTACTCTATACCCTACATCGGAAAAGTTACACAGTGTACCTTTAATCCACATTTTGTCCTCCTTTCAGTTACTGCTTTTTTAGAACTAGTATAGCAACAGTATAGTCTTAGAACTGCTTTAATAGGCAAATATTGTCTGACGTGGTACTTTTTGTGAAATTTTTGAGACCTATTAACTTATGCTATACAATGGTTTCCCTTGTTTATTAGTATTATAACGGCTTTGTTTTTTATTTCTTATTTATTCCTTATTTCTAGGCCTCTAGTATTAACCTCTTCAGTGCCGAAACTGGACGCAGACTTCTTGACACAACTCTGATTTTTACCATGGATCCAAATGGAGGAAATCCAGAGAAGGTCTGTTTAGCTCCAGCCTTTTTACTTGTCATCATAAAATATTTAAGTATAAGTTATGGTTTTCTTTCATTTTACAGCTGTATGTGCAAGCGTTTCTGAAGAAGGATGACTCAGTGGGCTACAGGGTGATGGTGCAGACAGAAGACCACCAGCTCACTTTTATCCAGCAGCCAGGTATTTGCCCTTTGAACAAATCTGTACAAGTCTGTTTCATGAATTATTGTTGACAGACAGCTGCACCTTTTCCAACTGCCACAGGAGGGCACTATAGGCACTCTAGTTTTTCAATGGTAACCCTGTCTATGGGGTTTCAGATGTATGAAAAAAATGTGCACAACTGCTGTCGCAAGTGGTAAAAGTCCGCAAAATGGCATCAAACCCACGAATTTCAAATAAAAAAGTGGTTTAACATTATATCAGGTAGGAGCACATTTAAATGTATATATAAAAAAAAAATCTGTCAAAGAATTAAATCAGAAATTGTGACATTTTTAGTGTTTGACGACATAAATGCATCTAATTCAATCCAGTCCACTTTATTTATATAGCATATTTTATAAACATGACAGTTTCCAAAGTGCTGCACAGAGAAATTAATAAAATAAAAGACAGTAAATCATAAATAAAAAAAATTTAAGTGTTAAAATACTTACAGCTAAGAATGATTAAAATAATAAATAAAATAAATACATAAACAAACAAACAAACAAACAAACATAAATTATGGTAAATAAAAGACACAGAGGACCACACAACTCACGCGTCGCTAAAAGCCAGAGAGCATCTAGATCAACTTTCTATTGTCCCGTAAATGTAGTTTTATGTTATAATGTTTAGTGAATTCATATTATAGTTTTGTGTTTGGAAGTGGTGAATATTTTCTGGGACAGTTTAGTTAAACTGTTGTTTTCCAGGGCGGGTGATGTGGACCAGAGAGGAGGCCCTGTCTGATGTGGTGACGATGGAAATGGTGGATCTGCCGCTCACTGCCACACAGGCCGAGCTCGAGGGAGAGTTTGGCAAGAAGGCTGGTAAATGCTGCACCAAAATGTTCAATAATATTATGTACATTTCATAAAAGAGCAGTTCAGAGTCACACAGCTGCCCTTTCCCAAATGCTCACTAACTCACTCACTCAGCTGTTTCTGGTGTACGTTGCTTCACTTGCTTTTGCTTTGTCTTCCTTTAATGCTTCACTCGGACGCAGCCATTCAAGGTAACTGCTTCTCTTTGTCTTTGTAACTTGTGATGTTTTCATGTGATTGTCGTGTGGTCTGTGTACTGTAGATTGAGATGGCGGGCAGGCAGAGAAATATCAAGTAATATAATAGTTGTAGTAGTTTATTTGGTCATATAAAGTCTTTAATGTTGTGTGGTGAGGTGGGTGTCAAATATAAGTCATATAGCACACTACATTGCTGCACTGCTTACATGTCTTAAAAATTTTAATAGATTTGAAAGATTAAGGAAAAATATTAGGGATGCACTGATCCAGGTTTCTTTACCAATATCAATACTTTTACTTTTAGTACCTGCCGATACCCGATATTTGCCATTATCAGTGATCCAATACACAAGAGATCCAGTTGTGTTGTGTTTTATTTATCCATCACATCACTACAGAACAGCTTTATATGAATAAAAGTTCAAACATTATGAGACTTCCTGAACCCAAATTAGTCTGTAAATATGTTACTAGGTTCTTTTTTTAGACCAGGAGTTTGTTTTCATACCTGACAGTTTTGACTGCTCACTAGCGATCTTCTTCAGAGTGGTCATGTGATGTTGCTGTGACGTGTCCGCTCAGCTGATTTAAACAGGTTTTGGTGCTGTCTTCCTACCGGTGGAGGCAGGATGACAGCGCCATCTGCAGTCCCACTTCCTCAGGACAGTATCCCAGGTGTGTGAGAGTAAAAAAGCCCCTTGTCCCGGGTTATAGTCCGGTGGGCACGTTTCTGTATTTCGATTGCCTCTTTAATCCAGCGACACGTCACAGCAACATCACGTGACCTCTCTGAAGAAGACCGCTAGTGAGCACTCCAAACTGTCAGGTATGAGAACAAACTCTTGGTCTGAAAAAAGAACCTAATAACATAAAATATCAGAAGACCAACTTAACCTCATTGGACTAGTCTGTAAATAGTCTCATTACATCCAATTAAAGCCCAAACTAATATTGGCTTAACAAATAACATGGAACCGATACCTGATACAGCAAATGTTTCAGTATCAGTGCTTGTATTCATTAGCAGCATTGGTATGAGTGCATCCTTAAAAATATTCAGTTGAAGTTGGTGATATTATAACACTTAATTGTTAATTGTTAGTGTTTGTGACGTTCAGCCATACGATCTTCGTGTAGACTTTTGAGGATTCTTATGCTCGCCTGCCCTCCATCTGTGTTTCTAAACTGATTTAAGATGTAAAATTGTATAATGTTGTTGCATGCTTTCTGCCAAATTACTACGGATGCACCAATCCTGGTTTTTCAGTCCTGATACCGATATTGATACTGGCTTTTAATTATCTGAGTAATTGAAACTGAGATTTTTTTCTCTCAAAATATAGTTAACTTATTACAAATTTGTTCTGAATGTGTTATGTAACTGTTATGTATCCTGAAAGTAACAAGTCAACAGTTTTGAATGAAATAAAGAAACCATGAGATGTTCTGGGCCTATATCAGTCACTTAAGAGTCCTGATACTCGATACCAGTATCTGTATCTGTGCATTCTTACAAATTACAATAACATCTTTCATAATTACTTTTCCTTTATTTCCTCTCCATTTCTCTGTAGACGGTCTGATGTCCATGGTCCTGAAGAGACTGTCCTCTCAGCTGATCCTGCTCCAGGCCTGGGCCTCCCATCTCTGGAAACTCTTCTACGACGCCAGAAAACCACGGAGCCAAGTCAAGAACGAAGTGACCATCGAAAATCTGTCCCGAGATGAGTTCAACCTGCAGAAGATGATGGTCATGGTGACAGCGTCTGGAAAGGTACAGGGAAAAACTCACACATTGTACTGGCTTTAGACTATGTTTTTAGACTTTTTTTTGTTACTAATAATATGATATTGAGTTATCATTCAGCAGATGATAGCTGGAACAATATATTTTGGGGCTTTGTATTTATCATTTGTACAGTTTCTTTGTTATAGTGGGGAGATTTTTGCAATTTTTATGTAGTAACATAAAATTTCAGCTGTACAGGGTTGTATTGGTTCTTTCTGCTATTCATTTGTTTTAAAGATGCATAGAGGGTAACAAGAAATATATATTTTACTATATATTGTCTCTTCACAAATCATATTTTTATTCAGTGTGGACAGTAAGAAATACTTTTATTGAAATTTCAGTTTCAAATTTAGTCATACTTGATTCTGATTTTGAAACCAGTTAAAATAAAAATGTTTTGCTTTTAGACTATACAAGACAACTGTTTTTCTATATATTTCTATGTGAGCTTAAACCAGTTCTTATGTAGATCACGACCATTCTAAAAGTATTCAGGAAACACATGTCCTATTTATGCGATTTATTTCAGTATTAAAATATTCAGTGTATGTTTGTAGTATCTAGGCTCAGTTTGAGTTTTAGTATTGATTACTTTGTGGATTTAGCTCTTTTTTTGTAGAGGAATATGGATTATTGTTGCCAGCTGGATTTGCTTTCTTAGACAAAATATGTAAACAAGTTTCTGTATAATGACAGACTTTTTGCATTTGCAGCTTTTTGGCATTGACAGCAAGACCGGCACCATAGTTTGGAAGCACTACCTGCAGAATGTCCCCTCGAATGCAGCGTTTAATCTGATGGTGCAGAGAACAACGGCCCACTTCCCCCATCCCCCACAATGCACTCTGCTCATCAAGGACAAGGTAATGACCAGCCCTTTTCAGATGTATTTATTACTCATCGCATATTTTCTGATCTATTTTTTAATGTTCCCTCATCGCAAATATACCTGGAGTTGTGTTTTGTTTCATTCACACATGTTTAACTCATAAATTCACCATATTTAGGCTGAGTTCTTCTCTCAAAGCTGGAACGGAGCATTTTGAACTTTGGAGATGTAGACAGACTAATAATTCAGAATTATTCAAACATGTGTAAAAGAAACAAAACACTACTCCAGGTATGTTTTTGTGGAGGTAACAACATTATAATATGATTTAAAGCTCACAAGAGTCCATTTTGACTCTGAGCTGGAGAACAGAGAGTAAATTTCCATAGTGGAATTTACTTAACTTTGAAGGTACATTATGGAACTTTCTGGTTTGGGGTTTGTCACCTGCTCGTTTCTATGGATATGTAATTTCTCTGCCTGGAATGTTCCACAGTATAACATTAAACAGCTCTGATACCTTACATTTATTCAGTTACAGGTGGTTTTACAGCTCAAAAATACCTAGAAAAAACGGCATTCTGACTGTGAGCGAAGGTTGCCTCTCCACTAGGTCTGGGTATCATTAAGAAATTGCCGGTACGATACATACCTCGATACATAGGCCACAATACGATACACATCCCGATACAGTGAACTTTCGGTTTGATGTGATATTTTTCAAATCGATTCGATATGGTTCAATAAAAAAAAAAAAGGCTGACTCATTGTTGTGATACTAAAAGTCTTTGTTAAACCAATTCTTGTGCAAAGTTAATATGAAACACACGCGCAGTTTAATCATCAAAACTGTGAAAATGTCAAATGTGTCGCATAAATGAGTTTCCTTCCTCTAAACAAGCAACAAAACAGTAGCACTGTAACAAAATAATTTAGTAAAATATACCAAAAAATACTCTTGGCTATATATTGATACAGTAGGCCATGATATCGATACTGTATCATCACATTAAGCGATACGATATATATATATCGATATTTTGATATTTTTTGCAAACCCCTACTCACCACAGATCTGACTTGAAGATTTTGTACTTTAAAATTTTTTGTATTTGTTTATGTAATTCCTAAAACATAAAACGGCATTAACACATAAACTTAAACATACAAGAAATTAATAAAAGGAGCAGAAAGAAGAGTAATCTTATGTTATCTGCCCCATATCTGTTATCTGTCAGGATAGAAAGGTTTAACATCGTACTGTAGAGCAAAATAGACAAAAGCAGTAACATCCCCACAGAGAAAAGCTTTTGCCGGACCCTCCACCAGAAAAGTTACACAACACACCTTAAGCTGTCAAAATCCAGATGTTCATCCTGGTTTATGTGTCATTACTCTGTAATTACTGGACCTATTCACGTGAAACAAAGGCTGGCAAAGTTCACCGTCTTCCGTGTTAACACTCATAAAATAAGTTATGTTTTCACAATCGCTCCAGAAAGTGGTGCAATTTTTGAACCCTAAGGACCGGATGTCAGTTAAAAAGACTCAACGGCTTAAGATTTATATGGAAAGTTTGAAGAGCCAGTTTCTTACAAATAAGGTTCAAATAACACATGTGGATCATAAATTCAGGTATTTACTTCAAAAACTGTAAATCTCACAAATACTAGTCATTATATTTATACTTTACAGCTGATGCCATCAACTTTCCCTGGGTGTGTGATGTTAACTGTAGGCACTGCTCTGTCTGAAACTGTTACTCAAGTTAGACTTTCATCTGAGCTTTGTTTTAACACGATCTGACCATAAAGAAGTGACAGGTGAGCTGATTTGTGCTGTTAACAAATCCCCCTCAAATAAAATTACAGTCACACGCTAGATAGCATTAGTCAGCATTTTTTTCAGTTAGTCACTCTCACCTGTTTGTTGAAAATCAAACACTTAAATAGGACGATGAACTCTCAGGCTCCTGAAAATGTGTTGTTTAAATTCATTTTGTGTTTTTTCTTGAGTTAGTTTTCAGGTGATGTTACGGCCATTTTTGACCCACATTGGTTCAAGTTGTTTGGGGTGGAGCCTTAGGGGTGGAGCCTAGTGGCTCATAGCCAGGTGGCCTTTGTGGCCTGATTATTCTTTGTGTGGAAGCTGTAGGGGGTTGAGGCCATACAGTTTTTTGACCGTGTGATCAGGATATTTTGTGTATTCTTCAGTTATGGAAGCTGCATCTACAATTAAACCTCATAATCAATATTCTGTAAGTTTGGACATTGAATCTTTCAGTTTTCATCTTAGACACATGAGTCAAGCTAAAGCCACACAGCCCTCACAGCTATAGTGGCAGACTGGAGTTAAACTGCCACTACATTAAGTCAAAAAACTTGGCTGCTTTTTGGACTCTGAAGAAATTGTGGACTAACCAAACAAGATGGACACTGGATGGATTATTGTTGTTGTCTTTGTTTGGAATATATACTGCACATTCCAGTTGAAACCAAAGATCAACTTTTGGACCAAGATGCACATGCATTTTGATGTGTGGAAAAGCCAGTGTCTTGCACTGTGCTTAATTGGATGTGATTTGTTGGGTTCTTTGTTCAAATGCCCCACACCACCAACTGAAGAGGAACCATGTGGAGCTACTACAGTTACAGAAGATGGACAAAAGATGGTGCCAAAGACAACAGGACAGACAAAAGAGGTAAAATATATCCATAACCTGGAAGAAGAACATCAAATGAAAGACTTTGATGAAGACTATGATATTGCTGATTTGGATAAAGAAATTGATGAAGATATGTTGAATTTTACTGTGGAAGATGCAAATAGTGTGGACAAATTCCCAATGTTCACCAAGCCTGTCGGCATTGTACAAGTGGAGCCGAACTTCCATAGGGAAATTTTGGAGTTATTAAAGCGACAGATGGACATCACAGAGATGCTTGTGAAACAACTGAATATGGTGCAACTTCCCAAACTTGATATTCCTGTTTTTACTGGAGACCCTCTTGAGTTCAAGTCTTTTGTGAAAGCATTTAATCATGTAATTGGCTCAAGAACAGACAATAATTCAGATATGCTATACTATTTGGAGAAATATACAAGAGGTAAAAAAAAAAAAATTGGCAGTGTTTGCTAATCTGTGCATTGTGTTTTTATGGTAAATCCTAAACATTCCACCATAGAGGTACACGTAGAACACCCCCAATATAATGTTACTGCAAAGTATCAATAAGTCCATGGAATTAGGACTATGTCAAATCAGATTTTTACAAAAATAAAATATTCAACTCTCTCCACTTTTGAAAACAGATCAAGGGACACTTTTGTGATAAAGTATCCATGGTAGATGTTGTCTGAACAGTCTTTTTGTTTTTTATAACGCCATCTAAAATAGGAAGTCACTTTTTAAAATAATATAATTTTTCCAGTTATGTAGTGCAATTCAAGTCGTGCAAATCCAATCAAGAGCTTGAAATGGTACAAAGGTAAGAACTGAACAGACAGAGGTTTTTAAAAAAAGATAAAAGATAACAAAACACAAGTCCAAGCTCTGCCAAAACTACCTCAGGAAAAAAGAACAAGATGGTAAAGCTTGAAAACTTGGAGTGTCCAGCACAGTCTCCAGACTTAAACCCCGTCAAGCTGGTTTGGGGTGAACTGGACAGAAGAGTAAAAGACAAGCAAGGTACAAGTGCCACACATTTATGGGAACTTCTGCAACAGACTTGGGAAGAATTTTCTCAAGAATATTTGATTTCTATTGTAAAAAGAATGAGCCACGAATGTCCAGCTGTTATATCTGCCTATGTTTTGGTCAACAGTAAACAGTTAAAAAAAAAACTGAAAAAAGTATGGAGTTCTAAAACTTTTGACTAGTAGTGTATATATTCTTTTTTTTTTTTTTTTACCAAACAAGGGAATAGACACTGCCCAACGAGAAACTTCTCTCATTACTGCCAGTATGAAGAAAATTCTATAAATAGCATGGACAAGTTAGACTGTGTTATCATAATTGTTCCTGGCATTGTGTCTCAAAAGCCCCATGAATCATTTTAGTATCAGAACTTCAACTTGGACCTAATTCTAAAATGTGAATGCAACTTTTTTTGTTTTGTTTTCTTTCCCATCAGGATACAGGCCTGGCCACGCTCCACGTTTTTAACCCCATCTATGGAAAGAAGAGCCACATCACCCCCCCTCTGCTCCCCCAGCCCATCCTTCAGTCCATGCTCCTACCGCTGATGGACCAGGACTACGCCAAAGTCCTGCTCCTCGTCGATGATCAGTACAAAGTAAGCAGCTGGTCTTCTGTTTAGAGATGTCACAGTATCAAACTGTTGATTATTATGATTATTCATAACTAAACAATTGTGAAATACAAAATGTTCTTTCATTCACATTGATCTAATCATCTAATCTTGAACCATTCCTCAAATATGTGACCAGTCGAGATGTAACAATAACTGAAATATCATGATATCGTATCGTCAAGTCTCACAATAATATCGTGGGGCATCACAATATGTCAAAATCAAGTACAAGTATCTTTGCTTAAATTAATAGTTATGAAGCAATAGTGGCTAAAAAGAGAGGGAACTACATAGACCATGATCCTTTGCTCTGTTTCAATGCAGATTACATGAAGAAATAACTTTTGTTAAGCAGAACCAAAGGCTTGTAAAGGCATTTTAAAAGGAAAAGTAGCATATTCACAATTTTGTCAGCCTCCATAAAATTTGGAAATAGTTTCTAGTGACCAGCTTTATGAAAACTTTGGCCTGTAGTAGTTATCAGTTTATCTAATCCAATCCACTTTATTTATATAGCACATTTTATAAACATGACAGTTTCCAAAGTGCTGCACAGACAAATTAATAAGTAAGTAAAGTTAGTAAATCATGATTAAAAACAATAAATAAAAAGTGTTAAAATGCATAAAGCTAAAAATTATAAAACAATGAATAAAATAAAATAAATAAAAGACACAGAGGACCACACAACTCACACAGTGTTAAAAGAATAAAAGTGGGTTTTAAGATGAGGCTTAAAACACTCCAAGGTGGGGTTTATGTGGTATAAACAACCATTTTCTATTATAGATAGAATGGAAATTACTTATTTTTTCCTCTAAACTGGCCACAAGTATTTTTTTTTGTAGCCAACATAACAATTGTCGACAGATGAACTGAACATTAAGAATACCAGCCGAGTCTCAAATGTCTCAAAACATCTTGTACCATCTCAGAACATTTTTACTCCCTATTTAGAAGTTTTTTTTCTGGTTGTATAGAAGCAACACAGTTCACAATTTATTTTATTTATTTTTTATTTTATTTTGATGTGTTTGTAGGTGTCTGCTTTTCCATCAACAAAAAACGTCCTCCAACAACTTCAAGAAGTGGCCTCCTCCATTTTCTTTTTTCTTGTTGATGCAAGTCAGGGAAGGCTGAGCGGTTACAGGCTGAGAACCGTAAGTAATGATATTAGTGCTCTGTAGACATTATTAATGCACAGATCCTACCTCACATACTCACAATTTGGTCTAGTTCTAGTTTCAAGTTAAGATAATTTTTTTTAAAAGCTTGTCTGGGAGGGCATCTGATGTTGTAAACAATGTTGTCACTTTTAACAAGCTCACTTTCTGCTCAAAAACACCTTACCTTAACATTCTTACTGTAAATGTGCTCGCTTCTGCACAGATCTGACCAGTAATTTGGCCTCTTTTTGGAGTTTAATACCATATTGTGTATCATTTTAGTTAAAGCTATAAATAATCTATTGAGACAAGCAGGCAATAAACCCTCCACCAGAAAAGTCACATAGTCCGCCTTTAAGAACTGCATTTAAAATTACATGAACTGTTTCCAGGACTTGTCGACTGAGCTGATCTGGGAGGTGGTGATTCCAACAGAGGTGCAGAAGATCGTCTCTGTGAAAGGAAAAAGGGCCAATGAGCATGTCCACTCCCAGGGCAGAGTCATGGGAGACCGCAGCGTCCTCTATAAGGTAACGACCGTAACTTAAAGTGAATCTACTGCGTTTAGACTAAATGATTCTTGAGGGTTTGTTTAAAGCCATTTTGTTTTGAACTTTTTGGCAGAAAATTAGTGCTGTTTTTAAGACTTTGATTTATTCTAGTGCATCTAATTCTATAACCTATTTAGCCGATTAATTAGTTTGTAGACTGGCTTTTATTCAACTGAGTTTGTCTATGTTAGAAAATTGGTTTACTGTATTTTGTAACTTAATCAATTTGCTGATAGAAGTCGTTGATGCTGCTATCGAATACTGCAGCTTTTACATAATGTTTTTATTAATGCGTGTTGCCCCTGTTTAAATTATCTAATAAATAAATGAGTTAACAAAACATTGTAAAAGTTAACTTTAAAGTGAAATAAAAGGTTTGATTGCACGTTAATGGCACGCAGTAATAGGGGGGTGCAAAAATATTGAAATATGGAAATATAGATATATTGTATTGTTTAATGTGATGATACAGTATCAATATCCAGTATCGATATATCACCAAGAGTATTTTTTGGTTTATTTTACTAAATTATTTTGTTACAGTGCTACAGTGTTACAGTGCTACAGTTTTGTGAATATGTCAAATGTGTTGCATAAACTTGTTTATGCAACACATTTGACATATTCTCAGTTTTGATGATTAAAATGGGCGTGTTTCATATTACCTTTTCACATGAAGTGGTTTAACAAAGATTTTTAGTATCAGCCATGATTTAGCCTTTATTTTTATTGAACTGTATCAATTTGAAATATATCGTATCAAACCGAAATTGCACTGTATCAAGATATGTATCGTATCGTGACCTAAGTATCGTATCGGCAACTTCTTAATGATACTCAGCCCTACACAGTAAAGTCCTATATTACACAAAATTGACTCTTGTGAGCGTTAAGTCATGTTAAAATGTTGTTGCCTCTTCATAAACATACTTGGTGTTTCGAGTAATCCTTTATTATTTCAGCTACATCTCCAAATGTCAAAATGCTCTTGTGATGTCATGAAGCAGTAGTTTTCAAGTTAGCAGCTACTCTTTACCTTTTGTTCAGCAGAGGTTCGCAATTTCAGGTCTGAAATTTTCTAAATGATTGTAGTGAAGGTGTGTTTTAAACACAGTGGAGCATTTTCTGTATTACCACATATGTGTTTTCCATTTGAGAGAAGAACTCAGCCTGAATATGCAGGGTTTCTGTTAAACATGTGTGAACAAAACACAACCAAGTATGTTTTTGATGAGGAAACAACATTATGACAGATCAGAAAAAAGCGCAATGTGGGCCCTTAAAAGAAAATGGCACGTACATATTTAGGAACAACTAATATTACTGATTAATATTGTTTCTAAGTTAACGGTCTTAATGTCAGATAGGACAGATAAAGCCATTTTTGACAGAGTAAAATCATGGGATTAACAAATACGTGACAACTGAACAGAAAGAGAAACTGGTAGTATTACTCACAGAATTTACAAATCTTACTTCATCCACAAATTTCTGTAACGACTCTACTTAAACGTGAATTGTGCAACTCCGTCAACTGCTTGCCTCCATGAAGATGTTAATGCTTTCCCTGGAATGTTCCACGGTATGACATTAAACAACTCTACTGTACATTTATTAAATTACAGGTGGTTTTGTAGCTCAAAAATACATACATTGCAAAAAAGATTGGCCAGAATTTAAGATATAAACTAGGGATGTAACGATATCCAAGTCTCACAATATAGTATCGTCACAGTATGAACCTCACGGTACGATATTTATTGTGATATCGTAGGAAAGCTCACGATATGGTTGGGAGACTCATGATTAGGTATAATATCTCTCGGTACAATATTTTCACGATATACATCTCACAATATATTTATTGTCATATTTTGTGGAGTCTAACAAAACTGTTAATATGTGACTTTTTCCTCTTAAAATGCCTTGACAAGACTTAATCCAAAGAACTAAGATTTAAAAGTGCTTAGAACTGTTATTTCTTCTTATAGTCTGCACTGAAATGGAGCAAAGGATCATGGTCTATGTAGTTCCCTCTGTCTTTTTTTTTTAGCTGTTGCTGCACCATAACTCTTAATTTAAGCAAAGAGACTTGTAATTTGATTTATTGTGATGGTCCATGATATTATTGTGAGAACTTTGACGATACGATATCACGATATTTCGGTTATAGTTACATCACTAATATAAGCACTTAAATCTGTCAGAAAATGATTTAAAAGTAGTGTAATTATCTGTCCATGCAGCAAGATCATTTCAATTGACAAATTATCTTAAAATAAACGACCTCTAGACTAGAATTAAGCAGTCTGTGGTTTAATAAGTAGATAATCAACCTGAAAACAACATGAATAACCTGATATAAGTTTTAAGAGAAATTTACAGTGTAGAAAAACATTCCACAGATCTGACCTGTAACTTAGTCTGGTTTGGTCTCCATGAAGATAGGAAGGTTTAATGCCATACTGTGAAACATTCCAAACAAAGTGATAACATCTCCAAGAAGACAAGCAGATGACGGACCCTCCACCAGAAAAGTTGCGCAATGCACCTGTAAATAAAAGAGAAAGCTGCCCACTACATGTTTCATATCAGGTCTTCTTGCTGAGTCTTGTCTGTGTCACACCCTGGTTTCACACCCACATATGAATCAGGTCTTTTATTTGGAGGGTGGGTGTAAAAATGACTGAAGTTTCTGCCAATCAAAAGGCGCACTCCAAAACCTCTCACCCAAGTGCACTTTTGGTTTCTTCATTCATGTGACTCTCCCCATTTTATAATTCTCCCTCTGAATCACTTCCCCTCAGCCGATGTCGAGATAATACTAGGGTTTATCGTGTCTCGTTCTTTTTTGTATAAATTACTGCCTATTTTTAGCCCTGACTCATCCGTTCCATCCCAAAGTGTGATACTAGAATTAAGGGCTGCAAATTATACGTTATATAAAACAATGCTTTTTCTGTATCTCTTGAAAGTAAAAGCGATATAAGTACAACAATAAAGCAAAATGGATTTATTTCTTTTATTAAGATGGTTTAAATAACAGATATTGCAATTTAAAATGTCCAAATTATAACATAATAATCCACAGGTGTCATAGATTATAACTATATAGCAAATTAGGGATGTAATGATATCAAAATGCATCGATACAATATTTTGTGGAGATTTGCAAAATTGTAAAATCCTACTTTTTCCTTTTGAAAGCCTTGGAAAAAGCCTTGAAAAGCCTTTGGTACTGTCATAATATAAAGCATTAAGAATTAAAAGTGCTTAATAATTATTATAATTATTTCTTCATGTAGTTTGCACTGACAACACCAAAGGATCATGGTCTATGTAGTTCCCTTTGTTTTTTAGCTATTGCTGCACCATGACAAGGAAAGTTTATTTGTACAGCACAATTCATACGCAAAGTAATTCAAAGTGCTTTACAACTTAAGAAAGACATTAAAATCACAAAGAAAGACATAAAAATCACCATATCTATTCATTCAAACAAAGAGACTTGTAATTTGATATATTGTGATGGCCTCCGATATTATTGTGAGATTTTTAATGATACGATACCACAATATTTCAGTTATTATTGCATCCGTATAGCAGACACAAGCACAATAAGTCTTCTTTAATAAATGTTAAAAATCCAGTATGTAACTTTCTGGAGGTACAAAGAACGAAACCTTCTCCATACTGTTACAACAACAGGAACAACATTTCCATGGAAACAAGCAGGTTTGTGGAGTTGCAAGCCTGCTCATGTTTTTCAGTGCAATAAACACAACCAATATAATAAACATGCTTTTATCTTAGTCTATTTGTTGACTGAAAAGTTACATCCTGTGGCTTTATGTGTGCACATTTTAGTTTCAATATAATACAACTAAAATAACTGCACCAAAAAGTATTACAATGTTAAGAAGTATTAAGTAATATTGCAATAATATCAATATTGCAGTATTTATAAGTTATATCAAACAATTTGAGCTTTTAACACATTGTGAGTTTTGTGGTGCTTTGTGTCTTTTGTTTATTTATTGTTTTTATCTATTTAAATTTTTTTAGTACTGCTTTTGCATATTGATTTTATTATTTTTGTTTACTGATTTTATGATTATTATTTTATTTATTGATATATTAGTTTCCTCTTGATTGGAACATTATTCTGCTGATTTCTTGTTTTACATTGCTATGTACTGGAAGCCTCCAACCTCATCAAAAAACGACTGCACGCCCCACAATCCTGAGCCGCCCTATACACGAATCCACTCTGGTGTCCCAGCACGATTTCAGTAAACTACAACGCACGCAAACACACACGGAGCAGACAGCGACCGCGCAACGAAAAACACCCACAGCCACACTCATCACTCCACGCGGACGAGGAACGGAAAGGAGGAACGAACCGAAAAAGCGAGTGCAATGTGCCACTTCTAGCCACAACTGAACAACTGAGTCATTGCGAACACGCCGACAATCCAGCGGTCCCAGACAGCACCCTCCCTACACGCCACAACTGAACAAAGCCCAGAGTCACCGTGAACCACAAACAAAGTCCCACTGACCCATCCAACTGTTGTGTTTCGTTTAATGCACCTTATAGTCCGGTGCAGTTTATATGTGAAAAAAGTTAGAAAATAGACCATTCAATGACAGTGCGCCCTATAGTGTGGAAAATACGGTAAATCACTTTGGAAACTGTCTTGTTTATAAAATGTGCTATACAAATAAAGTTGGATTGGATTGGACTTAACAGCCACTCCTTCCATAACTGCCTAGCCTTGGTGAGCTTCATTTGACTGGAGCTGAACACTAAGGGTGACGTCAAACTCACTTGGTCTCCTTCTTTATACAGTCTATGGGTTACACTGTTGGATGTTTTAATATTTAACTCGTTTTCTTTGTTTTTTTTTTCCTCTGCTCAGTACCTGAACCCAAACCTTCTGGCCCTGGTGACGGAGAGCACCGACCAGCACCAGGAGCGCAGTTTCGTAGGGATCATTCTCATCGACGGAATCACGGGCAGAATCATCCACGAGGCCGTCCAGAGGAAAGCCAGGGGTCCGGTCCACATTGTGCACTCGGAAAACTGGGTGGTGGTGAGTGGGAGGCGCACAGACTAAATAACCGGGATTACAAACAGCATTCCTGTAAACGGATAATAGGAAAGTGAAGAGGCTTAGTTTACAAATCGAGACATTGGAACATATTTGTGGAAATGGAAGGAAGGGTAGGATATAACGATAAACAGAAATACACTGGTAAACATACAAGAATGCACTACTTGTGGGTTTGTCATCCACTTTAGGAACATTATTTAGACTAAAGATTTCCTGGAGATAGAAGTTAACCTAATCTTAAAGTTCCTATATTAAACAAAATGGATTCTTTTGAACTTTAAGGCATGTTATAATATTGTTACCTCCTCAAAAACATACTCAGAGTTGTCTTTTGTTTCATTCAAGCATGACTGGCTTAATTTATTTCTTTGAGTAGTTGTCAGACGCCATAATTTTACTCCCACTAAGTTATTTATTTTAGAGTGATTGTGTTGTTTTGGATACTCTGTGCGCACGTCTCCTTCAGGCGTTTTCGTATTTTTGTCATTTTTGCGGTCTATTATTTGAAAATACCAGATGTTTGTGCGTGTTTTTCTTACATAAAATCAACCTCAAAATCACGTCCAGACAGATTTTTAAATTCCTCTTATTTGAGTTGTACTTTCCACAAATACTTCTAGCCTTACTGTCATTTCTTAGACAATTACTACTACTACTACTAAGTACTAACTGCTACTACTACTACTACTGCTGCTACTACTACTACTACTACTGCTGCTAATAATACTACTACTACTACTGCTGCTAATACTACTACTATTACTGCTGCTACTACTACTACTACTGCTGCTAATACTACTACTACTGCTGCTGCTACTACTACTACTGCTGCTATGACTACGACTACTACTATGAGGACTACTACTACTACTACTACTACTACTACTACTACTACTACTACTACTACTACTACTACTACTACTACTACTACTACTATGAGGACTACTACTACTACTACTACTACTACTGTTATTGCTGCTACTACTACTTATACTACTGCAACTGCTACTACTAGTACTAATACTAAAACTTCTACTAATACTGCTGCTTCTGCTACTACTACTACTACTACTGCTACTATTGGCACTACTACTGCTGCTACTGCTACTACTACTACTATTACTACTACTACTACTGCTACTACTATTACTGCTACTATTGGTACTACTGCTACTACTGCTACTACTACTACTAATACTACAACTGCTACTACTATTGTTGTTATGGCTGCTACAGTTACTGCTTCTACTACTACTAATACTATGACTGCTACTATTACTGCTACTACTATTGTTACTACTACTTCTGTTACTGTTACTACTAGTACTACTACTACTACTACTACTACTACTACTGCCACTGCCACTACCGCTCCCTTTGCCTCCTCTGTCGTTCTCATTCTGTTTTCTCACCTGTTTTCTCTTCCCGTCCGCAGTACGAATACTGGAGCACGAAGTCCCGCAGAGTGGAGTTCTCTGTGATTGAACTGTACGAGGGGATGGAGCTTTACAACAGCACCGTGTTCAGCTCTCTGGACCGGCCCTTCGCTCCTCAGGTCCTACAGCAGTCCTACATTTTCCCATCAGCCATCTCTGCCATGGAGGCCACCCTGACGGAGAAGGGCATCACCAGCAGACACCTCCTCAGTGAGTTTTTACTTTCACTTTCTGGACTGATGAATGAATTATAATAAGTAAAACGCTAGTTATAAGCATATTGGGTGACAGTAGCTCAGATGGTAGCGTTTGTCCACTGATCTGGAAATTGGGGGTTCAGATCCTGCGCACACAGATAAATGCTGTCATTTGGCACGTTTACATGTTGTTTTTTAATTCCGAATTAATTGTTCTGAGTTAAATAGTTCCGAAATGAAATATTTTCCTTCGAGTTTACATGGAAATAATTATTCTGAATTAAGGTTTACATGGGAAAAACGTTAAATTGCCTTTGTTTAATTCTGCTCAATGTCTAGAGGTCGTGAAGGGTTCTGATTAGATGAATATATTTATGTTGACTGGAAGAAAACACACACTTCAGCTGCTACCTGCCTTTTTGTCATCTCGGTTTGTCGTTTAAAATTTTTCGGAGTTGTTCCAATGATAATGAAGGAGCAGCTGGAAAATTCTCTCATCACACTTTACATCTGTCAGCTGAGGAGGAGAAGGGAAGAGTGTTGGAGAAGGGAGGAAGAAGACAAACTGAGCCACCAGCTGCTCTACCTCAGCCCACTCCTGCATCCCACTTGCAAATCCAAAGAGCAGTGGATGACAGTCCGAAGTAACGACTAGTAGAGCCGGATTGCGTCAGAAGGGCCACCCAACAAGCATGCGCTTAATGAGCGAATTATTTTTAAGAAGAATAAACGTTTACATAATCGAGGAATAAATTAATTCACCTTTAAAATCAGAATAAACCACCAACTTACTTCGGAATTAAGTTTAATGTTGAATAATCATTTTCATTAGGAGTTAAGTGTTTACATGGTCTTTTTAAAGCAAAATTAAATTATTTTTATTCAGAATTAAAGCTCTTATGTAAACATGGCAATTTGTGTCTTTGGGCAAGGCACTTAATCCACCTCGCCCCACTGGTGTATGAATGTGTGTGTGAAATTATGAGTGATGCCTTGATGTAAAGAGCTTTGAGAGCCTTGAAAGTGGAAAAGCACTGTATAAAAATGTGACCATTTATCATAGCATAGAGCAAAATAATTAAATGTAATTATAACATGGGAAAAATACTCACAGTGCTGAATAAGAAAAAAAAAAAAAGAAATTTGGACAACCCTGGATGTTGTTTCTCGTTTTACCACTAGGGGCAATGGGAAGACTATTTCTTTCAACAAGATTTAACAACAAAACAGAATATAAAAAAGTAGCGACTTACTCATTCTGTACTCCTTTAAAAACTTTATGGACAGATTAAGATAATCTATTAAAATTACTGGAGTGAAATGCATCTTTTCTATTTTGGAGTTATGCTGCAAATGTCATTAAGTGCAGCAGCTCGGTCAGTCAGACTAACCCACTTTCTGAACAGTCCCCTCTGTGTGAACGAGACTCAGCACAATGCAGTGGGACTGTTCACTTCAGGTGTGAGAATTCTTCTATTCTCAAAAATGTGCCAAAGCTGCAACAGGCTCAGTTAGTATAGTCGAGCAATGAAAAACGTAAACTCATTTCATTTTCTGAAGAAGCGAGCTAGACTGTACAATGTAGGATGATGCGTGAATTGGCCAAATGCAGATGCCAAAGTGACCTGTTTTAGACCCTAATCTTACCTTTACCTAAATTAAAAGTACTGCAAAGTTTAACTAAATACCTGTTGTCATTTGTCGTCAGTTGGTTTACCCTCAGGAGGCATTTTATCTCTACCAAAGATGTTTTTGGACCCACGCAGACCTGAGATTGTATCTGAGCAGAGCCGGTGAGTGCATCCTACACATGTTGTTGAAGGAATTTTTTATCTATGTTATAATGTTTCCTCATCAAAAATCAACACAACTTGGCTAAAAGCTCACAGGAGTCAATTTTGTGTAATGTAGGACCTTTAACTCATGATCTTGTTGTTTTTCAGTGAGGAGAACCTGATCCCGTACGCTCCAGAGCTGCCGATCCGAACAGAGTGGTACATCAACTATAACCAGTCTGTGTCCCGGGTCAGAGGAATCCACACGGTCCCCTCTGGGCTGGAGTCCACATGTCTCGTGAGTTCACTTTTTAATAATTAGATATACATTTCAAACTCTGTGTCCATAGATTTTCATTGTCTGTTGATTGATAAAACAATAAATAAAAATGTATTAATTCCAACCACATTTCTACTCCACTGTAAAATCTAATCTTATTTAGGCATGCAGTTCTTAAGATAATTGAAGGGGGCAGCAAAGCATCTAGTCTAAGAGGAAATAGAAGAAGCCAGATTTCTAAAATGTAACATTGTATCCCTGGGCAAGACTTCACGAACCCAACGATCCTTTTCATTCACAGTAATATTGCAACAGGAAGGGCATCTGGACTAACGCAACTCTAAATCAATCCTGTCTAAAAAGGAGCAGCCAAATGAGATCAAAAACTCAAAAAACTATATGAATATTTCTTGCTGTAACTGAAACCAAAACAGCACAAATTTAAAGGTGCACTATGTAACTTTTCTGGTTGAGGGTACCAGCTTGTCACCGTGGATATTGCTTTGCCTTTAGTGCTCCAAAGTAAACACCAGGCCGAGTTACAGGTCAGATCGGTGAAGAGGTGACCCTGCCAACGGTAATATTATGTAAAATGTTTTTCAAGTTATTTCAGATCAATAAAAACACCTGTTAATGAATACATTATAAGATAAGAGGATATCTTGGGTTAATACTATACTATGGAACATTCCAGGCAAAGCAATACATCTCCAAGGAGGCAATAAAGTACAACAAAAAATACAAAACCAAAAAAATAAATAAATAAAAAAGCTGTTGACAAACCCTCCTCCAGAAAAGTTGCCCACCTTTTAAAGCAGGGGTCTCCAACCTTTTTTCTCCAGTGAGCCCCTTTGCAAAACAAAAATGACAGAGACCTACCTATTTCAACAGTCGCAAAGAAGCAAAGAGTAAATATAAGAGCCACGGCAATCCTTAGATGGGGAACAGTTAGATGTCTATAAAAACATAAACCATTATCCATTTATCAGTGCACCAATTAGGCATCAAAGTCATACATTTACAATGGTAATTAATCAAATTTTAATGATTATCCACAATACATAGAATTCAGAAATCTCTATTTTAATTCATAATTAACAACAAACAACAGGATAAACTATTTTTGACTGGTAAATACAAAATCAATATTTACAATAAGATAACAGACACAAGGAGGTGGAGGTGAGGCAGTAGTGTCCTTGCTTTATATTCAGACTTTTTTTTTAATTTACGTTTTATTATATTAAAGCATCATTTTGTATATTTAATTTCATGTTTCGCACTTTCACACATTTAAATACTATAATTTGTTAGTTTTAATTGGCACCTTGCTTGCAAACAGGGTGTAAACTTAGAATGGATCTATTAATTATGAATGTTTTATTGTGTTGGTTTTACTGGAAAGCACTTTGGTCACCCTGAGCATTGTAAATCTATAAAGTTTGATTGATTGTTTTCATTTTTATCTTTTTTTAATGTTGATTTCATCCTAACCTTTTACTCTGTTCTTTGTTAGGTGGTTGCGTACGGCCTGGACATCTACCAAACCCGCGTGTACCCCTCGAAGCAGTTTGACGTTTTGAAGGACGATTACGACTACATGCTCATCTCCAGCGTCTTACTGGCTCTGTTCTTCGCCACAATGATCAGCAAACGATTAGCAGAGGTCAAACTACTCAACCGGGCCTGGCGATAAACTGAGAAAATATGCAAAATACAAAAGGATATCCCTTCTAACAGAGCCCCGATGCTGCACTGTGAAGGCCCCCAGTCTTAATACAAGCGAGTTGGCCAAGGATATGCCTGTAGAAAATGTTTAGGTCCCTATGTTTGACCTGTTGAAACTGCACTGATGGGGGGGCGAAGGGAGTACAATGACTTATGTGTGTTTTTTAACTTATTTTGAGAGATAATTATAATTGTGCCATTAAATTTAACTAATAAAAGGCTAGATTTATTTAAATTTAACTAATAAAAGGCAAGATTTATTTAAATTTGAGTTGCAGGTCAGGTATAGGAAGTTATAGGAGATTTTTTATACATTATCTGTAACATGAATAGAAAATCAATTGAAAGATTAGATTAAAATTGAAGGAGATGCTGGTACTATCCGTCCTATCCAAGGGTTACCGGAATGATGGGAAGTTAGCATGATTAACGATTAACAATTTTTAAAACTAAATATATGTCTCAAAGTTCTCAAAATGTCACAGATAATGGCACAGACTGTATATACAAATGGACACGTTCCCAACAGGGAGTGAACAAGGGATCGCTTTACTTGACAAATTTTTACAAAATTGTCACCCCTCTCTCTGTAACTGTTGCTGTGAGCCCTGTCATTTTGATTTTGGTCTTAAAATTTTCATATTAACCTGCTCTAACCCGTGATCCTGTGGTTTTTATTTCGCTATTTTGTCCGTAAATATATTCATATTCCTAGGGTTCCCACTGTCATGGAAATTCTGGGGAAGTCATGGAAATTGAAAATGTCATTTTCCAGGTCTGAAAGGGTCATGGAATTTTGTAAACCCAATTAAACTTTTGGAAAAGTCATGGAATTTTAGTATCACTTTCCCGCAACTATAGCGCTCTGTTAAATTATCATTAGGCTATTGCAATTATTTCCAAACATCTGCGACTTTTGTTTAAAAGAGACGACAATAAATGCACCGACAGTATTTTAAATGTTAAAAAAACTATAATACCAAACCATAATGTGAGTGGAAAGAGTTAACATTTCATATTTAGCCCTAAAAGTATGATCACTTCTACACATTTGGGTGCTGTAAAGTCATGGAAAAGTTTTGAAATTTTGTCAGTGAAAAAGAGTGGGAACCCTGTATTCCTCATACAAACTCTACTCCAAATTCTCCCCCATAGCGGCATACCTCAGTGAGCTTCATTTGACTGGAGCCAAATGCTGTGGGTGACTCCAAACTCCTTTAGTCCATTTCTTTATACAGGCTATGGATTACAGGAAGTTGAAATCTATGAAACTATTAGTTGTACCAGGCTGTGCTGTTGCATGTGGTACCCTCCTACTACCAAATGCCAGTGGGTTTTATGGCAAATTAACTGTGAATAAAGTCATGGGCGTGCTGGAGCGAGAGTGGATATTTAAGATGTTTAAAGTCTCATCTTTTCTTTGTGTCATGTTCACTGAATGCTGGTAGATTACAGGTTAATTATGTACAGGCTTCATCTTGTAGCTCACTCAATGGTTTGCTTTTGTCAAGTTATAACGTTTAAATTAAAGATTTCTCAACAAAACTAGTTTCTTCATGTTTTATAAGTGAGGGGTGTCTTTGTTCAACTTTGTCAGTAAATATTGGACATTTAGCAGCTTGAACTTCAGTGGGTCAAAGGCAGTGTAGGATTAAAGGGCCTATGATGCCCTTTTTTGAGCTATGTTACGTTTCCTCATCAAAAACGTACCTGGAGTTGTGTTTATATTTAGCATTATTTGAGTTTTTCTCTCAAATAGAATAAACACTGTTCCAACTTGTGATGTAAAGATAATACAAGAAGTGCTCCACATACAGGTTCACTAGAATAATTTTGATGATTTCAGCTCTGGAATTGCTCATCTCTACTGAACTAAAGGTAAAAGGATTTGTTAACTTGAAAACTACTGCTTTATGACATGTGGAAAAGATCATTTTGAGCTTTGGAGATGTAGACAGACTAATAATAAAGGATTACTCGCACATGTGAATGAAACAAAACAATGATTTTGTGGAGGTCACAAAATCAAAAGGGCCCACAAGAGCCAATTTTGTGTAATATAGGACCTTTTATTCTATTTAAGACAGACTCCAATGGTTCATTGAATGAATAAGTTACTTTATTTCTATAAATAGATTAAACAAATGTTACAATACTCTCAGAAACCTTAAGACAAAATTACCAATATAATGTACAGAGGAAGCTGTAAACACTGACAATGAAACATATCTACATTAGGACGGATCAACTGAAGTTACCATTGCTTTTTAGAGTCAGTTTTACTGATTTTAACACATTTCATTTTTCATATAAAAGCCTATATTAAGAGGTTTCCAGGTGTATCTGAGACTATAAGTGACCCATGAAAAGTTGATGCTAAACTAGTATGATTTTAATGTGTGGACACTGTTTATATGATAATATAAAATTATATTATATAATCTGTTTATATAATAATCTGCCTATTAAAGGTGAAAATACTAAAACTACATTAACGATCTATTGGTGAAGATGATTTCATAACGATAAGTAAAATACTTAAAAATAAATTCAATTAAGTGACTAATTGACTATAACATGTTTGTTTCTTTAAAATACGTTTGATAAATTGTAATTTAATTAAGTCTATAAATACATTTAATTACAGTAAAATTGAAGCAGCAAGTTGTAAAAAGACACATCATGTCTGTACAAGCCCAGCTTGTACACAGTTAAGAGTTCAGTCCTGGTAAGGCTCATTTCACTACACACACGGACACTTTATTAGGTACACCAATAATGCTTCAAATTCGCTTCTAATATAATACTCAGGAAACTTGCCACATTTAGTTTAGTTTTAGGTTACAAGTTTCTTTTAATTCCTTTTTTGTCCTGTGGATTTTTTGCTGTAATGTGACTCGTATTTAGAAGCACAACAAAAACAGTGTACCAAATAAAGTGATCAGTGAGTAAAGGCCAACCACTCCACAGAGGTTTCAGGAGGTATATCTCTCTAACATTGATTAAAATACTGGAATGTTAGTTTTCTTGATTTACTATGGAATACTGGCAGGTAACATATTACATCCTAAAGGGATTATATGTCGTCAATTACGATAACTATAATCGAAGTCAAGAAAAGAGCTGACGATCTGGACCACTTTAAAATACAAGGAACGAGAAGTTCTTTCAGTATCAACTTCCCTGTAATTAGTCATGTTAAGACTATGTCCAGATGTCAAGCTCTTATCGCTTAATTATAATGTGATAAGATTAATTCACAAACTCCATTTAATCCCTTTTATATATAATACAACATAGCAACCAGGTATCGCACTATGACCACAGGCTCAACAAGAGGAGAAGTTATTTGAGGATGTTCCCAGTTTGTTAGATTTTAGTATTGTTCAAATTCGGTCCAAGATGATACAGGTTAAATATATTTGTTCCCTGAAGTGTTATAAAGTAAATTTGTCATAAAATTGTTCTTCTCTTAGTAATACATTTTATAGTGTCCTCTTGGTTACTCATTCCACTGTGAGTGCCAAAAATACTTTGAGTTTTTCTCATTTTTGTGGTTTGACCTGTAAATATGAGATATGGTTTAACATTTTGTTCTTCAGAAGAACAAATTATAAATCAAATCTCATGTCCAGTTACTCCTACTGTAGTAGATGTTTCCAGAAACACTTTTTTCTCTCACTTGAGTGATTTCTGAGACCACTACAGTGTTTCCTATAGGTCCCATGGAAACTATGATGGTACAAATTTATATATTTTTTTAATTTAAGTAATTTAAACAATAATAGTAATAAAATTTTGTATAATTTGTGTAGCATAAATGTCGCTAATGGCCTATTTTTAGTCTTTTAGTGGTCATTTTTTCCAATTATAGTTTCTTTTAAAGGTTTCTAAAAGTGTCTTCTGGTATTTTTAAATAATTTTACTCAATATTTCTTGTCTATTTTGTACAGGGCAATATTCTGGGCCTGTGGTCATACAGCCATACCTGATTGGAGCATTTCAATACCCCAAAGTAGCAGACACTCCTCCTATTTGCTTAAACCGTCTTGTAATGACTATGGACCTCATTCATACCTCCTTCATAACATCCCTTTAATGTCCATTTCATACTGTTATATTATTATATTTATCGTTTTTTCCAGAAGCCGCCGTTTGACTTCCTGGTCGGTTCACTTTGCAGTCTGTCTCTCCGGTTTGAGCTTGCCGGCGCCCCTGGAGGTAGTAAGATGTAGTGTGTGGTACTGGCTTGCCTTCCATCTTTTAAAATGGGCACTATACACGGTGAAGACTGTGTCGTACTGGGCACCCTTTCACTGTGATGGCGCTGTAAAGTCTTGCTAACGTAATTGGGGTTAGCAGCAAAACTCTGCGTGGGCGGCATGACTCCGTTGATGTAGATGGGCAGACTTTTCGGGCTTGGCGTTCTGGGGGGGCAGGGTGGTACCAGCGGGACTCTGGGTGGGATTTTCGGGGGTTTATCGTCGTTCGAAAAAGTCAGGTTTTTAGGTTTGATCGGTATGCGCGGTGGGACTTCTGGTTTGTCGTCGGGAATAGGAGGAACAGAGCAAGAAAAGCGCATTTTCGGGGTTAAATCGTCAGGTTTGCCCCAGAATGCATCTCCGTTATCCCAGTTATTCGCAGGGAAATGGCTGCCTCTAGCTGGTAGTCTGTCATCGCATCCAGGCCATGAAAACGCCATATTCCCACTGTCTTTATCAAGCAAAGATGCATCCTGATAAGCGTAGTTCACTTGCCCGTTGTGTCTAGAGCTGACATTACTGCTTCCTTTACATGGGGCTTTGGGGAAGGACTTCGGGAGCAGGCATCGTCGGTCACTAGTGAAAAACTCCACTTCTTGGTCTGCGGCTTCGTCAGACATGAGCTCCTCGGGGTCTGGAAGAGGCGGTAAGGGTTTGGACGCGCGCTGTCTCAAGACGGTGCACCCTCTCTGGGCTGAAGGCACGACCTGGTCCCCCTCTTGTGGAGGTCGGAGGAGACGCTGAGAGGCGAGGTAAGCGTCGGAGAAGTAAGGCGGATGGGAGAGAGAAGCTGTGGAGGAGAGAGGAAACGGTTTAGTTTAGATTCCAAACTCTCTACTACTTTATGTAATTTCAGTCAAATAGTGTCCAAAAATGTATTTGATTGTGGCAAGACAAGCAACTTTAACTTTGGCCTTTTATTGTTCTGTGTTGTGTTTTGTGTTGTGGATTTGTCATTATCTTTCTTTGTCATATTCTCCTGGGACCCGAAGAAAAAAGTATGTTGCAATATATATATTTTTTGTGATTTTCTGTCTATTTGGAGGTAAATGAACACTTTAGCATTTAGATTTTGTTCATTTTATTTTTATTTCTAATTTGTAACATGTCCTCTGTAATGGACGCCGGGGACATTTTGGTGTTAAATTAAACTTTTTTGAAGACCAACATCTCTGACAAGCTTCTACAGTTGCCTCAAAAACTTTTTAGACTCCATTTTAATTATTTATTTATTTATTTATTTATTTTTAATCATACTGTAGCCACAAACTAACTCCTACTGAGTTCATTTTTTATCCTAGACATTTAGGCATTGGAACCGAGAAACCTATAGTCCCCCCATTAACAGTCTATCTCAAAACAATTAAAAGAACAACTGGTTAACTCAAAGTCCACTATAATGGACACAAATGATCGGACCAGATCTCAGGAGGATATTTACACTGTAATTACAGAAAAAAACACAGAACAAGAAATGTGTTGCACAGTCCTAGTTGGTGCATGAACTCGATTTCAATACTTGATTTGTGATTTTGATACCAAAATGATCATTTTAAAATCTCTTTTTTTAGACAATATTATAATTTTTAACTTGTTTATTTTACCATGTGGTCTTTCTTACTAGAGCTCGCATAAAACTTAAGATAAAACTGTTCAGGAAGGTCAAATTTTATCCAGTTATGTGAATTTCAGTATTGATACGTGCTTAAATTAGTAACTAGTTTCAGTACCAATTTTAGTATCAATTAGAATCTGATTTCCAATACTTCTGACATTCCTAGTGGACAGGTTAGGAGCTAAAAGACTACAGACTGGGCTTGAAAAATGGTTAGTAAAAATTGTGATCACACATGTAATAATATAACAACTGCTATAAAGGATTAATTTGATAGACACACACAATTAAAACAGAGAAAATCACATAAAAAGAGACTGCCATGGTTTAACGAACCCTTTTGGGATCTGATGAAACTTAGATAAAGCACTAAAAACAGCTCTAAAAACTGGACTAAGCACTAATCATTATATGTACAAAAGCTTGAGAAATAAAGTCACCATATAGCTCAGAAAAACTCAAACTAATTTATTCTAAACCAAATTAAGGATGCAAAAGGTAACAATAAACAACTGTGGAGGAGTATGGATGAATGACTAGGAAGGAGGAAAACTAACTTAATTTGCAACTTAAAATAATAAAGGTGCTACAACCTGGTACAAAGCATCTCTCCTGTTAATCTGGTTAATCTGTCTCTGTCTCAATAAATAAATAAACAAACTAATAATCATATATAGAACTCACAAGAGCCCTTTTAATATTACAGATTTATACATAACAATGCTGAGACATTCTAATTGTTAACAAATTTAATAGTTTATATTCTTCAGTCTTTGTATTTGTCACTGATACACTGTAAAATCAAATGCAGTGGTTTCATATGGTGACCCGGAAACATCGGGACATTGCAGATCGAAGTAGCATTTCCATATTTCCATCTCCTTCCAGACCAATAAATAACATAACTCTTAAACATATTTGGAGCAGGAGTTAAAGCGGACTCTCCTCTCTCTCGTGGGTCTGTAGGAGGGCACATACCAGCGTCAGTGGGCGGCTCTCCACAGACTTGTTTTTGTTTCTGACGGAAGCACAACTGAAAACATAGAAAACTCAAGACCTAACCTCTCGCCCCCTTTGTCAAAACGCCACAACACGAAGATTAAAGCTTTATCTGCCTTTCACAATGTCTCACCAGCTGGGCACACACACACTGGGGCCTATTACTGGCAAGGATTTTTGTTTATTTCATTTATTTAGGCAATATTTAAACACTGTGCACTATGTAACGTTTTGGTTACTGCTTGATTCTATGGATATGTCATTACTCTGCCTGGAATGCTCCTCAGTATGACATTAAACAGCTCCACTTTACATTTATTCAATTACAGGTGGTTTTATAGCACAAAAATTCCTAGAAAAACAAACATTCTGACTGTGAGCGGGGTTGTCTCTCCACAGATCTGACCTGTAACTTGGTCTTGTTTAGTCTCCATGATGATAGAAAGGTTTAATATCATACTGTGAAACATTCCAGACAAAGCATAAACTAAAATCTACCTAAAGAAAAGCATTTGACGGACCCTCCACAAGAAAATGCACCTTTAAGTTCTATCTGGATTTGTCAAAAGTATTGAAAATCAGATACTAATCGATATTAAAACTCAAAATTAGGTATAAATACTAGGGATGTAACGATATCCAAATCTCTCGGTACGATATTATCACGACATGTGTCTCACGATACGATATTTATTGTATATATATAATTATAGACAGGACAGTTTTTTGTTTTTAAAATACCTTGACACAATTTTGGTGTGAATTATTTCCATGATAATCCCAAGAATTCAAGTAAAAAACATTTCTACATGTTGTCTGCACTGAAATGAATCATGGGATATGTAGTTCCTGATGTTATAAACTGTTTTTACTATAAAACCATGCATTTAAGCAAAGGAACTTGTATTTCGATATATTGTGACAGCCCACAATATTATTGTTAGACTTTTGACGATATGATATCACGGTATTTCGGTTAATGTTACATCCCTAATACAGTAAATACTAAAAATTCACATTCACAGGACAGAAATGATTGAAGGGATTACAAAGATGGACCACATAGGAATATAAAAGAACGTACTATGATTTAACATTGAAAATCACATTCTACTGTCTAAATAAAGAGTTTTTATTATCATCAGAGTGACATCGGAATCGGTATTCAGTATCGATTCCTAAGTATTGAAAGTAAAGTTTGAAATGTTACTATTGTTACAAAACTAATCTGGAAATAATTTCTACTGAACAAACTGTAATAGAGACATTTTTGGATTTGACTTGACTTGACTTTGATTTTGCACTTTATTATTATTATTTTTTTAAACTGTGCATGTGAATAAAATAAACAGGCTGGATTAGTTTCCAGTCACATCCATAAACACACAAGAGATGAAAGAATACTCCATAACAGATTAATATAAAAGGTGCACTACACTGGGACAGCTCCATCACTCGTTTGTCTCATGAAAATGTTATTGCTTTGCCAGGAATGTTTCAGTGCACGGTTTAAACCTTTTCCACCTTTCATTTATTAAATTCCAGACCCATTTTTATTGTCAGAAAATACTTTGGTGGAGTCGCCGGTGTCTGCTGAGTTTTATGACTTTGTGTCGTTCCAGGCAAAACAATAACATCCCCAAGGATAAATAAAGAGTTCACAGTCTTCACCTAAAAACTGAGAGTGGAAACTGGAAAGCAAATTTTAAATTTGTGATTTTCTCATGGCGACCATTTAACCTGTGAATATTATTTGATTTTGATATACAAGACAAATACATTAAAGCGCCCATATTACGCTGTTTTCTGATCTGTATTATAATGTTGTTTCATAGGGATGGGATGTAACAATAACCAAAATATTGTGATATCTTATCGTCAAAAGTCTCACAATAATATTGTGGACTGTCACAATATATCAAATCACAAGTTCCTTTGCTTAAATGCATGGTTTTATAGTAGCAACAGCTTATAAACATCGGGAACTACATATCCCATGATTCATTTCAGTACACACAACATGAAGAAGTATGTTTTTTACTTGAATTCTTGGGATTATAATGGAAATAATTCACACCAAAATCTTGTCAAGGTATTTTAAAAGCAAAAAAGTGTCCTAAAATTATATTAGCCTCTCCAAAATATCGCAATAAATAACGTACCATGATATGCATATCGTGATAATATCATACTGAGAGATTTGGATATTGTTACATCCCTCTTGTTTCCTCATCACAAACATACTTGGAGATTTATTTTGTTTCATTCACACATGTTTAACAGACAAATCTTCCATATTTAGGCTGAGTTCTTTTCTCAAACAGAAAACACTCTCTTCCACCTTGTGATGTCATCATGTGGTAACACAGAAACTGCTTCACTGTGTTTTTAAACTCCAGACACCTTCACTAGAACCACTGGGATAATTTCAGACCTGGAATCGCCAATTTCTACTGAACTTAAAGTAAAAGGTAGGTGTTAACTTGAAAACAACTACGTCAACAAGGTGGAACAGAGCATTTTGAGCTTTAGAGATGAAGACAAACTAGTAATTAAGGATTACTCAAACACGTGTGAATCAAACAAAACACAACTCCAGGTTTGTTTTTGACGAGGTAACAACATTATAAACACGTCTTAAAGCTCACAATAGTCAACTTTGCCTAATATAAGACCTTTAAAGTATAAACTATAGAGCAATAATACTCACCAAAGTCCTTGTGGAGGCCCCTGAGGTTGTGGTCCATGTCCAGTCCGAAGCAGTCTCTGAAAAACAGCCCGGGTTCAGTATAGGTTTGTTCACGGTCAGAGTCAATCATTTGTCACATGGGGCTCTGTAGTGACCCATTACATGTTCAAAAACACAGTGGACATATGCACAAAACATGTACTATGATGTCCTATTATATAAGAACTATTCATTTACAACGGTCGGAAATCATATGTTCACTCAGTCATGTTGTTACACATTTGGTTGAACTACTTTTTAGTTCTGTAATGCTATATACAGGGTTCCTGCTCTTTCACTGACAAAATTTCGAAACTTTTCCATGACTTTTTCATGACCTAACCTGAATTTTCCATGACTTTACAGGACCTACATGTGTAGAATTTATCAGACTATTAGGGCTAAATATGAAATGTTAACCCTTTCCACTCATCTTATGGTTTGGTTTTATAGTTTTTTAACATTCAAAATACTGTCAATGCATTTATTGTGCACTATGTAACTTTTCTTATGGAAAAGCTGTAACCTACTTATCGGCATGGCAATGCTTTACTCCAGGTTTTGAGTGTTTTTTTTGTTGTTGTTGTTTTTTTTTCAATTTTAAAATTTTTTTACTCGGTTGGAGCAATATTTGTAGCTAAATCACAACTTAAGTTCACGCTTGGAAATTTTTAAAGGTGCACTGTGTAACTTTTCTAGAGAAGGTCCTCAATCTTGTCTCCATGGAGATGTTAATGCTTTGCTTTAAATTGTCCACAGTACGGCATTAAACTAATCTGTCTTGCGTTTATTCCACTACAGGTGTTTAAGTGCTCAAAAATATCTTTAAAAAAACATTCATTCTTACTGTGAGTGGGGTTGCTTCTCCACAAATCTAATCTGTAATTTGGCTTGCAAGTCTCCGTGGAGATTCATAGCTTTAGGACATACTGTGGAACATTCTAGGCACATCTCCATGGAGGAAACAGGTGACAGACCCTCAACGAGACAAGTTATACAGTGCATCTTTAGGCATTTGACAGGTACCGTCTCATTTTCCAAACTCTAAAATCAAAGTAAGCGTATGGAATGCGAGCACATAAATGACTTGACACATGTTTAGTTAAGATTTTCCAGACTTGTAATGTTTTGACAAGCACTAAGTAGCTCGAGGAAGGATAGTTATCATAGATGAAGTACAAAAATAAGATTCATTGATTACGCAAAGGTCCTAATTACGCAAAACTGACTCTTGTGAGCTTTAAGTCACGTTAGAATGTTGTTACCTCATCAAAAACAAATCTGGAGTTGTGTTTTGCTTCATTCACATGTCTGAGTAATGTTTTATTATTAGTCTGTCTACATTTCCAAAGCTCAAAATGCTCTGCTCCACCTTGTGATGTGATGAAGGGGAAGTTTGCAAGTTAACAGTTTTTACCTTTAGTTCAGTAGAAATTGGCAATTCCACGGCCAAAATCATCCAAATGATTCTAGTGAAAGTGGAGTTTAAAAACACAGTGGAGCACTTCCTGGATGCATGACATCACAAGTTGGAACAGAGTTTTTTATATTTGAGAGAATAATATAGCCTAAATATGCAGGGTTTGTGTGTTTTTAAACATGTGTGAATGAAACAAAACACAACTCCAGATACATTTTTGATAACAAAACAACATTATAATAATTGTTGTTGCTATAATAATTGTTGCACTGTCTTCCTATGACTTCTTAGCCTGATTCATCAGCCGGTTTCACTTCGTGGAAACTGTCTGACCTCACAGCATTAGAATTGTTCCCTCGACAGTAGGCGGTTTTTATTTAACCAGTCGCTGATATTTGGTCGTGACGTATGTAATGCGCCAAATCCTGTAGGAAGAAGAGAAATAACGTCTTTCTCCTTGATAAAATTCACCAAACATTCTCTTTGTTCCACCTTTAAATTCTCGATCTCAGCAATCGTTGCCAACACAGAACATATGTCTTCGTCTACATCCATCTCGACCGCTTTGTTTACTGTTGTGCTGAACCACAAAAGGGACCCAGACAGGAGCTTGAGTTTGATGTCATGGCGTCACAGCTCTTTGCTGATTGGCTGGTGCACGGTCTACAACTTCTGGGGTTCTTGCAAATAGTCTAGTGTATTCCGATTCCTGACGTTGTCGCTGGAGAAAAATGAAATTGAGCGGAGGCACTAGGTGGCGCCAGCCTGGCTAATGACCTCTTATATATAGCTGAGATTTTATTTATTATTTTATTACTTATTTTTCTATTTTATTTTGACTTGAACATATACATTAACCTACTTATGTCTTATATGATCGCAGTCTCTTGCTCTCTTTTTTGCTCCTTGTTAGAATTTATTACTACCATTTATATTTTTTCTCTTTGTTATTATATTATATTGTGATGTGTGAGCTACTGTGTCCAAATAATTTCCCGAGTGGATCAATAAAGTTTGTCTAAGTCTAAATCAATAAAATAGCTTAATATGATATGAACTTTCAACCACTCACCTGCTCAGACCGTGTTGTCCCCATAGGTTATTCTCATTCCCAGCCATGTTGACACCGTAAATATATTTTTGTATTTTTAAAAAGCATCAAAAGTTGTCTGATATCGGTACAGGACTCGCTCCATTACTGCTTCAGGCCACACACCAACAAACTGTGCAGGAAACAGAGACAAAAGCACTTCAAACCCAATGGCTAAACATGTTGACAAGTTACAGACTGTAAAATAAACTAAATCTCTCCACATGTGGTTTGAATCAGGGATTATGGGAGAAATGAAGGAATGAGGAGAAGTGTAAACAGCGCACATCTGGGACTGAATGTACAAACGCAGCTGCAGGGGTCAAAGGTCGTCCCATGAGGTAAAACAAACATACAGGCTGCATTGGGAAAGACTGTACAGACAAGAACATAGGTGGATGTAATGTTACGCAGTTTTTGTCTGCTGCTCTGTTGATGAAATTTAATGCTAAAATTGTTCAGTGAGGAGAAAATGAATGCCTTACTTGGAATATTACACACTTTTTTCATTTCATATTTTTCATTTATTTAAAAGGTAAGATGTGTAACTTTTCGGCTGAGGGTCTAATCACCTGCTTGTTTCTATAGCGATGTCATTGCTCTGCCTGGAATGTTCCACAGTATGACTTTAAACAGATTCGCCTTACATTTATTCAATTACAGGTGGTTTTATGGCTCAAAAATACCGAGAAAAAGGCATTCTGACAGGTGAGTGGGGTCGCCTCTCCACAGATCTGACCTGTAACTTGGTCTGACTTGATCCCCATGAAGATAGAAAGGTTTAATTTATTTTATTTATTTATTTTTTTGACTGGAACAGAGCATGTTAATGTGATAAAATACCGTGAAACACTCCAGAAAAAGCTATAACATCTTCATGGAGAAAAGCATTTGATGACCCTCCGCCAGAAAAGTTACACAATGCATCTTTAAATTTGCTTTTTTAAATTCCTGAAAATATTTTGTTACCTGCTTGTGTTGTCGGAGAAAGATGATTTTGTAATGTCAGTTAATGCATTACTTTGGACAAAGTGGCCTAGAGCACTTTCAAATATTATCCTTTTTCAGAAGTGAGTTTTATTGCCCAACTAAGTCAAAATGTAATAAACATTGTGGATCAGTCTGAGTAGGCCTGTCATGATAACACATTTTAATGCATGATATATTGTTACAGTGATACACTGAGATAAATTATAATATTGAAACTACTTTATGCAACTGACACAATAACAATAATCCAAAATTGTCTAAATCATTCAAAAATGTCTGAGCTGCAACAAATAAATATCAGAATGAAGCCGTAATTAGCCATAGAAGTGACTTATTCAACCTTCTACAGCTCAAATCTTATCATATTACAACAAAAATACCTAAATCTCCCCACATTTAAAGAAACTGTACACACGATAAATGTTGAGCCTCAAAATATATTCTTCCAGCTACAGTATCATATTTTGAAATTGATATAGTAATTATGGTGACAGGCCTAAATCTAAGTAATTTTTTACATTTATTTAATATTTTACAGTTCTATGGCATTATAAATAATGATCCTAAATATGCCTATCACCATAATCACTATATTTACTTATCGTTCAGTATATGAAAGCTGGAACAATATATTTTGGGGTTTAATATTTATTTATTGTACCGTTTAAGGATGTAACAATAACGTGATATCGTATCGTCAGAAGTGTCACAATAATATCGTGGGCCATCACAGTATATCAAATTTCAAGTTTCTTTGATTAAATTCATTGTTATGGTGCAGCAAGAGCTAAAAACAAGGGACCTACTTAGAGTATACGATGATCCTTTGCTTTGTTTCAGTGCAGACCACATGAAGAAATAGCTGTTATTAAGCACTTTTCAATCTTAGTTCTTTGGATTAGGACACGAACAAAGGCTCGACAAGGCATTTTAAAACGAAAGAGTTGCATATTTACATTTTTTTGTTCTCCACAACACATATCGTAAAAAATATTGTCCCAAGACATTTCAATATTGTTACATCTGTAGTAAAAGTGTGTAGATTTGGGGTATTTTTTTTTTAATACAATTACATTTGAGGTTGAATAAGTCACTTCTGTGGCTTATTATTGTCTAATAATAGTACACTAAATGTTGCAGCTCAGGCCTTTAATGATACTGTCTATTTAAAAAAGGTTTACTGGGATTATCTTGCATTATTGTTATTGTATCAGTGGCACAGTAGTAGTTTCAATATTCTCGTTTATCGCAGTGTGTCTGTGTAACAATAAATCCTGCTTCAAAATCTGTGACTAAATCGACTTCTGGAATAGTCTTCTGTATCTGAAACCAAAATGTAAGACCACATACTAAAAAAACTACTAATATATAATATACTAATAGTCTTTTTTGAAATTTTAGTATCGTGACAACAATACCCACAAGGTCAAAACATAGAAACTCATCACAGAAATGCCCTAAAGTCTGGGACCTTCTCACTATTCGTATTAATACTACAAATTCAAGTACAATGCCAACATATAGTTTAATGAGAAAGGTAGAGATCGTGGTTGGTGCAGATAAAACAGCAACCAATAGAAACTCTAAACTAAGTAGGTCCAATTTGTATTATTTAATAATGTTATTTAATTTAACTACAAACTTTAATTTTTTACTTATTTTTTACCATAAACATATAAGAGAGAAGTGTAGTCACATTTTGTGCAGCTATCTCTTCATATTAAAGTGTAAATATAAAGCTTTGTGTGTATTTTTAGGCAGCAGATTGACCAAAATATTGACTAAAGTATCTCCTGGAGATTTAAAAGTGCACTATGTAACTTCTCGATTAGGGGTCCATCACCTTCTTGTATTTATGGATATGTCATTGCTCTGCCTTGAATTAAACAGCTGTACTTTACATTTATTCAATTACAGGTGGTTTTAAAGCTCAAAAGCACCTAGAAAAACAGACATTCTAACTGTGAGTGGGGTTGCTTCTCCAGAGATCTGACCTGTAACTTGATCTAGTTTGGTCTCCATGATGATAGAGCATTTTAATACCAGTCGAAAAAGGAGCCTCTCTAGTGATGGGGGGTTTGTGTCCTCCTCTGTCCCTCTGTCCTGACCGTAAACCACATGGACAGCCTGTATCCTCACTAACAACAAGGGATATTGTATAGCGTTCCTCTGAAGCTCTGGGACCACCTCCTCCTCCTCCTCCAGCTCCAGGACCAGACCCCAGCCCCAGTGTCAAAGAAAGGGCTGTCTCTGCACGGGGAACACATCATGGCGAGCTGGAGCACTGTGTTTTCTGTATTTATGTAACACAGTTTACTTGTTACATAAAACATAAAGCATCATAACACTTTTTTGAGCATGTAGTCCCTATCTTTGTAATGCTATTTTAATTTTTATAACCTATTTCTATTTTATTTTCACTTGTAAATATGCATGCATCTAATTACGCCTTATTTAACATCAGTCTCTTGCTATTTTTGTGACTTATTTACAATCTATTACTACCATTTATATTGTTTCTCTTTGTTATTATAATATATTGTGATGTTTGAGTTACTGTGTCCAAGTAATTAATGTCTAAGTCTATCTATTCCCATCTACTTAACATCTATTCCCAATTTCAAATGCGTGGAAAATCAAGATGAGAGTGTTGAGCATTGTTGTATCTAGCCTAAAAATACCAAAAAAAAGTTTAAAATGCTGCAAAACAATTGAGTGTGTAAGTGTACTAACTATACAATGACATTTCTATTCATTTTAATGAGTCTTGTTACAGATTATTTACATTTTGCACAATATTTTAACCTGATATTTCTAACTATCTACTAAAATCTGATACTACTCAATACTAAAACAAACTAGTATCAAAATTAGAGCAGGTATCGATACTAAAAAAGTCACATTCGCAGGACCTTTTCTGAATCGCTTTAGAATGATCTTGAGCTGTATCAGAACAAGTATAAGAGCACATAGACTAGTAAACGCACATGGAACCTACCTGGATGAAAAACCCAAGACTAGGGATGTAAGAATAACCGAAATACTGTGATATCGTATCGTCAAAAGTCTCACAATAATATCGTGGGCTCGCAATATATCAGATTACAAGTTGCTTTGCTGAAATGCATGGTTTTATAGTAGCAACAGCTTATAAACATCGGGAACTACATATCCCATGATTCATTTCAGTGCAAACAACATGAAGAAACATGTTTTTTCTTCAAAATATCGCAATAAATATCATACCGTGAGATGCATATCGTGACAATATCGTACCATGAGATTTGAATATCGTTACATCCCTACCCAAGACCACACCGTTTTACGATGGATTCTCAAAAGATGCGTCTCAATTCTTTTTCCTCGCTTCTTTCTCCTTGATTCCTCTCCTCGATCCTCCATTTTGCAGCTGTCAATCAAATGGCTCATATGAAGTGGTGTCCCAAAGAAAACCACAGAAGGAGTAAACATGAGGGAGGTTTAAGGAGGCAGACATCAGATAAACTAATCAAACTTTACATCCTCTTTCCTCGTTGTGTCTCCTCTGTGGGTGGGACTTCCTCACCCAATTTCCTGACGAATCGAGGAGAGGAATCACGTAAAAGGAGGCGAGGAAAGAGAAATGAGGCACGGCCCTAATCACAATCCTTCATGATGCAATTTGCGTTGTAGTAGATCTTTAAACCTCTTCAAAACTGCTGAATAAACCATGAGCAACCCTTGTTACATAACGCCACTATTCTCTCTGACTGGGCGTTTATCTGAAACATGCATAATTCAATGACAAACCCACAACAAGGAGCTGTCATTTGAATATTTATGGGCCTAAAACAACCTTATGTGGCGTCATATCCGTCAGTGGGGCTCAGAGATGGAAGAGGGTTGAACAATTACGGATTCTACCCACAATTACTGCCCTGAATGAGGCCACTCTGAGCCGTGAATGGGCGCTTTGTGTGGGTCTGGTGCAGCCTGAACTATCTCAGGAGGTTAGGACACAGGAATACTCCATGGTGACAAGGAACCCAGCCCGAAGTATGGAGCTCGGCGCAAAAAAGTGAAGGAAAATAGTTTGTTTATGTGGGGAGGAAAGCATTGGAGATTCAGGAGGTTTTGGAGGAGGTTGAATAATGGTGCTGGAGTGATTTGAAAAGGGTCAAATGTAAAATAAACAGCTAATTTGTCAGTACTGAATAAGCAGGGTAGAAATAAATGTTCCATCTACTGAATACTGAACTGATTAAGGAAGACTTTTTGGCTCTTTTGGGGCAAATTTGACCTCTGTATATCCATCAATACAGCTGACACAACCTGGAAAAGTAGGCCGATCGAGTATCTAGATCTCAAAGCGCCCATATTACACAATTTTCTGATCATGTTATAATGTTTCCTCATCATAAACATACTTGGAGTTGTGCGGTAATAATGTGTGTGTTTTTAAACTCCAGACACCTTCACTAGACTCATTTGGATGATTTCACCCTTGCAGTTTCAAATCTCTACTTAACAAAAACTAAATGGTCGCTTGAAAACTATTGCTTCGTGGCATCGTAAGGTGTAACAGAGCATTTTGAGCTTTGGGGATTTAGACTGACTAATCATACAGGGTTAGGTCAATGAAGCAAACACAACTCCAGGTATGTTTTGATGAGGTAATAACATTCCAACATGACTAAAGATCACAATAGTAAATTATGCATAATATAGGACCTTTAATCCAGGATCTGGTCAAGGGCACCTCGCATGGAAGATGGCGCAATGGTGGAAGCTTTATGAGGGAAACTAAAGTAGAAAACCCATTAGATACAGAGAACCTGAAACTTTCTAGCTATATTGCCTGAGCGATATACCACTGTACCACCACGAATGACACTAGTTATTGTAGTTAATGGTTACTACGGTATTTACTCGCAAGATATAAATTATGCTATTGCAAAATTGTTCTATTTTTCACAACAAAGGAAATGAGTCATGTATCCAAGCAATAAAAAAAAACTCTTGATAAAAAACTGACTGATTTATTGGTATATTTATTACTTAATGATGATTATTTATGGTTGCGATAAAGGTTTCTACAGTAAATTAGAACAATATTTTTCTTATGCATTATATAGAGCTATTTTTGTTCATAAATTTGCCATTTTTGGATTCAAAAGTATAAAAAAATCAGATATTAGTCAATACTGAAATAGTAGTAGTAGTAGTAATAGACTAGATACTCATTCGAGCAGTTATCGACACTAAAAAAGTCACCTTCAGAGGACAGAAATTAACCTTTCCTGAAGCTTTAGAATGATCTTGAGGTGCATTAGAACAAGTATAAGAGCACAGAGACTAGTTTACGAACATGGACCACTGTGGAACCTACCTGGACCACTGAGGGATTACACCGATATAAGACTGAGACTAAGAAAGTACTATGAGTTAATGTTGAAAATCACATTCTATTGTCTAAATAAAGTGTTTTTATTATCATTGTGGTATCGGAATCAGTATTGAGTATCAAGTCTATTCCTTTGCACCTAAACTCTGCAGTCTGCAGTTTCGGTCTCGTGACAAAACTCCTTACCAAGATCCTACCAAGTCCTTCTACAATAAACTGATTATTCAGAACTTTTAGCTTCTACAGACTATAATTTACATCTTGTTGTCTAGGTTTAGTCCTTATTTGAACTGTGATTTAGCTGCACACAAGCAAAGCAAATCCCAAAAAGTATCGGTGCATGCTTCTGGCCAAATCCGGAGACACGAGACTGCGTTGTTGTCGCTATTATATTTTAAACCACAAACATCTCGCTGGGACAATAGAAGGCGTCTGCTGCTCACGCTTAACAATGACTCGCACATTCTACAGCTAAGATAATGTTGTCCACCAGTAATTTTGACAAAGATGTGTGCTGCGTCACGTAAATCAAGAGCTTTCCTTCCTTCAGGTCTCCAAGTTTCTGTTTAGGTTCAGTGGGTTTGGTTTTGACAAGGCTTTTGTGGAGATATTACAGCACGAAGAGGAAATAAAGACTGTAAACACGAGATAATGGTATCAAGCCGGAAACAATATGAGAGAGCAGCAAGTCAAAAGAGTTCAAGAGTGTGGTGTCTACAAAAGCTCAAGGGGCAGGGTTTGGGCCAAGTTCAGTCCTGGTCTAGTCCTGGTTTAGTGGTGGTTTAGTGCTGTTTTAGTCCTGATTTTGTATTAGTTTAGTCCTGTTTTAGTCTTGCTTTGGGCCCAGTTTGGTCTTGATTTTGTGCTGGTTTAGTGTTGATTTAGAGCTGATTTAGTCCTGGTTTAGGTCCAGTTTTGTCCTGATTTTGTGCTGGTTTAGTCCTGCTTTAGTCCTGCTTTAGTCCTGCTTTAGGCCCAGTTTAGTCCTGATTTTGTGCTAATTTAGTGATGGTTTAGTGCTGGTCTAGGCCTGGTTTATTGCTGGTTTAGGGCCGGTCAAGTCCTATTCTAGTTCTGGTTTAGTCCTGGTCTAGTCCAGGTTTAGTGCTGGTTTAGTGCTGGTCAAATGCTATTCTAGTCCTGGTTTAGTGCTGGTTTAATCCTAGTCTAGTCCTGGTGTAGTACCAGTTTATTCACAGTTCAATCCCAGTTTAATCCCAGTTTAATCCTGGTCTAGTGCTTGTTTAGTCCTGGTTTGAGGCCAGTTTAGTCCCAATTTAACCCTGAATTAGTCTTGATCCAGTGCTGCTCAACTCCTGATTTAGTTGTGGTCTAGTCCTGGTCTAGTTTAGCCCTGGATCAGTCCTGGTTCAGTCCTTTTTTCAGTCCTGGTTTAGATGACACAGAATGAGTAAACTAGCCCTGATTAGTCCCAGTGTGGTTTAGTAATGACTTAAATCCTGGTAAAGATCTGATGTAGTCCACTTTTGTCCTGGTATGACATTGATATTGTGGCTTGACTAGGTCCAAGTTTATGCCTGTCTGGTCTAGTACTATTCTAGTTTTAGTCCTAGCCCTTTAGCTCTCCCTTAAAGCTCAGTTTAGGTCACACTTGCATAGTTTCCCATTTAAACATTAGACTTAGACTATTTAGTTCATCCTGCTTTAGTCCTGGTCTAAAACAAATGGTAATAATAAATTCAAAACAACAAAAAACATGTACTTGATACTGTTGTGTTCTCAAAGGTTATTAAGGTTACTAATTTAATCCAAAAAACTATTTCAGCAAAGTTTACAACAAAATCTATTTATAGTTTTAACCTGGTTTTGTATTGCTCTGGAGTTTTGCCTTTCAGGTCATTCATTAGCGCTGTTATGAGATGGAAGAAATTACGTGGAATTTTTAAATCTGGGTGAATCAGTAAGCATTTTGAGGTCAGAGAGGTGAAGAAAAAAAAAGGCAATGCATTCACTCAGATTTGGAGATAGAGAAATTATGTTCAGTATTTACAATAGTTTAAAGGACAAGTTCAAGTTTACATCTGATATAACTTTGGTTTGGAACTTGTTAAACAGATCAGACTTGATTTAGTTGCTTAGTCTTTTTTAAGCCCTTATTTTTATTTGAGAAATTCTATAGACTGTTTGCAGCATAATGGTTTACTCTAAATAATTATAATATTCCACTTGACGCAGTTTTATTTACGTTTTTGCTCGGTTCAAGTTCAATTCCTTATTATGGCCTATTATAATCAAGTTATTACAAACTCATAACTCATATTCTTAACATAGACACTAAATTATAGAGCACTGCGCCCACTTGTGGTATAAATCTTCACCGCCTCGGCAGATATTCTCACTGGGTGTAATTGGAAAGTCTAGACAAGAAATGTACACAAAGAACTCCAAATTACGCACAGAAATCGCATTACGCACGGTTTATGGATATCTGAAAAAATTGATTAGATTTGCCCATAATTTGGCAAAAGGCGATTATGTGGCTGTATTGAGTCTTCAGCGATGCTACTGTCAATTCAATTTGATTTTAATTCCCAATTGGTCCGTGATAATAATAGTTTAAACATGTCTTACCGCGCAAAACGTGGCTGGCTACTCCCATTGTATCGGCCAAATAACATTTATCCAATGACTTCTCGCCAAACTCCGCGTTTTTCTTCGCTTTTACGCAGCAAGATTCCCAGCGAGCATCGAACCATGTGCACATCCCAGTTCTGACAACACTCCGGGGCGGACACACAACTTTTGTCACCGTGACGCGCATTTCCTTCTCTCCTTTTATAAACCTCTCCAGCTCCTTCCTCGGCTCAGGCTCCGCCCCGCTTTCCTTAAAGGGAAAAATTCCTCCAAAACCATGGAACTATGAGGAAAACAACCACTTGGATCAGAGCGAGAGAGAGGAATGCCATACAAGACTAATATTAGTAAGAGGATGCGGCTAAATTGTCTACGTATTTCAGCAAAACAGTTGTAAAGTGTGTGGAAGTGTGGAGAGACTATACAAATGAAGACGCCTGGTGTATTCCGGGACAAATCTAAATCAATTTACGCACGAAATTCTCCACCTGAAAGTCACAGTACATAAGTAAATATTAACAAATACCAAATCTAAGTGTTGTGTCTGGAATCTATTATGACTGCACTGGGACCAACGTTAGTACTGTTTTTGTTATTTGGTAAGATTATGTGTAAACTATTGTACGGCTACACTAGTAATTATATATTTTACAGTGTTTTTAGTGATTGTTTTAATGTTTTTACTTGTTCTCTACAGTGTCTTTGAGTGTTTATTATAATAATTAATAAAAAAAAATAATCCATACATTTTCTTCCGCTTATCCGGGGCTTGGTCTTGGGGGCAGCTGTCTAAGCAGGGACTCTCAGACAAGGCGTTCCGGAACAGATGCCCGAGCCACCACAGCTGGCTCCCCTCAACATGGAGGAGCAGCGCCGCTAATCTGAGCTCCTCCCGTGTGACTTGTTTATTTATTTAATGAGACAGGGACAGTGCACAATATCCATTAACCTTAACAGGAGACCCTATCTCTAAGGCGCCCAGCCACCCTGTGGAGGAAACTCATTGCAGCAGCTTATATTTGCAATCTCGTCCTTTTGGTCATTACCCAGAGCTCATGATCATAGTTGAGGGGAGGAACATAGACTGACCGGTACATCGAGAGCTTTGCCTTTCGGCTCAGCTCCCTCTTCACCACAACCGTCCAATACAGCGACCACATCGCTGCTGACGCTGCACCGATCCACCTGTCAATCCCACGCTCCATCCTCCCCTCACTCGTGAACAAGACCCTGAGATACTTGAACTCATCCACATGCAGAGGGCAAGCCACCTTTTTCTGGTCGAGAACGATGGCCTTGGATTTGGAGGAGCTGATCCTCATTCCAGCCGCTTCACACTCGGCTGCAAACCGACCCAGTAATAAATAATATTATACTAGATATTTTGCTGCTGATGTCATTAACTGGGGGTGTGATGCTAACTGTAGGCTCTGCTCTGTCTGCAGCTCTCTCTCAAGTTAAACTTTAATCTGAACTTTGTTTAACACCATCTGACCAGAAAGAACTGATTTAGCTGTTCGTGAAAATTAGCTGTTTAAATCCACTTTACATTTTTGTTAATTTTTAGACTTAAAACTTTTTGAAAGAATTTTACTTTGGTGCAGTGTGTCACCAAGGTAACTGCAACACATTCCACCATAGGGACACATGTAGAACACCCCCAGTTTGATATCACTGCAAAGTATCAACAACTATGAACATTATAACTATCGGATTTTTACTTGTACATGTACATTTATATAATTATGACTTATTTGACACTATTTTTGCTACTTATTTCAAATGTATTATTGCCATTTATCCTGTCGCTCTCTGTTTTTATATTATATTGTGATGTGTGAGCTACAGTGTTAAAATAATTTCCCTTGTGGATCAATAAAGTTTAAGTCTTAACTCTTAAGTGTACTCTGATAAACCTGTTTTAGTATGGATATAAAATAATGTTAGCTGAGTCACTTGTTGTTTTTGTCTTTCAGAGTCACAGTGACATTTGTATGGGGTGTAAAAGTCCTGGCCCTGTCCAGATGCAAACTGCTCCAGGTATCGTAAAAGTATATTACGGACTATTAGTACACTACAACAACAATAACAACTACTACTACGACTACTATTATCACTATAGTCTATATGTAACAATAGTTTTGCCTTTTGGATACAGATAACCTAGAGACTTAGTATGGATATAAAATCATGTTGGCTGAGTCACTTTTTGCTTTGGTCATTTGAGAGTCCTAATGGTGTCTGTACGGCGTGTAAAGCTTCAAACACAGAAGTAAATACACTGAACCAGGTACACTAAAAGTATTACTACTACAACAACTACTACTGCAACTAATACTACTACAACAGGGGTCTCCAGCCTTTTTCCTCCGATGAGCTACCTTTACAAAAATGCCAGCGAGCTACTAATTTTAGTGGCCCCAAGAAATGTAGATGATTATAAGAAAGAGGGGGAGCCTTTGGGTACAGTTAAATGCCTATAAAACATAAACCATTGTCCATTTATTCGTTAGTATTTAAGGTTTCCAGATGATACAATGATAATAGACATGTAATTAATCAATGCTTTTTTATTCAGCACAATACGTTTAATATATGTAAAACCTCTTGGCGAGCTACTTGGAAGAGGGTGGAGAGCTACTGGTAGCTCCCAAACTACAGGTTGGAGTCCCCTGTACTAGAACAACAACTACTACTACTACTACAACAACTACTATTACAACTACTACTACAACAACTACTATTACAACTACTACTACTACTAGTACTGGTATTACTAATACTATTACTACGACGTCGACAACTACAGTCACTACTACAGCTTTTATTACTACTACTGCCGCTGCTGCTGCTACTACAACTATTAGTACTACCACTACTACTACTACTACAATTACTACCAGTAGTATGTCTGCTAATACTGTTACTTCAACGTCTACAACTACAACTACTACTACAACTTTTATTACTATTCCTACTGCTGCTGCTGCTGTTACTGCTACTGCTACTGCTACAATTACAACAACTACTACTACTAGTAGTACTACTAATACTATTACTACAACGTCGATGACTACAACTACTACTACAACTATTACTACTACTGCTGCAGCTGTTACTAATACTACTACTACGACATTGATGACTACAACTAATACTACTACTACTGCTGCTGTTGTTACTACTACTACTACTACCACTACTACTGCTATTACTATGACATCGACGACTACAACTAATAGTACTGCTACAACTATTATTACTACTACTGCTGCTGCTGTTGCTATTACTACAACTACTACTACTACTACTACTACTACTACTACTATAGTTGTAAAGTAGTTTTTCCTTTTGGATACTGATAACCTAGAGATGTAGTATGGATATAAAATCATATTATCTGTCTCACTGCAACTACTACTACGTATACTACTACTAATACTAGTACGACTATTAGAACTATTACAACTACTATTATAACTACTACTACTACCATTACTCCTACTACTACTGCTACTAAGCTATTGCCCTAATATGGATATAAATTGATGTTATCTTTTGCTTTGGTCATTTCACAGTCCCAGTGACGTGCGTATGTCGTGGTAAAAGTCCTGCTCTGGCTCTGTCCTGGTTCTCTGTGGTCCTCTGGGAACCTGCCCTTCAAACACAGGAGTAAACAGACTGCCCCAGCTGAGACGCGTGGGCGGACTGCACCGGCACCAACGCCACTAGAGCCTGTTTTTGAACCCTCTAGTTCTGGGTGAGAGTTCAGTGCTTGTATTCAACCAGAGATCAGTGTATAAAGAGGGTTTATATACACAGGCTATGATTTAACCACACAGACAACATGGGGATTAAAGACTGAATGCTATTATACAAAAAAAGATAAACTGACAGTAATGTGCATTTAAGGTCTGATGCAATCACAAAATCACAAAAGGTAAAGGTCTTAGATTACATTATTATTATTATAAGCAGTGTTCAGAAGTAACTAAATATATACAGTATACCAAAAATATACAGTATATGCAGATTTTTGAGCTACTGCATCCTGGTACAATTACTTTTTCATTTGGTAATTTTCAGAATATAGTCATGTACTTAAAAATCAAAGAAATACAGAAATTTATTTATGAAAAATTACGCTTCAAATTGCATGGTACAAATGAGAAGAATAGAAAACTCCACTCTTCTGATCAGATTTTTTCTTTTCTAGTGATAAGTAAATGCAGAAACAACAGTGAAACAAACATTAAGACACATATATTTTAAGGATAATGAAACTTTGCGTGAATATCTCTCTGTGTTTTTTTATACAGATGAATATCAGTCAGCTAACCACTCCCTCTCTTGCGTCGTTGCATCGTTCAATCACAATTTGTTTTTGTCAGTGACGCATGTGAAACGAAGGAGCTCTTGGGCTGTAATTTACAAATAAATGATTAACTTTTTATGATTTTTATTGTTTACTTGTAGTACTTATTTTATGTTTATATTATTATGTTTTGGCAGATCATCCTTTTTGAATTAGTACTAACTCTTACACAACAATCTACTATTACTGACACGACAAAACTGCATCTTCTTCAATTACAACTATTACGATAATACAACTAGTATGCTCCTATAGTATTCAGCTACCTTTTCTACCATAACTTTGGGGAATAAAAATATATATAAAACAATATAAAACATTGTTATAACAATATAAAACTTTTTTTTTAATCCAAAGAGGGTTATATAGGTAGCTTCTCAATGTAGTAAACATGGATTATGGACCCAAACTAGAGTAAAAAGTAACTTTTGTTGCTTTAGTCTAGTTTTTGTCCTTTTAAACATGATTTTTTTTTTTTTTTTTTTTCTGGGTGAAAGTTACATGTATAAAAATAAAGATACAGGGGTAATACTTTTGAACAAACAGTGTCTGGATTTTATCAACTTAAAAAGTATCTTACTGATTCTTCCTGGTACTAGTGCTGCTGCTACTGCTGCTACTACTGCTACTACTGCTACTACTGCTACTACTACTGCTACTACTACTACTACTACTATTACTACTACTACTACTACTACTGCTGCTACTGCTGCTACTGCTACTTCTACAACAACAACAACTAATAGTACTACTACTATAAATTCCATCAAGATCAATAAG